TGCAACCAATGCTATAGCCAATTTCAACACCCCGAAAGGCCTTAAAACGCGTGTATTTACTAATGATAAGGTTAGTAAATGTTTCAGATCAATTGAGACTTACTTTAGACGCGTTAATACTGTTGTTTTTGATATTATTTTTAATATTGAATAATTTAATGTGGCAAAAATCGCCCGAGTTGCCTCAGACCAGAGATGCGAAATTCGTGGGGGGGGTAGGTTGGGGGTGTGATTGGTCAAAAAAAGGTGTGGCTGGAGGGGGTACAACGAAGTTCGCGTCACTGGTCTGAGTTCATTGAGATAAACTTTACCTGGTCTTTTAACGTTACTGATGCAAGACCTGCGCATCGTATCGCCTAGCCCAGTAATAGACCCAGTAACACTGGTAGTGTACACTATGTATGTACCTGGCTTGTCTCCTATAAATGATCCACCTCGAATATTATTGGCTCTGCATCGCCTGAATCTCTAACATTGTATCAGATGCGAGAATCGCCTAACCAATTTTTACATGCATGCGTAAATAGCTACGGCAGCTACACCCATGGGATTAGTTATCGGTCTAGTCTTAATACAGAATGCGAACTTGAACTGTTCAAAGTTGGCCAGAGAATCCTCGTCAACAAAAAACCACCAAGCTACCACCTGCACGTAAGATTGAGTGACAGGGTACATAACATTATTCTTAGCTGGCGTCCTAAGCATCCAGGCAGCCTTACCACCTAAGAGCACTGCTCTTAGAGCAGTGATCAACTTTACAATTTTCCATATTTAGTTTATCTTGCTAAATGTACCATTTCATATGATCGTATATCAAGATCTTCACTTGTGGAGAATGCGATAGGATATTCTCAAAAGTCTCACGCGAAGCTCGCTCTAGCTAAGAACTAATAGCCGCAGAATCAGCTTATAACAGCATTCGATCACCGCCATATCTCTCCCCTTTTCCATATGAATGGTACCTATATACCTACCTAGGTACGTACATAATCTAAAAATTGCCGACTGGGGTAACCGCACTAAATCCCCAGCACAGCCATCCCGATTCTATGTAGTCTCCTCGTGGCTGAACAACCAATTTTAGGTACACGATTGGGGGGGACATAGCCTCAGGAGACGTCTCAAAGCACCGCTATAAGACACTTGCGTCAGGCTGAGCCACCCGATCGATAAGAATTACACGTTACTGTCATGAACAGATCTCTGGCCATTCAACAGTATCCGTTTCAATTCTCCACGTCGATCAATGCCAAACTACCTGGCTACCAATAACTACCACTTAAGCTAAGAAACACTCCGGACGTTCTCCAGTTTATTCGCCTGTTAATCCCGAATGTCGTCTTTGAGCCTATCCGAGTCCGACCATTAGGATCAATTGGCTCCGTCGGTATCAGCCACGCAGGTCACACGCAACCGGACTCAACATTTAAGCTTGAATCTCTTGATTAGGCAGCCATTTAACGGTTGTACTCCAACCTAAATAATCACAAGTCCGGGATCCAGTAGCAACAAGGTCTAATTGTACTCTAGTATACTGGCTCGTATCAGACCGCCACCAGAAGCCACGGCGACTCGTCATCATCTAAATCTCGTCATTATGGAGTCCAGTTGTGGTGAGATGCCAACTAGTAGTATACATCCAATTTCGAGCTCATCCAACCTAAATCTTGTAGAACTTTTCAATATGCTACCTATTACCACATTTCTCTTAACTTAGTAATTCATTGCATATGTGTTCCAATAATACGATCCGACACTATAGTGTTACGGACAGTTCCAGTATATTCATCGTTAGGTTCAACAATTACGAAAGACTAGATCATTATTAGTCCAGACGGAGCCCCGAGGATCAAAGTAGTGAAACTCGGAATATCTCGAGCATCGAAACGAAATAGTTATCGGAAAAGGGAGGTCAAACTTTGAACCCCAGGATGACCCATTCATCAAGACATTAACCTCCCTAGCGTTCAGGCTTATATATATGACGGTTATCCCGTCACTTTCTTTTAAGGCATACGTCTATATGTTGGTTATTCTTTATACTCACGAGAGCCTAATATTGGCGTAAAGCAATGACAACATTCGATCAAAGGTAGATACCTGAGAATGAGTCTGAGGATCAGCTTTTAATTTAAGCCGTAATCGCATCATAAGCTATCCATTTCATGAATTCAGTAGCCATTAGTACATCTATCAACTTCGGAGCGCGAGCTCATCTACAACTGATTCCTCATCCCCAAATCCCTATTTATTACCCCCCTTAGACAATCGCGTACGCAGATGCGTAGCTCACGCTCGAGTCTGTAACATCTTCGACTAAGCTACTGCGCTGGTACTGTACGAACTTGAACCGATACTTGCTAGGATCCGGCTTGTCTTTTGCAAGCTCCTCCAGGGCCGCCATCACAATGCCGATAGGGTGACGTCCGCAGACGGTGTTCTTAGTGTGTTTGAGGTTGTCAACGAATTTGTCGTGGTCGCCTGACGCAACGGCGTCTATGGCTAGGTGGTCGACCTGTTTGATGCTCTCGTGTATAGGTGGGTTTGTCGGCTTGGGCGCCTTTCGGCTTAGAGACTGTAATTGGTCGACCTTGCCCTCCGGCGCGTAAGCCGTGTAACTGAATCGCGATCCCCAGTGGCAGAAGTCAGAGCTCACGATAAACGCATTGTCTGGGTCTTGTAGGTACGGCGCCAACAACTTGCCGAACTCTTTCTCCTCCGCTCCGTTATTGTCTCCAATGAGGATTGGTACGATAGTAGGGTACTCGGCCTCGGACGCGAACGTCTGCGTGAGCCGCTTGTAGAGAAACGGGAGATGCATTTCCAGCGAATGCTCATCGACATCACCTCTGCTGGGGATATCTTGGAACTTGCCCGTGTCGCGAAGCTGCTGGACTACATCCTCATCGACAGTCAAGTCGCCGAAGGGTGTCTCGTACTTAGCAAACTTGGTTAGGGCGCATCCGCGGAGGTAATACGTGTGGGAAGGCCCAAGGACGAAAACTCGCTTCGCTTTAGTGAGGTCGAGACACTTATACGCCCAGGCTGCGCAGGGTCCTGAGTACGAATAGCCTGCATGCCTTTGGGCAAGCTAGAAGTTAGGAATTCCGCAGTAACAACGGAAATATATGAGTAGGTGATAGAAGAGGAAAGGAACCTACGGTGCAATCACTACTTTGGCGCCGGGAATCGGGAGGCCATTGCCATCGATAGAGCTTGGGACATCGCTGAGAAAGTTGTCGAGCTGGCTAGACAAGCTATCGGGATCCCCATCATACCAACTGTCTGCATGACTAGCTTCTCGAGTTCCTTTCAGCTTCATTTTGAAACGCAAAGTACCTTTGTAAGTAATTCGAAGCAGGTAGAGCGATGAAAGAGAGTTAGATCCCTACGTTCGTGATAAGAAGTAAAATAAGGGCAAGGGAAATCGGATAGGTCTGGGTAGGTACCTGTTGATCAATAGCAGGTAGTACCTACCCCGCTGCCCCGCGTTCCCGTCAGTGAGAGCCTTAATCGGAAAGCTCAAGTGTACGTCTAGACTCTAGAATGACGTAGGATGAGATATGCAAGATCTGAAGGTATTTTATTCCTTTTCTACAATGTTCTAATCGCGGAAATGCATATATGGATTAGGTAGGTACTATTCTAAAGGCGCTCTTGTCTTTGATTCACTCAATTACGATTCTACATATAACTTACAACGAATAAAAAAACTCAGATAGACCAATTAAGCATTCGTTCATGATCTGAAAGTTACCTATATTTAGTTCATATATGCAGATTTCGGGGCAATTATATCGAAGAGTAACTAAGTCCAATACCGCAAGCAGTTACTGCTCTTAACTACCTCCTTATAGCATCGTCAAGAGTCAAGCAAACAAGCACTACCTAGTAGCTCAAGTTATATTCAAGAGGATAATCTAAATGAATAGAAAACGGTACTGCTTCAGGTTAAAGCCGGTTCATATTAAAACAGCTATAAAGCACTTGATAGTAAAGCAATCATATAAAGTTAAAATGCTTAGCACTAGTTCTACTTAATATCATTATTGAGTACTTGAAGCTTTAGGTATTAAGGTAGTAATTAGCAGTTATTGATTATATAACCGATAAATAAACTATAAACGCCAGTACTACTTCATGATTTCTTATAAAATGATGAATAGCATCATAGCCAATTATAAAAGCATTTGATATATGATATATCAAGTGGGCACCTTTTTAATGTGCCTCTTTCTGTTGTTTAACTCATAATGGTTAAATGTTTAACATCCAATGATCATCCATTCAACTTGACTTCGACTTAACTACTAGCATAAGACGTTATTAACTTATATCTATCTCCTCAGGTCATACCTAGACATGGTTTACATGTGTCATTAATTCACGAGAAACCCCCTATGGCTAAATACACCAGCTTCTTTGGTAGTACTTAACACATCTAGCCACTATGAACAAGGACAAGCTACATAAAATGTACATAGGCTACTGTAACCTACTTTGAAATTGAATATGTTAGATTGAATACAATATTCCTTAGTTACAACTTAGTCCTATAACTAACCGAATATACTGTTAATGTTCTAATATTGAGATGACCCGAAACATGCTACGGAGCGCAGAAAAGAGCTACAATATATCATCACTTTACTTTACCCTCGCCTCTTGGTTTATTGGGAACTGCCCTATGAGGCTGCTGGCCCTTAATGAGCTCAATATGCCAAGCAAGAACATCACTTTAGTAGGTTGAAACTCACTTTAACAAACGCTACCTAACCTACTAACATTTTGACCCTTAAAACAAGAGGTATTTAACAAAGCCTCGGTCATCTGATGTGTGATATCCCTCGGAATGGAACCTAGGACTGGTCAAAACTTCTTTTCATGCTCATATCACCGTGTTGTAAGTACAGAGGCAGTGAGTCGTTTTCGTATGAGCTAGTCTTTCAAGATGCATTCGATTTAATAGTCAGTAACTCTTCATGAAATACCGGCATTTAGACTCTGAAAACAATTCATTATTATATCTTACACTTGAACTTATTATTATGTAGATCGTGAAAGTATAGATATGGCCATGCCAATACTCCCGATATGAAGCTCGAATCCTCACAAAAACTCTCTTTAGAAACTTTTATTATTGACCTGTGAAGAAGAGTACTCTTGAAGAATACCAAGTATCAAGTAATAAGGGCTACCAATGCCCTATAATAACGTTGCCTGCTGCAAGACGCCTGTACTAGAGTGTGTCCAAACCCCAAACTCAAACATATAACCCGGCGATGGCGTGTTCGCCTTGAACTCCAACGCTTATCCATCTTAAATGTCCAGCGCCGCCTTAAAGCTCCTTATTCAGGATAACCTGTAGCTAAGCGTGTAATCCTGATACCATATACATAATCCGAATGAATCCACTTTTTAGCAGACCTTGATACCTGAGACACCAGCCCATCCGAGACCGCCGACCCAGACCTTCCTCCCAGCACATATCAAGCACTTTCGCTGCTCGCCCAGGTTGGTGATGGAGCAGTGCGAGCAGACGTGTTTCCCACACCCTCCACAGCTTGTGTCGACCTCTGAGCAGAAGCCGTCTACGTCCATTGAGTCTTCGCTCGCACCTTCGTGTAGTGCCTGTCCGCAATCCTCGCAATTGGTAGGGCCGTCATATACTAGGTGATCGACGGGAGGTGGAACTGAGGTGTTTGAGGCAGATGCTGCGTTGGGAAGTTTCCAGAAGCTGTGGAGTGACGCCTGGGCTCCTTGCGACGGCATCTGTGCGGGTTGAGGTTGAGGCTGTGTAAGAAGGCTGGCGAACGGAGAGTTTTGCTGGTGGACAATGTGCTGTTTCTGGGCGGTATATAGCATGTTTAAGGTACGTTCTATATGAGTTCTGTATTAGAAGAGCTGCTTGGTAGGGCTGCGATGATAACTCGCTAGACTTACCGTGGATTTCCTCGTCCGAAGGACGGCTATTGCGGAACCGTTTCAAGGTGCGGCTGTGTAAGTGGGAAGGTGTTGAGCTCCGCGAAGTACGACGAATAGGCGATACGTTGGCCATACTGTCCATATCCATCATGGTGAGCTGCTCTGGTCGCGAAGGCGAGCCGAAGGGGCTAGAGGAGCTGGAGAGCTCGGACTCGGAACGCTTTCGCTTGAGCTGCATCGTGAGGGGGTTTGAAATTGTTGAATTCTACGAGAGGAGAGCTGATGGTTGGAAGACGAAGGGATAATTAATATCGTATGAATTGTGAATATCTGTGTTGGAATACGATTTTATGTGAAGGTAGAAGGAGAAAAGTTATGAAGTCGATGAGGTGAGATGGAGAAGATTGAATTGGCGAATTATAAGTTGAGAATATTGTTGAACGTGTACTTTGTATTTTGAGATCTCCGTTTGTAATTGGCACCGGGGACTGGGGATGGCTGGCAATCGCGACCTGTCGCGCTGTGGAACGCGCGTAGCCCGCTATAATTATAGCGCGCTGAGTTCGCGTTAATTGCTTGCCAAGCCTGGAGGGGTTCCTCTGCCTCAGGTGCTTATACTTCTTACAACTTCTCACATCATGATATATGCTGGTTTAATAATTCATGCCCATCGTTCAAGACGATACGAACTGCAAATATGCATAATAAATATTTATCTACATAAGATTATTATATTTATATACTTCGGTAGGTTAAGGTATACTGGCGACGGCCACTATTCTGCTCACCACAAGCACGAATCGATGTGATCTTGACAATATGTTTGAATAAGAAGATTATTCATAAAGTGTCATTACTAATAAATTTACCTGACTTTGAAAGTCATGTTTTATATCCTCAAGAATACCTCTAAATACTGTTACTCCCTAATGACCCTTCTAGATCTATATTGTTGACCCTTCGAAATTATTAAATTACAATAAAGCAGCCCCCAAGAGAACAGCAAAAGCTGCGACAGACATGCTTAGCAGCGAGGATGATAGTTCGACAGTACCTGGTGCGGCATTGGTGTTGACATCGGCACTGGTGCTGGGACTTGCGGTTTCCGAAGCTGCTGATGCGGCGCTTGATGCGACGGAGGCAGCGGAGTGGGCGCTTTCGACGGCGGATGAGGCGGCTGCTTGAGCGGTGCCAGTGGCAGTAGAAGCAACACTCTCAGCACTGGCGACGGCAGCGCTAGCAGAAGATAGAGCGGCGTCGGCAGCAGTGGAAGCTACGCTCTCGATGCTGTTGACTACCGATGTAGCGAGGCTTTGCGCGCTGTTCGCAATCGAGGAGCCGAGACTCTCAGCACTGCTCGCGATAGAAGACCCGAGGCTTTGAGCATCGCTGGCAACCGATTGGCCAAAGCTCTCAGCAGACTTGGCGACGCCGGATCCGACGGAAGCCCACGAGTTGCCGATCGACTGTCCGGCACTACCCCACGAGTTTGCGAGGCTTTCGGCAGAATCGGCTACTGATTGCCAGTCCTGGCGTTTGCCGAAGTCGCCTGCGATGCTGTTTGCTATCGCAGCCACTTCACTGGCGGCTTTCTCGGCCGCGGACTGCGCCTCCTTCCAGGCTTGACGGGCATCAAGGGCGTGGCCGTCGCGTTTTCCGAAATCAGCGGCGATGCTGCTGGCTAATGCGGCAGCCTGACTTGCGGCAGCTTCGGCCTCGGATACGGCGACTTCCCAAGCCTGGCGCTCATTAAGCTCGCGTTTTCCATACTGCGCAGCGATGCTGCTTGCCGCGGCTTGGGCTGAGCCTGCTGCTGCTAAAGCGGAGCTTTCGGCTGCCCGCCATTCTGCTCCGTTTCCTCCGTATTGCTGTGCGATGGAGCTGGCACGTGCTTGCGCTGAGCTAGCTTGGGCGAGTGCCGACGAGAGGGAGTCATGCCATGACTGACGTCCCTTTAGTACGGGGGCAGGCGTGATCATAGCATCTCGAGGAGCCTGTTCGACTACGTGGGCTGCGGCGAGGGTAGCCGCGAAAAGGGAGGTAGTAAAACGCATTTTGACCTGTGGGTTTAAGGGATCTGAATATTGACAGTATATATTTGAAATTACTATGCCCGCGGTATGTGAGGGAAGATATTTGAGGAGTTAACTCGATGAGAATTTCCTTTATACAAGTAGGGGTCGAGCTCAAAGGGGCGTCATCAAAAGGTAGGTCGGTGCTTAGCACTAATAGCTGCGCCTCCCCATCTCTACGTTCGGGTCTACCAATGATGTCTCACGCTGTCTTACCCCATCCAAGCCAACTTGTTTCCGTCTGATTACTTCATTTACCAGTTGATTTCGTCATTGAATCATGTTTATCTTTATGTGGACCGCTCGAAGCGGATGGTTTTGTCGATCACTTTTACCTGTCCGAAAGCATAGAGACCCGTCTCAAACGGATAACGGTGTTGAGTGGATTTAGTTATCATAGGCTGTGGTGGGTAGAGTAGTATGTCGTAGACATTCATTACCGGCCCTACCAAGGCTGGTAACAAGTTAGTTCTGCCGAGTTGCGGAACCATGACGACGCACTTTGGTTGGGTGTAGTGCCTAGAGTGTAGTGCCTAGGGCTTTACTAGGAAGCCGAAGGGCCCCGACTTATTAGTCTGCGGTTCGACAGCTACTATAGAGCCTCATGGAAATGGCCGGATACATGGTGCATTGGTATTGGATGAATAACTAACTGCCCATGGCGCAACCACCCTTGCTGGTAGTTACCGTTACCAGCTTCAATCAATACACCCTCCTTATTCATTCGGAAGAACCGGGTACCTCACGAGTCGTGAGCCATATGCTGGTGGGTTCTTGGCGATCTCCCGAGACACTACGTACTAGTTGTATAATAGCGTACGTACCTTTTGTCGTCGTCAATAAACAGATCGGAAATAAACACGTCAGAAATACAAACACGCAAGGGAGCTTAGCAGTGTTTCCAAATTAAGAGGCCGTTCACGAGCGCTGGACCGATCTGGATAATTTCGCCATATTCGTGGCTGTTTGCGCAGCAACGTTCGGATGAGCTGATGTTATTGCCTTCCCTCCAATCAGGCGAGATCAGGCCTCCGGTCGAACTTGCGCCGCATCTAGAACCAAGCCACGCATATTTCGTAGTAGTATTTCGTGGTGGGTGGCGGACGATACTAGCTTATTCATCGTCCACAGCACATCTAATAGTCTTTAGCATGGCTGATTGCCTCAACGGTAGCGAGATCTGTACCCCCACGGGCACGATACATACCGAGATGGCTTTTTTCTCTCTGAATTTCGTCGGATGCTGCCCTCGTTTATTACTTCTGTTACACCCTTGGGCAAACGGTTCATATTACACTACATCACTAGCCTAACTAGCAAGGCTCTAGACAAGGGCTGTATATATTTACAGTACGCCGCCGGGCGTCCGCGTCAAATCTAGACGTCCCTAAAGTTGGGGGGGCGTCGATGTCAAGCCTCGCCTACAGCAGTGTAACACGGCTACGGCGTCGAGGCGCACAGCAAGGACAAGCCCGATACAACCCATAAAGGAGGAGAAAACATAATCTTTTAGCTCCTGTCACGTTGCAGGATAAGGGAGTTCATGCAGCCACACTTTCGCCTCACCATGTCCAACCAGCTCTCCCGTCTCTCGTATTTGCATAGAGTTAGCAGCTGTACGACAACGCCACCTACACTGAACCCGTCACAGGCAAACAGACTCGTGGCACACACACTTGTTGTTTATTCGGTGGGTACCTATACCCTATACTCTAGGGGTACATCAGAAGCAGGTACCGATGAATCATGATATAAATGAGGTCGTGTTACCTGCATGTCCTAGTAAGCAGGTATCCTCGGGGCGTCCACTCGCAATCCTCCTGGCGGCTATCTGAGACATTTCGGGGCGGCGAAAGGGGGCGCGGGTCATGCGTATAGCCGGCCCCTTGGCGGCTTCACTTGCTTCACTTGAAGAATATAATTCGTGCGTAGAACTTAAAATATGGCGTCGTGACTTACTAAACCAAGTATCTGCTCTTTGTCCTCTTCGGGGCGCCCCCTCTACGCGTTGTTATGGCCGGTAGGTTTCGCCGCCGCCGCCGCCGGTGCTTCTGCCTCGACGGGTTGGTTGATGATGGCGGCGGTGGTGTAATGTAGAAGATTAGGTAGGTTTAGTTGAGGAATTGGCCGAGAAGCCGGTCGATTTATCTCGATGAGACTAATAGCCTTACCTGTGCGCAATCGAGCTGGACCGCTAGGCTGGTTACCCGGTTCTGGCTAGTTATTTTGTGGGTGAGAATTCGTTTAGTATCCATGGTTGTATTTACTATGGGTTGGGGAGGATAAGGGGATCTGCATTTGCGGCGTGATGTTCACCACGTGGGAAGTGGACTGCGACTGGATACTGATGGGACGATCTGGGTTAGGTAGTCTAGTCGAACTGTTATACTGGTGTTTATCTATTATGGGGATAGGCGTAGTATATCGATGGGTAGTTGTAGGTTAGGCAATTAACTATTCTATGGAGTTACTGTCGCTAGATAGCGCAAGGGGTGGTAGAATAGGGGAAAGGGGGTAGTTTTCTGGAGAAGTAAATACACATTGTAAGTAAGAGGATAGATATCAAGTATATTAGGAGATAGGTAGTGAAGTCCGAGCATCAGCAATGAATTATATTCTAGCAGGCTGTCATGTATTCAAATTCACCTCATTTAGTTCGTAGACATTACAATATTAAGCTATCCATCTAATCCATCACGTAGAGCGTAGAGCTATCCCAGCAGACCATCTCACGCAGAAGAAGAAGCCTTTGCTTCGTGCAGCCGCACTTGAACACCAGTGCCCGACCGGTTCTCAATAGCATGATGAAGCCGGATCCTGCCGTCGCCCTCCTCCATGTTCTCGATGCGGTCGTACTTCTGGCAGAACCGCGACACGACGTAGCTGACTTCCTGGCGTCCGAATTGCTCTGCAGATAGGTAGTTATGTAGTTAGCTGCTGTCCTTCGCCAGGAAACCTGTAAACCAGGGAATGGGAATAGGGATAGAACTATGTATCAATAAGTAGACGACAAGGAAAACACTTACGACCAAGACACTTCCTCGCACCCGCCCCAAACGGAATAAACTCCCACCCAGCCCGACACGTCTCCCACCTCTCGGGGCGAAACTCCTCGACGTCCGCGCCCCAGATATCCGCGCGGTGCTGCATCGCGTACAGCGGGACGAGCACCTGCGTGCCCTCGGGCACGAACACGCGCGCCTTGCCGTCCGGCCCGCCCCCCCTCGGCAACACCGCGTCGCGCAGCGCGATCCGCTCGTTCAGCGGGATCACGGTCGCCACGCGGAGGGTCTCGCTGACGACCCACTGCAGGTACGGCAGCTGGCTTAGCGAGCGGAAGTCCGCGGGCCCGTCGTCGAACCGGTGTAGGATCTCGGTGCGCAGACGCGCGTATACGGCGGGGTGCCGCGCGAGGAAGTAGAGGACCCAGCCGAGGAGGCAGCCTGTTGTGTCCCGGCCTGCGATCAGCACGTGCAGAGTCTCGTTGCGGAGTTCCTGCGGGTTCTGCGTCTCCTTGGCTAGCTCGTTGAGGAGGTTGAAGCGGGCCCCTTTTTCCGGGTCGGCGCCGCTGCGCTTCTCCGGGTTCGCGAGCCGGTCGGCTACGATGCCGTCGGCGAAGTTGTGGATGGCGGCGCAGTGCTCCTTGAACTCCTTGCTGTTCATAAGCCAGTAGAACTTCGCCAGGGCGCCGCGCTTGTCGATCCAGACTTTGGCGGCGTTGAAGTGGCGGCTGAGGTCCTTGGCGCTATCGCGCTCTTGTAGAGAGTTGGCCGACTGTCCGAAGATGAACTCGGTCGCCGTGTCGAGGGTGAACTTGAAGAAGAGCGGCGCGAGATCGACCTTAGACGTCCACCCGGTCGTGACGTCGGCGGCGAGCTGGCCCCATAGGTTTTGCAGGTGGTGCTCCTCAAGCTGCGGGTCGCTGATCATTTCTCTCGCGAACTGTGGCCGCAAGAGCGCACGGCTGTGCCTCCAGATATCGCCCCGGCTCGTGAAGATGCCCTTGCCTAACAGTGGCATCCAACTCAGCTGCCGGTGGTGACTGATGTCGAAGTCGGGGTTGGTGAAGAGCGTGCGAGCATTCTCGGGGTCACGAGTCACGAGGATCTCATAGTCGATGATAGGGACTTTGACAGTATGGCAGTCTGGCGAGATGCTATCCAGCTTCTCGGCCACGTACTGGGGCCCGCGGTCCTCCTTGGTAGCTTTCATGGACTCCCGCAATATCGAGTTGCCGATCAAATTTGTGCTTCGCAGCACCGGCGGCGGCAGGCACCCGAGCGCCGCGGCCTTTGCATCGTTGTGGCGCTTCTTGAGCTTGGACTTGACAAAGGTCCAGGCCAGGAAGACGACGAGCAGGGCAAGGGCGCTGCTCGTGATCCTAAACATCTTGAGCGCGTCTGGGAGGAACAAAAAAAGAAACGGAGTTATTCTGAACTCCGGGTGTTTCTCGTAGTCCTAGTGCTATAGTGATGATGTAGGGGTACAATAGAATAATGCTCTATATCGGTTTCTATCCGTCACTCTTCAGCGAGTTAGTTCCTCCACAGTTCCGTCCTAGGGCTACCATAAAGAACGACCTGTCGTGGGTGTCATCACTTATCATACATATCTATCCCTTACATCTGCCCTACATTTGTAGCTATTCCGCTCGCTCGGTACCCTGTTTAATAATATCCACCAAGTAGGACATAGGTATTAAAAACACGCCAAACAGGCTCATGTGACCGTAACGCGACTCGCAGAATTATTCTGCATCTAGTATTGACAATGACCAAGTTTTCAAACCCTTTCGACACGCTCAAGCGATAACATGAAGATCGTCATCGATTATTCGCCCATTGGTCGGGTCTCTTGCCGGTGGCTTTCGTATGGAGTCAGCAGTGCATGCATCAAAGTAATAGGAAAAGTATTCGAAGTATCGAATACTTTGATAGTTTTGTCTGACCCCCAACGCGCTTGTCAGGGGGGGAACTCGGGTCTCCGCAGTGGGGGAGATGTGAGATGTGACTCGAGAGCCCAAAAGCAAGGCTTCCTCCTGTTGATGAACTTGCCTATTCGGGAAGTGCTGAATCGGGCATTGGCTCGGCTCGACGGACTGAACGCGGCGGGTTGGAGATACCTAGTGTGCTTGATACTTGGAAAAGAAAACAAAGCACTCGCATAGTTTTATTAGCTTTGATTACTTGTAACAGCCACTGACGATCGACGAAATAGTAAAATAAAGTCTTGCGTACCTAATCCACACGGATATGATACAGTACTGGGGATATAATAGGTAGGAGAATGTCGATCACTTGGATACGAGTGTCTGTTCTTCCATTCTTGACGCAAAACTTCGAGCTGAGATCTACTGTAGAACCCCATCTTCCAACTTCTCAAACACAAATTCGTGACTTTTATTTATTTTTGGTGCCCGAGAGCTCCGTAGTTCGAGACTACAGCTAGACGGCCAATATGCTCGCCTTCAACTACTTCATCCTCTCTTTCATCGGCATAGCTCACGGCCTACCGATACTCTTGGCCGAGAACAAGCGGGACCAGCTCATCAACCTCAGTCCCAATCTCGATCTTGGGCTCGATGCTAATAATGATAACTCCTGCCTTGGGTTAGGCATCTCCGTGTGCGATCCCATCACCGTCGACTCTGAGAAGAACTCCACCGTCGAACATGACAACGGCTCTAAGGCTAAGGAAGAGCCTAGCACCAAAGACAGTGACTCCGGGGACTCTCTAATCAACTTGAGTCCCGACGTCGACCTTGGCCTCGACCTGAGCAATGAAAACAGCTGCTTAGGCATCGGCATTAGCGCCTGTGATCCCATTACTGTCGGCTCAGATGTCACCAAGACAGTCAAGGACGGTGGCGACGAGGCCAAGGTCGAACCATCTTCTGCAGCATCTACTACACCTGCACCTACAGCATACCCTGTCCAGCCTAGTCCCACCAGTGGCACCAGTGCTACTAGCAGCCCTACTACCAAGAGCAGCGGTAACAGTCTACTCGACCTCAGTCCAAAAATCGCACCAGATCTCAACTTAAGCAACGATAACAGCTGTCAGGGCATTGGCATTTCAGTTTGCGACCCCATCACGGTGGATTCCGTCGTCAAAAACATAAGCTCATAATCTTATATCTTAGGTTAGGAGGTACCTAGGTAAATTTGGCTTTGTAATTGTTGTTGTCTGGGAGGAAATATGTATTTTAAAAAGTTGTCGTGTTACTACTTATTATTACCTTGTCTCAGATACGTCCCTTCATGTACATAATCAACTCTCCTATATTTTATTAGTACTGCCACAATTTTTCCAGCCAATCAGATCCATAGAATCGCCCCGCAGTTGGCGACTTTTCCCTTTGCCATTCTATCGCATAAGGTCTGAAATACATGCAAATAAGATAAAAAAGTCATGCAAAACGCGCTCTATCCAACGATACCAATTATCGAAAATTTTATACAATAGTATAGTAGGTCAATTGATTCTACAAAAAATTCATCGGACGTGCCCTGAGGTGTGGCTAGCCAATCAGAGGCCAGACTTATATGTGGCGTAAAAGGCACTCTTGAAGCTAGGCACTCCCCGTAAGCGCCTGCGCGAACGGGTAACGCAGCTAGTTTGATACTTCACATTGACTAATATTATTTACTATTGGTGGCTACCCAGACCTACAAACCACCCGAGCACTTACCGTATTAGATGTCACATATAGTAGTTCCACTTCACGCGGGGTATAACAACAGGACTAGAACTGTGAAGTATGCTCGATTATTCACAACATAGCCTCTGCGGTACCCTGGCAGTGTTACAGGCGCGTACAAATATCGGAATAAATATAAATTAATTGTTGCTTTAAATATTATGATTCGTGGAGAAAGGATGGGCTTTCATGTTACATAAGGTACCTTTATGCTATGATGAAGAATCTCCCATTGTTTTCAATCTCACTCCTAGGAATCCTCGAGACGTCACGCGTAAAGCATAGAGGTAATTAACTTTCAAATAGTTATTATAATCCATACGTACACCTCATAAGAGCCTAAACATGCTACTTTGACTACCTTCATTTACATGTCTTATAGACCCTAAACATGACCGTGTAGTAACACCTTAGCCACTAGTAGAGAGCTGGTCCTTGTTTTCGACTTCCTCGTCTTTCAAATTATCTCCATATATACGGTGTGATAAATTAAGAATTAGTTGTTAATAAATAGTAGAGTATGATTCGTGCATTTTAAATGGCGGTAACCTTGACGGTGACGCCGTCCTTCGGTCGTAGTACTAGTCGCCACATCTTCCACTCTTCGGGATCGGGCGTATCAAAGTCACGCTTGAATTCGTACATGCTGAGCAAGCAACATAGCAGAATCTTCATTTCAATCTCGGCGAACTTGCGGCCGATGCAACCGCGCGGGCCTTGAAGGAAAGTCATAAAAGCGTTGGCGGTGAATGTCTTGGGTAGGTCATCCCACCGGTCTGGGTCAAACTCATCTGCGCTGGGACCCCAGTACATCGGTAACCTGTTGATGGCATTTGCGAGGACGTAAATAACGCTACCGGCAGGAACCTTGTAAGGGCCAAGCTGGTCGTCTGCGAGGGATTGTCGCACTGTCATAGGGATAGGCGGGATGTAGCGCAACGATTCACGGCAAACGTTATCGAGGTAAGGGAGCTGATCGGGGTCGGCATTGGCAATTGTTTCGGGGTCAAAGCGAGATTCCTTGTCGAAGAGGAAGGGCATGAAGTCTTTGATCTCTTCGCGGAGGCGGGACTGGATCTCGGGGTGGGTGGACAGCAAATGAATAGTCCAGGCTACACCGGTTGCAGTAGTGTCGTGACCAGCACCCAAGAAAGTCATGATCTGGTCGCGCATGGTTTCAAAAGAAAGACCAGCTTCTCCCATAGCCTTCATCTTCTTGTTATCACGGGCGATAAGAGCGATGATATCCTTGCCACCGGTGTTGTTCTCTGCTTGCGCTTGCTTCTCGGTAATAATCTCAGTGGCTTTGTTCAGAATAATGCTTCGAGAAGTCTGCATATCCTGGTTCATCTTAGAAGGGATGTACTTAGAGGCAGGGATGAAGGCTTGAATTCCGTGCATGATACGAGATCCAATATCAAAAGCGAAGACTAGACGATAGGCCTCGCGAATGGGCGTCTCGGGGTTACGTAGCGAACCAATTTCGTATCCAAAGCCGGCGCTGCCAATGATATCTAGTGTGGTTCTGTTGAGCCACTCGAGTACCTCGAACGACTTAGTCGTGACCCCCTCGGCAGCCATTTCCTCACGCCAGCACTTGGCTAAGAGAAGCGACTTCTCCCAGAAGACCGGGGCGAGTGCACGAATAGACTGGATCGAAAAGCCTGGAGCGAGGGACTTGCGTTGGTGAGCATGCTCCTGGCCCTCGGCGAGTAGAACGCCCTCACCGAGGATGCGAACCATCCAAAGCTTAGCGCGAACAGGTTTAGGGTAGTTATAAGGGTTTTTGACAGTCATCTGCTTGAGGGCCTCATCGTCGGCAACAGAAAGGCGTTCCGCACCGAAAGGAAAGAAGTATCTGACGATAGAACCGTGCTGTTGATGCCAGTTCCGCTGAGGTAAACCGCATTCTTGGGTGATAATGTCAAAGAACTGACCCCAGAGAGGGAAGCCCGGCACAGTCGGTACATGTCTAAGTTCGGACACATAGAAGGGGAATATCCAGCTAAGCCAGACGACAACATATAGAGGAAGCACAACAGCCAGCGACGTTGCGATCGTGGAGGCAATTGGCAGTTCAGCGTGACGCGCATATAAGAACGAGGCGGCCGCCGTCGCCGCCAGGACCGGAGTCATGGTGACTTTGGACATGTTGAAAGATTATGTTGGAAAGACAGTAGAACAAGAACAAAGGACCTCGAAGCCGAACGTAAGGAGAAGAAGGGGTATATGAGATTCAACTCTGGTGCAAGGTCGCAGACATGTTTACCGGGGTTGATAAGATCAACAAAGAGTGCTATTATATAGATAGACTAATGGGAATACGCCGAAATATGCGATGATGCCATACTGGAAAAAGGCGTGTAAGACAACGTCTGAGGAGGGGGTCCACCTAATTCCGAGGCACACCTTGGGTTCTAGGGGGTTACTGAGACTTAGATCTAAGAACTGGGTTTACAAGCATAGGTACTAGCCCAGAACTTGGTCTATTCAGCCCGCAATCTCGGTTTAGGCATTCGTAAAGTTCGTGTGACATCGATCTTTGTAATTATCGACCTTGCGCATCGCTAGGTCTGGAAACCCACGAGCCAACGACACCAAGCCATGTATGATAGGGCGTTGCAGGGGCATATGCGATGTATAGCTCAACTGTCGATAACGCTATTATGTACGGGTTAGATCCGTAGCCGTTTTGTAGATAACTGTCGCTAGGTACACGTAGTAGATATCGCCGAAAAACCCGGCTTCCATCTATCCGGGCTCTAAGAACTAGGCCACTCCACTACTTCGTGGTACTATAACAAGTGAGCGACACCAGAGGACAAGTCCTTGGATGGTAAATTCCACTGACGTAAAAGCCTTTTTTTTTCGAATACATCGTAGGCGAGTGCGGAATTGTCCATAATCTTGGCTTGACGATGTTTTGGCCAACAACAGCGGAAAGATATTGAAACCATTGGCAATGACTGACTCTAGGTACTTACCAGGTCAGCTGGACATAGAATCTAGACCGACGAGTTCTTATCGGGCAGAACGGGGGGCGACAACTATGTCGACCTGACTGGTCCTAAAATTTTGGTGTGTGGGCAAGTTACTAGGCTTTCTGAATGGAACAAACCAGGATTCCAGTTGCAGTCACATGCATGTAACCTGCACACCGTGACTTATTAACCATACCATATATCATAGTACATACCATAAAGCCATCTCAAGTAAGACATATCGATAGCCTCTGAAATCCTAAACGAGAAAGCGAATTAGCAGATACATACCTGTCCAGGATATCTAAGAGCCACATACCCCAGCCGGGAGCCTTTTGTCCGAGACTATAGAAATAAACGTATCCACAGTTGTTAGAATTCTGTTAAAATATGCCATCATCTAGGCCCTAGCTAAAGATGTACTGTTTTACTTGTAATTGGCATCAAAAGCAATGGTGTAACCGCACCTTCATACCGTGTTCTATGTGGGGTACCTAATATAGAGTTAACCAAATCCCTAGAATAGAATAACTTCGACCGAGTATCCGGGACTATTCTTAAGTTCATTGAGTTTGTTAGTTCAACCTATCCGTTTTCAGCTGGTTGATATTGTAGGCTAGCTCGTTAGTCGACGCAGTATGACATCGATCACTTAATCTCTATCCAGATCACCGGGCGCTTATAATAATAACGGCCGTCGACTTCAAAATTCACTAGAACTCTCCTTTCAGCATCGTGACACCTGGGCTTCTCGGCTGGCCTCGTCGACCTCCTTTGTTATTCTCATATTTGTTAATTAGCCATGTCTTTTGATTCTATCCATGCCTTCAAGGCCTCGCCCGGCGTGATCAAGATCGCGCCGTGGCAGGGTTTTGACAAGGTTTGGATGTCCGTTACGGGATATCATGCAAACGAGTTCAGGTTCAAGGAGGGAGTCACTCCGATGTCGACCGTGACCGAGGCCGTGGGCATGATTGTTCTGTACCTCGTTGTCATCTTCGGAGGCCGCGAGTTTATGCGCAACCGCGAGCCGCTGAAGTTGAACGGTCTGTTCAAGGCTCACAACCTGTTCTTAACGCTACTGAGCGGTGGCCTCCTAGTTCTCTTCATCGAGCAACTAGCCCCGTCTATCTGGAAGCATGGCCTCTACTCGAACATCTGCACCGCAGATGGCTGGACCGACGAGCTCGTAACTCTCTACTATGTGAGTACCGAAGGTCAAGGCCCATCAACTGCGATCAAAACGCTAATTCCACCCAGCTCAACTACATCACCAAATACATCGAACTTATTGATACTGTCTTTTTGATGGTCAAGAAGAAGCCTCTTACCTTCCTCCACACTTACCACCACCCGGCAACAGCATTGCTGTGCTACACCCAACTGCTCGGTCACACGTCGGTGTCGTGGGTCCCGATTACCCTGAACCTGACTGTGCACGTCGTGATGTACTGGTACTACTTCCAAAGCGCACGAGGTGTCAAGGTTTGGTGGAAGGAGTGGATTACCCGAATGCAGATTGGCCAGTTCATTCTCGATCTTGGTAAGGCCCTGACTGGACTAATCTTTGGTATGAGAGACGCTAACAGTGGTGGCAGGGTTTGTGTACTTCGCATCGTGGGACTATTTTGCTAGTGCCCATGCTCCGTATCTGCCGCATATGGGGCGATGCACGGGTAAGCCTTTCGCAGCTGTCTGTGGGTGCCTGATCTTGAGCTCGTATTTAGTGCTCTTTATCATGTTCTATATCTCCACATACAGGAAGGCATCCTCTCGCAGGGCCAATAAGAAGTCAGACAAGCACGCGGTCTCATCGATAAAGCAGAGCGCGGCCAAGGTGGCCGACAGCTGCAGCGGAGTGGAACATATGAACAGCTCGATAGTTTCCAGAAAGTGATTTTCTGTCAGCTTTACCCATTCAAGCCCATCGCTTGGATATCTGCATGGAATGTGGATACCTAATCATTAACTTGTCATCCTCCTAAGTTCCAGAAGGGGAAAAGGGAGGGCGGCCCGGGGCGGATGGAGTAGGCGTCCCTGTCTATCATTAAAACTAATGAAAATGTATAATTCTTAGTCTAATGTATACGCATTTTCGAATTGTTCCAAGTTTAGCGTTATCGGCAGAATAATGAGAAATAAATGATTTCAACGTAAAATAAAGTAAGGCGTATCGAATTCCGGTAGTTGTCTGCAAGCAGGGGTGGGGGGTTATGTTCTAGGCTATCATGTTGGCCTGAAGTTGAAAAAGAGGCGTGACGGCCAAGAGAATTGGCAGGGCGGAAATCTCCTTGATCCTTGTAAGTGGACCCTTGTAAGTGGTCAATGCCCCCTGCTGTGGGATGTAACTGTTCCGGACCCCGCAGGCTTAGCTTATTTCCTGGTTGTCTTGATCTTAGGTATTTCAACAGTATTTCAACCAATCACTTATCAGAAATATCAGCAATGTACTAGATACATCTCTAGTACAAGCATTAACCAAGGAACAAAGGCATTCATTACAGGGGTCTCTCAGCCTCTCTTACCAGCTCTATACTAACCCTGTCCTTATCAGACCCAGCGAAGGCACTCAATCTCTTAAATCCGATGGCTATCGCCAAATTTCCATCCACAAATAGTAAATACTATGTATCTAGGTATTGAATACTTCCTTCGCTTCCGTAAGTTTCATTACCTGCTACAGGATACGAGATATATTTCTTGCCATCTAGGTACCTAAGCATAGGTACCCAAATACCGACCCCTGCAGTCAACTACACTAATTCTTTATCTTAGTACGTTGCATAGCGGGCCGTAGGAAGTATCCGCTTCTTTTTACGTGATCGAGATCAATCGATGATACTCCACAGTATGTAAATCATAGTGGCAATATTATTATCTTTAAAAATTAGCCTAAATTGTTATATACAGAGAGGAATGTTTCTTGTTTGGTGAATCCTTTTACGTAGTAGTTAAGTTATGGTTAAGCACTTTTTAGATCAGAATTAAAAGACGTATTACGCTTTGCATTAAGTATGCGATCTTGCTTAATCTTGATGAACGTCATTAGCTATGTCACACGAACTCTCAATGTGCCGAAAGCTTAACTGGCTTTTGGTTTTTTCCCCATTTGTTTAGTTGTTTTTATCCAATAAGACTTTCAATGTTTCAGCCGGTATCCAATCCGCTATCCAATTCGCTATTTCCGCCCACTTGCTTAAGACGGTTAGCTTGGCGTCATATACCGGCGGCTTTAAGAAAAAGATCTTACGCTTATAAGACGCTATTCTAAATTGCCGGGAACTGCTCAACCCGAAGTGAACAAAAATTCCCTATCCGAATATACTTACCCACATGTGACAGTGTAACCTGTGGTGCCCTATTTTTCGTATTTTCTAAGGATGAGAATAGTTTTTGTTCCTAGGGGGAAGAAGGCTTACGAGCGTTGCCCGATATGTATCGTACAGTGTATCATGCAGAGAGATAGGCTGGCCTACTGGCTGCGCTTTCCGAACGCCCTAGCGTAACCGTGACTTAGTTTACATTTTAGTAACAGTTTCTGAGACATTTCTGGACCCTCTGGGGCATCTGATGCTCTCGATGCCGGGTAGACCTGGAAGGTTGTCCGGCAACCCAGCAACCCAGCACAGCGTCACCCTATACGCTATTCTCCACAAAGAGCACGGTCGTTTACTTGACTCGGAAGGACTTATAGCATTGACTTTACTAGATCATGGGATTTCTCCCAGTTTTGGACATCGCTGAATCATTGACTAATCGTTCCGTTCCTCTAGATTCAGATATGTCAATCACTACCTATTTTGACATGTCATCTCCTAGTCCGATGCTAATGAGCAGGTAAAGTAGCATAAATGCCTAACTTACAGTAAGTACCTCACGCATGTAGTAATAGCAGGGAAACGAGTTCCGCTCATCGCGGGTAGACAAAGGGTGGGCACCTCAGGGCCTCTTATCTCTCCGTTGTTAGCTGCTACACAGCTTGAGGCTAGACCCCGGCATCCTTCATCCCAATGATATCACAACCCGGGGCGCGGGTTAGGCTGCTTCTTGTCTTTCAGCTGGACTTTCCCAACATATATGCGTGCGGGAACGTTGCGGATAACCGCCGTATCTTGTGAGACCTTTACATGATGTTGCCTAGCGAAACGTATGTTGATATTTCATGCCAATCTTTCATGCCAGTACGAGAGATTCATAACCTGCATACAATAGATTTTGACTTTTACAACTTCCAAAATTTCCTTTGTCCAGATCCAACCAAGATGTCGACGACGTACATCCTAGGCTCTATTAACCAGAGCCGTGGATCAACCTATGACTTCTCATCAGAAAGTCCCCTTGCCGAGATCCAACCATCTAGGCCCTCTATTGCTAATCTAATATACCTTCATCTAACATGGTCGACGCTCTGGTTTACGTTACTATGTTTTTTCGTCGTATTAAACATCAAGAATATGCCATTTATGTGGCATGTAAGTAGCTCTCGTCTCATCTTTATCCAATCATGAAGCTAACATGCTCTAAAGCTTCGACTTGTTAATGCTTTCCGTTTTATCTTACGAACACAACGGCCAGCCGTGCCGCTCACGCCTACTCATATCTTTCAACCTATCATCACATCTTCCACGGCACAACTCATGGAGATTGACTTCAACATGCACAAATCTAATTCATCATATTTCGCGGACGTTGATATCGCACGAACTCATCTTGTCTGTACGTTATTCGCGAAGGGCATCGATCAGATGCGCGGTGGAACCGCTGCATACACCGGGTCTAGGAAGCCCGTGTTCGGCCTTGCGCTCGGCGCAGTATCATGCAACTTTAAGCGCGAAGTACGCCCATATGAAGAGTACGAAATGTGGTCTAAAATTCTAGCCTGGGACGAGAAATGGATCTACATCGTAACCCACTTTGTCCGCAAGGATGCCGCCAAACCAAGGAATTATTCACTGTATCCCGAGCAGTCATCGAGCCAGAGTCGACGGAATAGCACTACAGAATTGGATGAAGACCAACTATGTCACCCTAGTCCTGACAGCGTATCGTCCAACAGCAGCAACATGGAAAATGAAGTCAAGCCGGACAAGCACATCTTTGCCACAGCTTTAAGTAAATGCGTCTTTAAATCCGGACGTAAGACTGTTTCACCGGAACTCATGCTACAAATATCTGGGTTATTACCGGCGTGTAGCTCCGAGGACAAAACTTTCGACGAGGCCACAATGCAGGGCATTGAGGCACAGAGACAAAAGGGGCTTGAGACTGCACAGCTCCTTGCCGGTCAGACCCAACAGAACCTCGAGGCCGAGTTCGCGGGCGCGGACTGCGAGGCCTTGGGAAGACACACGGATGGTGCAGGCATTGTTGGAGTAGTCAACACTCTCCTGCAGCTTGCGCGTTTGAAAAAGACGCAGGTATTATGATCATCACTTATCTATCACCTCTCGTTTTCAGCAACAGTAATCACAGTGGCGTTCTTGAGATACGTCAGTTGCATTCCATCCATCTATAGCGATAGCTTCATTATTATTGTACCATATCCCTAGCACACGGCACCCTACATACTCACATACATACCTTGCATTATGTATGCAGTTCAAAGTATAATGAGCTGATATCATACGCACATTTCAATGCAACATAAACAATAAGCATGGTCCCTTTGGAACGATTGGTCATGGTAGTGGGCACATATCTAGGGGTCATACATAAGGGCAGTGGTTGCATATTCTAATAATCTTAATATATACTATATAGGTAGGTAATCTTAATACGAGATGACCCCCAACTCTATCTTGCAGTTGGAGAAGCTTGGTTCGACCACGTCGGTCGCGTGCGCGGCTGGAAGTAAACAGGGGGAAACAAAATGTTACATTTGTAAGCTTCTTGTTGGTATTCCCGGCTCTGTGGCGTTTAGGACAAATTTAAGGGTAGCTCAAAAAAAAATATATCCCTTGAAAGAATAAGCCAGGGACGTAGTTTAGTGTAAACATAGATAGGCTTATGCTGGGGATACAAAGAAGCCTGAATGTTAGTAAGAAACAAGTTATTTTTATTTTTATATCTACCAATCAATAGCTCTTAACTGTTGAAAGCTGTGAAGCTATTAGCTTGTCAATAGTAAACATTTTCTATTATATTTTGTATAGACTATCAAGGTGTATCCCTATAAAGCATAGTAAGTAGAATTAATAGCTTAACAACCTAGCATCCCCAATATCCAGTAGTTCCAACGAACCTGCAGTAGGGGGCGAACCGAACCATGGCAAGTAACACTTGTGAATCACATCAACAGTTAAACATTGGTGGAATTACGGTATTTTGTCTAGCCGGATCTGGGGAAATTCGTAGCCAGGCATTGCACGAAGGACGGAGACAACCAATACCGAGTACAATAGTCTCTTCTGGGCAAGCCACGTGGGTGGTAGGCATCATAACATCCAATTCGAGTAAGACCCGAGGGTCCATAAGACTCGATGCTAGGGGACTTTATGCGAATGATGTCTCTGGCCGTCTTACATGATAAGATTGGTTACGCTAGTCAGTACATCTCGAACTCCTACGCGAATACTACACGCTGGTTGCGCAATTCCGGTAACCCGGGTGTGCTGTAGTGCCGTTAACTGGCGCATGTATTGGATACATGTGTAGGTACTTTAGCTATAAGTGCTACGAAGTACTAAAACGGGAAGAGTAAAAAGGCTAAGATTTAAGTACATAAATTACTATGTACATGTAAGCAAGACTAAGGGATACATAGCAGCGTTCATTTGAGCGGTACTAGTCCCGGGCTTCGGTGGCTGCCGCAGCTGCAGCAGTGGCTTCGGCCCACATCCGTCACGTACCCCACTTTATTAAATTCCAAGACGGCGGGCCGCAGATCTCTTCCCCTTTCAAGCTCCGATTCATGATAGTGTTCTCTTCTTGTCTCTACTGTAGTCTGTGGTATCTCTGCTGTCTCGCCCCCAGTACCCAATGCTCTACTCTAAAGGCCTCTTGGCTACTCTTAAGCTTCATAGCTTAGACCGGACCTTTTTCAGCTCGTATCCACCGCATCCACAGCAACGGTAGGATCGACATTGCCGCGCTCCAGCGCCAGCTCAACAACGCTATTGAATCTTTGCCAGCTTTCTTTTCGCTTCCTATGTTTCCTGCTATTGGTCTAAGGGCTGCTAAGCTTCTGTTTTAACGTTAATAGCGATCGCCGACCTTACACATGGAGCTTGCTTGTCCTGCATGCATGCTACTTGCTAACGCTTTCTTCTTTGTTTATGGGATCCTCTATCATAGGTCGTTTTACTATTCGTAGCCTGCACATTCCAGCTTATCCCATGTCGGCAAAGCGGTTTCGTCAACGCTTTCCAATGGGAAAGTAGGTAATTTACCGGGATCGAAACATCCAGACCTAGCGCCATCTGCGGAAAAAAACAAGGCAGTTTCCCACCCGTGGGGGCTTGCTTGCGCAGCTGCGAGCTAAGGTCTGGGCGCTATCGGCATTGGGAAATTGGCATCGAGGTGCCATACCCGCGGAAGAGGTGGAACGAGTAGGCGTGTAAGTGACGTCGCGCCTCCACGGTAAGTCGGTACCTATGTGACCGGGGTAACACGGTCTCCAACGCTCGTTTAGATGTTTTCCTACCGTCTTCACTATCTTCGATCTAGACTTGGGTCCGAAGCAGCCCTGGCTATCGAACCTGTTGAACCCGGCAAGAATAACAAACGCGCGATGGAGGAGGACGGCAGCCATCGTACCTCGCTGGACGACGACATCTCATCAGTGTATCAGTCCGCAACTTCCAACGATGGCAGGGTCAGCCTCTCCTCGACGCAATGTGATGGCGATGCTGAATTGAGTCTTCCCCCGCTTCGCCCGGCCTCTCCTTTCTGGCTCTCTGGGGAACTTATCGATGGGGTTTCCAAGCTAAAATATTCCCACTCGAGAGACATTTCCACGGCCTCGAGCAAAACGCTGAACGGAGGCAGCGAGACGGATAGCCAAGTTCACCTAGACCGGCAGACTACCTTGGCCGATCTCCTGATAGATTCTGCTCCCCATCTCCGGCATCTATCAACCGTTAGGACAGATGACGCCAAATTCAGAATCGTCTCATCTACGCCTAAGGAACGGCTCGTAACACCCGTCGGAGAACAGAGGCACCCGGGCAAACCGGGGTTGCAATTTCGCAAGACCTCGCGGCCGTATGAGCTGGAACCACAAGTAGACAGCGATAGGCGAAGCCAACGGTCTTCCGTCACAGTAGCCGAAGCTGCCGACCAGGACCAGTTCTTACAGGGAATCCCTCTACTTCTACTCACCATTGGTCTCTCATTAGTCGTTTTCTTGATCTCTATAGATCGAACTATCATTACAACTGTGAGCAAACGAGAAAAGGCTTCAAACTTGGAATAGGAGACTAACGCGGAATATAGGCCATTCCTTTTATTACCGCCGAGTTCAAATCTACGGCAGACATTGGCTGGTATGGCTCATCATACCTCCTCACGGCATGCGCCTTCCAACCCGTCTTCGGACGCGTCTTCACTCTCTTTAACGTCAAATGGTCGTATCTTCTTTCTATGTTAGTTTTTGAAATAGGCTCTATTATTAGCGGCTTTGCGCCGTCTTCGGCAACATTAATCATCGGACGCGCGATTGCCGGGTTGGGCAGCGCAGGCATCTTAACTGGGAGTTTTGTAATAGTTGCTACGGCTGTACCATTAAATGTTAGGCCGATATATACTTCAGTGGTTGGGTTAATGTAAGCGCTCTACGACCCCTGAGTGTCAATCGCGGCAAGCTAACTTTGTAGGTTCGGTGTTGGCGCCACTGTTGGCCCTCTCATCGGAGGTGTATTTACGGATCTAGTTGTATGTATAGCCCCTAAACCGTTGAAGAACCAATAGACTGATATCGACGCAGACATGGCGATGGTGCTTCTGGATTAACCTCCCGGTTGGTGCCGTGACGATCATTGTGATGATACTTGTATATCACCCGCAACCGCGCACGGGATCCAAGGAGAAAGTCATACAGCGACTGATCAGCCTCGACCTCGTCGGGAATGTCATTCTCTTGGGCGCCGCAGTGATGTTGTTCCTGGCTCTGGAATACACCCTTACAGGCGCCGATTGGGCAAGCGCTGAAGTTATCGGCCTGCTCTGCGGTGCCGGCGTGACGGCAATCGTACTAGTTGGATGGCTCCGGTGGAAGAAAGACCGTGCTCTGATCCCGCCCGCAATTGCTAAGCAAAGGACCGTCGCCGCATCGTGCCTGATGGCATTTTTTACTTATGGCGCCTTGCTGGTCCACACGTATTTCCTCCCGATCTGGTTCCAGTCCATTCTAGGCTACAGTGCCATTCAATCAGGCGTTGCTATGATCCCGTATTTTGTTGCAAACGCCTTATTTTCTGTATTCTCGGGGATTTTCGTGTCGGTCGTCGGCTACTTCACACCGCCGGCCATTCTCGGAAGCGCAATCGGCACCGTAGGCTGTGGTATCATAACGCTATTCCACCCGAGTATGAGTACGGGAATGTGGATTGGATTCGAAATTCTCGCGTCGGCTGGATTCGGTATGTCAATTCAGCAGGGCTTTACGGCGGTGCAAACGGTGCTAGGACCGGACGACTTGGCTATCGGTACTGCTGCCGTCGTCGCGTCCCAATCGCTAGGTGGCGCCGTCTTTATATCGGTCGGCAATAGCGTCTTCCAGAACCGTCTCGCGGATCTCATTGAGCAGACGGATATTCCAGGTCTTGACGTCCGTGCTATCGTCGGCGCAGGGGCCATCGCCTTCCGAAAGGTTGTCCCGCCCGAGCAGCTTCCCGCTTTACTAACGCTGTACGACGAAGCACTACATACGGTTCTTCTCGTTGCAATCCCGCTCGCCGGCTTGGCATTCTTGTCCTGCTGTGCTTTACAGTGGAAGTCCGTTAAGAAGCCAAACAAGCCTATGGCCGAGACGGAAAAGGTGTAGATACTATAGGCTATTACATGTTCTTTTACTATTTATTATGTTAAGGTATGATAGGTTAGGATAAAATAAGTAATGGGTCAGATTTGTATTAATACGGCGTATTAATGTTAAGGGGAGCATAGTGTTTAATCTTCCGCGTCAGCACGTTTAATGCTTTGCCACGAGCATAGCGCAATGCAAACCCTGGTCGGTTAGGATCATCAAGCATAACCAAGCCAGCAGGGCTGCCAGGGTCTGAAAATCTGTTGATGTTTTGCATGTGGTTCTTGGATTAGGAGTAATAGGGCGAATCTATTTAGCTTATACGCATATGATAGAATTAAGAGAATAGCTTTGTTAGTTAAGCTACCTAATACATACAAGCGATTGTTTTAAATGAAAGAGACCAATCATTCTTTGACTCGGTGGCATGATTAATACATAAGATGCCATTTGGGAAAACTGGACATACATAGTACGGAATCCTACAGGGTGGGCATACATATCTGCAAACCCTGGTGATCTTATCTGTGTTTTGGGCAGTACATAGGCCGTGCTCCGTTGGACAGAAAAAACAAGAGGCACAAGAAAAAAAAACCCAAACCCACCGCCGTTCATTCATTTATTCATTCATTTATCCATTCATTCATTAATAAAATTTCCTTCTTGTCTTTTAAATCGCCGTCGCGGCTGGACCGAAATTTCAAGACGTTTCTTCCAAAGGCTAGAGATTAGCCATTAGCTATGGGGATTCAATGGTGGGAGGATTTCGGTGACAAACATCCTAAAGTTCATGACACTTTGGCCAACGCGGCATACGCCATAAAACCGTATCTGCCTCCAGTCAACTACATCACGCTGCACTATGCGTACTTCATCGGCACCACGATCGTGGCCACGCTCATCTTCTGGGGTGCTTCGGCCCCGAAGTATAGCGTCGGATGGTGGGATAGCATGTTCATGGTGATGTCGGCGCTGACTGCGTCCGGGCTCAATACCGTCAACGTCAGCCAGTTGACGACGTTTCAGCAGGTCGAGCTGTGCGTGTTGATGATGATTGGGAGCCAGGTGTTGATTTCGTACGTTACGATCGCGTTTCGGAAACATATCTTTGAGAAGCGATTCGAGGATATCGTCAATATGGAACGCGAGAAGAGGAAGAAGAAGGTCTCGGGAACCGGTGCTATTGTCGGTATGACGGGTGCTATGTTTGGGTTGCAGGTCATGTCGTCGTTTGGAAAGGGACGCGCGGGCGAGAAGGCCCGGCCTACTGGCCATGTGAGGAACCTGTCTGCGTCAACTAGAAGGGCGCTTTCGGCCGAGGAGGGAACTGTTCCGGAAATCGATGTCGAAAATGGGAGGGGCCAGCATCACCATGTTGGTTTCCTGGAGCCTGTCCAAGAGGGCAAATCCCTCGAAGGCCACTCTGCAACAACCGCGCACTCGATCTACCAGACGCAATCTCACCAAAGTGGAGCGACGAGACGACGATCTGGAACGGCGGAATCAAGGACTGCGTTCGAGGGGTTCAACGTGCAGACATTTCTAACCGAGCAGAAGCGCAATATCGGGAGGAACGGGCAGTTCTTCAATTTATCGGAGGATCAACGAGAATACCTCGGCGGCGTCGAGTATCGCTCGCTCAAATTCCTGTCTTTCTTCGTCATCGTCTACTTCCTTCTCTGCCAATTCTTCGGCGCCATCGCTCTCGGCGCCTGGATGTCAGTCTACGCAGTCGACACCGCCGCCGTCAATGCCCAGAATCCGTGGTGGGCGGGCATCTTCCTGGCCATATCCTCGTACAACAACGCCGGCTTCACGCTCCTGGATGCGGGTTTCTTACCCTTCCAGTCTTCGTATTTCCTGCTCGTCGTCGTCACGCTGCTGTCGCTCGCGGGCCCGGCGGCTTTCCCGGTTTTCATGCGGTTTATAATATGGAGCATGTCGACTCTCCTGAATCTTCTTTCTAAAGATAAGGAGTACGGCGTCTGGAAAGAGGGTTTCGACTTTATCTTGAAGTTCCCTCGTCGCGTGTATACCAGTTTGTTTCCGGCCAAGGATACTTGGATGTTTGCGGCTACGTTTGGAGCGTTTGTGATTGTGGATTGGGTCTTGATTCTGCTTCTTAGCATCGGAAATCCGACTATGGATGCTATTCCCATCGGCCAGCGTATCTTTGACGCGCTGTTCCAGGGATTCTGTAAGTGCCCTCCCTTATGATAGTAACACGTGATGATTTAGAAAGGATCTCGAGCTAACGAATTGAACAGCGATCCCTTCAGGAGGATATGCCATAGTATCACCTTCAGCCATGTACTTCGACATTCTGGTACTTTGGCTCGTCGTGTACTATACAGCGGCCTACCCCCACATCATCACCATGCGAAACTCCAACGTCTATGAAGAGCGATCATTAGGTATCTACGAAGGCGACCAACCTGAGGAGGAACAACTCCACTCTGCAAGCAGCAGTATCGTCGAGGAAGATGCTGCCAACATCCTGGATGAAACCGGACTCCAGCCAGTCACGACCAACAACAGGAACTGGGATGCAGCCTCGCGAGCGCCGACCACCAAATCCATCAAGATGCTCTATTCCGTCGGTCGTCGTGGCACAGCATTCGTAGGCCGCCAAATCCAGCGTCGCATGACGGGCTTCCAAGGTGTCGGCGTCTCCGCACCCCCGCCCGCACCAGCGATCAAGCCGCTCAGCCGGGCCAAAACTATGGACTTCGGGCGAGCCTCGGTGCATTCTCTCCACAACCACCCGCCCGCCGGTCCCCCTAGTCTAGTCTCGCAGCAGGTGCGCGGCCAGCTCAGCCACGACGTGTGGTGGATCGCGCTGATGCTCTTCCTCATCACGCTCATCGAGACGAGTCACTCGCTCGCCGACCCGGTCTCATTCAGCGTCTTCAACATCTTGTTCGAAATCGTCTCGGGCTACACCAACATCGGCATTAGTATCGGCCTGCCCGACCAGAGCTACAGCTTGAGCGGGGGCATGCACACGGGAAGCAAGATCATCATGATCTTGGTCATGCTAAGAGGTCGGCACAGGGGTCTGCCTGTCGCGCTGGACAGGGCCATTCGGTTGCCGGGGAAGAAACTTGCCGAGTACGAGGAGGAAGATGCTGAGATTCGGAGCATGTCTGCTTTTTCGCGTTGAGCTTAGCGCTATGATTGTTTTGAATACGAATGATGCTATGTGCATTCTTCGCAGAGAAACTAGGTGCTTTAACATCTGACACTCACTACTAAATACTTTATGTTTTTCCTTTGTCATATTCTTCACCCCCCCTTTTTTAGATTTTTTTTTATTGAGATATCAACGCGATTAGACGGAGTAATAGAGGCAAGTATTGCGGTTCAAGGGCCAGGAACATATTTGAACTTGGCATGGCGGCTGCTTGAGATTAATCAGGCGTTATAAGCGAGCGGGCAGCACACACATGGTTACGAAATATAGAAGTTATTGAATTCATCATGGGCTCGCCTTAGTCATAGTTAGTACGTATGATAACAAGAGTTTATCATGCGTAAGACATAGAGCCATACCCTTATTGGGCTTTGCTGCTACGAGAATGAAAAGACATTTTCTCGTATCATCTTAGTATGACAGTGTTCTTAATACTCAAGGTGCTTGATTTCCCTGTTAAAATTTGCCGGGATGATTTACCTAAAAACCTGGTCTACCTATACTAACGTTGTAGTAATTAACAGTAAAGGATAGTAGGTAAAACATATAGTCGTCGATCTCACATTATGATAAGAAAGCAGAATGTGATGCCGCATTCGAATATTCTAAAGTCCTTAAGAAGCACCTAGATATAAATTTCCGGTAGACTGCGCCGTAGCCACATCCATTGTCGTGTTACAGACGATAGGGTACTCCTCGTACTAAGCTATATTTCGGAGTATCCACGAGTATTTAGCAGCAAACTCATGATGTCTACAGTCGAGATTAGGATGACCATGATTTATGCTCGTCACTGTACAAGTTGTCCCCGAACATCTCCGGCACCCCCTCCGGCTTGACCCACATACCTAACGGCTATTCATCCGCCGACCGGCATCCGAGCGTGGCTTCCGTGACTTGTTCGGGCCAGTAGGATGTTCTTATATCCCCGGGTATCATATTGACGAGCCATGCCTTATCTCTATAGTCATAACAGTTAACTTGATAAAAGTTGAAGACTGGTATCTGGTTAGATGATCGCAGATAGCTTGGTTTACCCAGGGCTCTTAGAGAAACCGACGTCAAGAGCACTGGTGATTTGTACCTACACAGTACCTGGTAAGCTACCTGTTGTGAATCTCGTTACCAAGATGATATGATAACATGGATGTCCAACCACGTTTGCGCCTTTGAATATCTTCACACCTAACCAAGCAAATTTTCACCAAAGTCCGCCCGGTTAGCTCAATCGGTAGAGCGTGAGACTCTTAAGATTCTCGTGGAAACGAGAGGAAAGAAATCTCAAGGTTGCGGGTAAGTCTAGATATAAAAAATCTTAGGATGGTCATCCTCGTACTAACCCACTTCGATAGGTTCGACACCCGCATCGGGCTCAATTCCTGATGCTTCTCATTGATTTGAGAAAAATCAACCTTCCTTTTTTTGTTTTTTGTTTGTTTTGTGCGCGTGTAGGAGCGCGCTAAGGCTACTGTTCTAAACAGGTCTATCCTTGGACATTCCCGAGGTCAACCCACAATGGTTCCATAGAGACGGGGCTAAAACTTATCTAGGCTACCCAACTTATATTTTTCCACGCTGTCGCCCGCATCTTTAAATCTCGATGTCTACCTAGGTTACTAGATCTAGCCTCTCTATCACATTTCTTAGCTTCTTCCCCTGCTGCTAGCTAAAAGCGATTTGTTTGTCCGAGACTGTCAAGCCCTCAGCGTTCTACGTGAAAAGGACCCGGGACAAGCCAACAGGGCCAGGTCAGAGGTCTGTCCCATGAACTAGTACGAGATATCACGAAGTTGCTATGATAAAGCATATTAGATTGAAGTGATTAATTGACCATCGGTTCTCGCAATCGCGGTACAAGTTTCAGGTATATACTACCATATAACAGTAAGTAGCCCCAAGGCCCCTTAAATGATAAATCGTATGTGTTTTATTCCGTCGATAGCGACAGAGTCATTGTAATTTATCGTGTCTTCGTCAAATTCAATTCACTCTTGACTCAAGACGTATCATTAATACGGAAATCGTGCGCTCAGGGTCTATTTGGAGAAATGAAACGAAGAACTCGAATCATTTATCAAAAGTAAAGTTAGGGGGAGTGACGTGTATTAATAATTATGAGGATATAGCCTCGTAGAAGCGAACAGTAAAGCTCTACGACGGATTGCTCTTTGTGTATGTAGTAGACCCCTATTCACCAGACATCCTGTGTGTATCTGCTCCTGCTTTACCGCCAGGACACATCCCTTCAGTCAAAATCCCCCCACGTTTCAACTATTACATCCCTCTCGCCTATCCGGACATCGGCTCTTGGTCTTCGTCGGGACGAACGACCTGACGAGTAGCCGGCTGTATGTCGATGACCGGATCTATGGCCGGCTCTAGCTCCGCTTCTGTGGTATGAGCTATGGCTTGGCGCCGGGGAGCTCATGCAATTGCCCATGGTACCTTTTTACCCCGGTTTTGGTGAGATATTCGTGATGCAGTGCCTGTGTTGTGCGGTCTCCGAAATTGCTAGGAAAGGGAGGGTTGTTTCCTTGTTGGATTTGTCGGTCGGGGTTGGTGCTTATGAGGGCTATGGAATCAAATTATAGGTTACGATGCAGAAGGAAGAATACTAAGGAAAGAGAGTAAATATATAATTATATTTCACGCAGCCTCTCTTCGTGGCAGCTGATCGTGACAGTACGCCTAGCATGTCACCAGACCCCCTGATCAGGTCTGACTAGGCAGACAAGTGACTCAGCAGGCTATAGTTGATAAGGGGGGTGATTAAGACTATAGAAACCATTCACATAATTGAATATAAGCTCTTTTAGTTTTCACCGAAGTCTATTCATTAAATTAAATCTCTTTCTATGAAGTGCAGACCTGTGTATGGTTTCCTGTATATAATCAGCAACTAACCTAGGTAATTAATTAATTGCCACATCCAATATGCCAGGTTCAGTCACATGATCGACATTATTCTCAACCAACAACAATAATAAATCAATTTAAAGAGAAGTCGAAGAACTAACTAAGGTCAATAACCGGACTTGCGGTTGTCCCGTGGAATATCCTGCAGCATCTAGAACTCGACAAGGGCAAGGTCCGTGAGTTGTCGAATAACTTCATTATTCATACAAATCTCTTCACGTCGTGCTAATCCAAATTAACTATCCTACGTCAAGATATAATAGACTGACTATTTTGCCTTATGATAGACATCCCAAAATATCGACTAATTCAAGCCAATGTGCTTCGGCAAGAAAAGTAACTTCGTTGTTCCGCAAGGGATCCGAATCCAAGCTATATAAACTAATGACTACCTAAGCTATACACACTAAGCGTATTCTTTGTCACGGATGTCTCATCAAGAGTCATGATACAATTAATAAGGAGTCTGATATAGAGCTAAGGTTGTGACTATTATGATCCAACTCCATAACCATCTACTTCCCAGGGACCTAAAACATTCAAGTTGGACTCCGGATCCGCTTAGCAGAAAGAGACGATAAAATGCCTATTTAACAACAGACTCTCCTCCCGCTTTTGGTGTTATCTTCTCCCTCATCGCCAGCCTATCTCTCCTAACCGCCACCCGCACAAAACTCCAACCAAAAAAGCCCATCTCTTCTCTTACCTATCGGCAGTCTAGGAGTCTACCTAGGCATATCCCCGTTGTCAGCCTCATCTTATGTACCACCCGCAACAACAGGACTGGAGCAGAGCACTCATGGGTTGCTGCCTTAGCTGCCCTCGCGGCAAATCACAAGAGAAATCTGAAGCTAGAGATGAGAACGCGCTGCAGCCTTCTCAATCGTCTGCCGTCGCTCCCCCGCTTAGCACTTCAAGCAAACGTTCATGCAAGTGTTCATGTAAGCGGAAGAGAAAACACAATGACGACGACTGCGATGCACTGGACTGCATGATATGTTTATGCTGTTGCTGGATGGCATGGTGCCCAGGTTGTTAGCTCTACTTGTTTAGCTGGTGTCTGGATAGGACTGTGCTATGATATATTAGCTCTTTTTGATTGCTAGTGGGTTGGATTATGATGATATATGCAACACTTACCTAATCAGAATATAAATTATATATGAACTATTGAGATTTTAATATGTATTATTGCCCCTGGTATTATGTGAGCATAGGTACACAAAGTACTGCCCCACATCAGTTCAGCTCCTAGACTCCCCTAAACCTCAGGTATCTAATGTATATGACTACCGTATGTATTTGTAAGCAGCTTCGAAAAGGGGGACTACATACATACATAACTCATAACCCCCTAGCGGCTGAAAAGTGGCATCGCATCGGGTTTCTACACTGAGTTTCCCAAAAATATTCGAGGGTCTGATCTTCCGCAGAATGCCCGCAATTCCCCGCCAGAAAGCTTGCATCGCCTGTGCGGATTCTAAGCGCAGATGCGATAAGCAGCTCCCCGAGTGCCAGCGGTGTCTAGACAGAGACGTGGACTGCGTTTACCCGCAACCTAAGAGGAGACGGAGAAATCCGATTGCGCGTGTTAGTCGGCCCGAGGAGCTTCCCGCAATTCAGAGCCATGCCGATACCGATGCCGATGCCGATGCCGACGCCGATGTTTCGGGCGGCGGTCTCGATTTCGGAGACTGGGGTGCTATGGGAGCCGCCGACCTGGACGTCTCCCTGTCGGACGTGATAATGCCATACATCCCATCTCCACCGGCGCATGTAACTAATCAACCAACCCAGAGACTCGCGCTTGAAAGCGATGATATTTCCAACACGCCATGCCCCTGGTTTCTCGGAGACGAGACGTGGATCATGCAGCATAGCCAAAAACAACCGGCCACGTCTGCCAATGTCGAGCTAGAACCTTTCATCCGCGCGGTAGAGGAAATGCTGCATTTCTGGGTCCGGAATGGCTATAATAGCTTTATTCATCGGCGGTTGTATGATAAGGGTATGCCTATGTGTCTCCAGGACGCCTTCACAACGCTCGCTACGTATGTTAGTCGCACACAGGCGATGAAAGAGACGATACTGCAAATTGCCGAGTGGCGCTCATCCGCACTCGCCAGCCAGGGCCCATGTGTTGCCGGCGGCGCGCAAGGCATACGAGCGCAACTGGCGCGTATCCATGCCCTGTTCGTCTACCAATTCATACTGCTATTCGACGGCTCGGTGCGTTCGCGCGCGCACGCCGAGAAGCAGCAGCCAACGCTGCGACAGTGGGTAACCCAGATGTGCGAGGTGGCGAAGCGCTACAGAGGAGAAGATATTTTCGCCCAGGACAATCGCCCGCCTCAATGGACCGTAAGTAAGTTTGACAGAGAATACGACGCGTCCTCGAAGATGTGGCAGCTGTGGATTTTGATCGAAAGCGTACGGCGCTCGCAGCTTATCATCGATACTATCTCCAATATATACGATACCCTGACTAAGGGGTGGGCTGACTGTACCGGCGCTGTTATGTTTACGGCTCGTCGGGGGCTGTGGGAAGCGGACTCTGCGGTGAAATGGGTTGAATTATCTTCGGCGGAAGAGCCGCTTCTGGTGCCGTCTTTGCAGCCTGGACCGCTTATCTCGCAGTATAATGCTGATGAGTTTGACGATTTGGTACAGGTGGTTTGGACGTGTATAGTTGGCACGGATAAGATGAAAAGCTGGATTGACAAGAGTAGTAAAGCAATTGGAATATAGTATATCTTATAACATGACCATCCGAATCATGCCACTGGTTTTGGATGCTCGTGATGGATTCTTTTTTCTTTCTAATGTGATCTACAGGCTAGCTTATGCTAAGATATTGAAATTCATAATAACCAATACTTCAACTTAAATCGGTTCTCAAGTTAGCCTTCTCATACCCAAGTACGCCCCAAAATTAAACCCTGGTTGACCTCGGCCTGCGAAAAGGGGCTTTGTAGATTCCGCTTGCCGACTAAGTCGAAATATTATTCAACAATACCTAAAGACCTTAAAGCTTTACAGTGATGGCATATTACACCATTTTCATTTCAATTGTCTTTGATAGGATTATCTTGTAAGCTAAGTTAAAAACCCAACAAGACAGAAACACTAAGTCGTCAAAATTGACAACTTAACAATAATTGCTTGCTACTTCTAAATATTATTATTTTTCGGCGTAAATAACCATCCGAACATGTTAGCAGAAAGGTGTGCGTCGCTACAACCCGAAGTCTGCCTTAGTCCTTTAGCGGGCAGGATGCGGCCAATTTGCGGAAAAGTTGCGGAATTATGGCGGAATCTCTAATCAATCGATCACGTCATGAGGGAGGTTCCTAATATGAGTAGTCCGGAGAAAAAAACACTTTAGAGTATTCGGAGTGATTTCAAAGCAAGCCTTGTGGATGATTAAACGAAAGCGAGGGTATGATACTCGGTGTGAAACATAAGGGGATATAAGACACCGCCTGTGTTATAAAGTCGATGAACCACCACACAATTCTGTAAAACACATCTCATTCCATATCATCTCAAAGTAAACTTTATCTACATCCAAGTCCTTTAAATAGCTTCCTTTTAACCAATATGGCTCCCTCAGTACCTGTAAAGATCATTCTCGGCACCCACACGGTACGTACGTCCCGTCGCTTACAAGCCCCCATTTCTAACGACATGATTATAGGTGGGCAGCAAGGTCAACAACCCCGGAATTGCTCATTTCGACAGCCCAGAAGAAGTTCAAGCTCTCCTAGATGCATTCTACAACCGGGGCTACAGGGACATCGACACTGCGCGCAACTACTCCGGCTCCGAGGAGCGCCTCGGGCGAGCCGGGGCTGCGTCCCGGTTCATCATCCACACGAAGGTCAAGGACGGCCGTCCCGGGTCTCACGAGCCTGCGAAGATCGAGCAGAGCATCAAGATATCTCTCGAGGACCTGAAGACCCCCAGCGTAGAGACTATGTACCTGCACGTGCCCGACCGCCAGACGTCCATCGAGGACGCGGCGAAGGCGATTAACGAAGGCATCAAGCAGGGCAAGTACAAGCGATTCGGACTGTCCAACTACAGCGAGGACGAAGTGCAGAAGTTCATCGATGTCGCCGAGGAGAAGGGCTACGCTAAGCCGGGTTTGTACCAGGGGCATTACAATGCGCTGGTCAGGGGAGGCGAGAAGGCGCTGTTCCCGCTTTTGCGTAAACATAACATCTCCTTTTTTGCTTACAGGTAAACCAATATCAGAAATATCACAAGTCTTCAACTTAACTGACGCTTGGATTCAGCCCTGCCGCAGGCGGTATTTTCACCGGCAACGCGGGAAAATCCGCCGCCTCGTCACGGTGGAAAGACGACGTAAGTCCCCTAGCACCTAGCTAGCTAGCAATACCCTGACCATTCTACCTAACACTATCTATCCCAGAACCAAATCGGCAGACTATACAGCACCGTCTACGGCCAGCCCCCGGTCCAGGCATCCGTCGACGTGGTCCGAACCGCCGCGGAGAAATACGGGATTAGCGGACACGCGGCTGCGCTGCGGTGGACAACGTTCCACAGTGTCCTAGACGGAAAGTATGGCGACGGCGTCATCTTCGGCGTCTCGAACTTGGATCAGCTGAAGAAGACGCTCGACGCGCTTGAGGATGGACCGCTTCCTGCTGAGCTTGCGGATGCTATTGAGGCTGTTTATGCTACGGTTGAGGGCTCTGGACCGCCTTATCATTTTTAGGTGCTGTTTTGAGTTAAAGGTGATGGGTTATTTTAGAGGGAGCTGTTGTTAGATTAGTTATTATGGAATTATAAAGGATAGCTAAGAGTACTAGCTGCGTTACCCGTTCGCGCAAGCGCTTACGGGGAGTGCCTAGCTTCAAGAGTGCCTTTTACATACGCCACATATAAGTCTGGCCTCTGATTGGCTAGCCACACACCAGCGCACGTCCGATGAATTTTTTGTAGAATCAATTAAATTGCTTTACTTTTGGATGAAAGTTTTAATAATTAGTATCGTTGGATAGAGCGCGTTTTGCATGACATTTTGATACTATTTGCACTTTTTACAGACCTTGTGCGATAGAATGGCAAAGGAAAAAGTCGCAAACTGCGGGGCGATTCTAAGTATCTGATTGGTCGAAAAAATTGTGGCAGTACTAATGAAATATATAAGAGTTGATTTTCGTTTTTCAAGAACGTATAAAATGAGTTATATATATCGTTTCTAACTAAGCATGGACAGATTTAGAAGATATTCATATATCTGAAGAATTCGAAGCCTCTTCAATGAATATAACTCAAAGTCCTTAGCTTAGGATATTCGTAGTCGAGCCGTACATGTATAGGTATAAGTCTTTGAAATGCATGAATAACAGGGGCTGCCTTGTATGTACATACCTAAGTAGCGCCTATCGCGTCTAACAGATCGCTACTAGCGCAGGTACTCGGAACTTTTTAGCCGCAGCCGGAAAGAAAAAGCTACAAAGCTAGGTACTTAGGTACTTAGCCAATTTATTATAACACACTGTCCACTTTCCAAACCCTGCCACGTCAACTTCGCGGTCGTAATGTATCTTGACGTTCTAATGTCGGTGGGACGAGGCTGGGTGCATTACTGCAAGTCTCGATGGGTTATTTAAAAGAGTCCCATCAATGGGCTCGTATCGGGGCTATTGCACTGCTTGTGTTCCTACTCTCGGCTCACGTTTTTGCGTATGAGGAACTGTCAGATGATGCGCTTCGCTATATTCCCAGCGGCGCTCACGACTTCGACATCAAGACTGGATCTCTCTTGTCGCCTATCTTGATACCTAGGGTACCTGGCACCCCGGGTTCTATTGCCGTGCAGCATCATTTTGTCGACTTTTTCTCTCGGCAACTTCCGAAATGGAATATCGACTGGCACAATTCGACGTCAAGGACCCCAGCTACAGGTAGCACGGATATTCCCTTTAAGAACCTCATCATCACCCGCGATCCACCGTGGGCGCAAGCCGGAGATATTGGTCGCTTGACGCTGGTCGCGCATTACGATAGTCTCTACCGCCCGGAGGGATTCATCGGAGCTACGGACAGCGCCGCTCCCTGCGCCGTGTTGATGCACGTGGCGCGAAGTATCGATGAAGCTCTAACGAAAAAGTGGGAGGCTATGGAGGAATCTGGTGACGCCGGCCTGGGCCTAGAGGAAGAAAAGGGTGTCCAGATTCTGCTCCTGGATGGAGAAGAAGCTTGGGTCAGCTGGACTGACACAGACTCCCTTTACGGTGCTCGAGCACTTGCGGAAAGCTGGGACTCCGAGTTGCACGCGAGTAGCTCGGCATATCGAACCCGCCTTGATTCGATCAATCTGTTCTTACTCATAGATCTTCTCGGAGCAGCGGATCCCCATGTCCCTTCGTATTTCCGGTCGACACATTGGGCCTACCAAGGCATGTCCAAGATAGAAGAGAGAATGAGAAAACTAGGTCTTCTCAAGAGCAGACCGAAGAATCCATTCCTACCGGACTCGGATAAACAAACATCACAGTTCACTAAGGCGTACATCGGGGATGACCACGTGCCTTTTATGGTGCGAGGAGTTGAGGTGCTGCACATCATCCCCTCGCCATTCCCAGATACGTGGCATACCATGGATGACGACGGCGAGCATCTAGATATAGATTCTTTAGACGACTGGGCCAAGATAGTCACTGCGTTTGCGGCGGAGTGGATGGAGCTGGATGCTTTTATAAGCCAGCCGCTTTCAGGGGAGAAGGAGCAAGCTATTAGGAGCAGATCGGAGCTATAAACTTGATATGCTTTATGACATTCGCTAGAGTGCTGCATCTACTAATAAAATATAGAATTTACTTGTGTTCCTAACAATAAGTGATGTAGGCAATAACTGCTTAAGTGAAAAAAAGGAGGCGTGTATTAATGCAACTACCATGAAAGACCGTGTGAGTTGTACAAGCTTTAACACTGTATCACCATCCAGGACCTAACATGGCGGTTTAGACAATAAATGGTATATTAGGTACCTAATAATATACTCAACCACTTGGCTAACCCATAGCAACATAGCTACCTCTATATATATGTAAGTATTTTTAGAATGTAGAAAAAGCAAAGGGATCATCAATCAAACTGAGACTGTCTAAGGCAGCTGGGCAGATTTTTAGGCAGCCTAGAGCTGTTTGAAGAGATAAATTGTTTTTTACTATATCTCTAGGCATACAGGCTGATTGCAATTGCTCTATAAAATAATGCTTCAGAACTAATTTTCTCTTTCCTCTCCTCCATAGGTTAGGCATAGAATCATACACGAAGTGCTGCGGGTTATTCTTATCGATAACTTAGGTACGGTTGGCAATTACATGCAAGCTCCAACTTCAACCTTGAACTCAACATTAAAACTTGGCTCACGAAATTGTTCCACTCTACCTAATTTAGCAAGATAAAAAGAAAAACACAATGCGAGCCACAGCTACCAGAGCACTGCTGCGACAAAGCCGAGCTCGTCCCGAGCTTGGGAGAGTGTCAGTCTTTCCAATTGACTCAGCCATATAAGGTACATACATACTGACACTCTCCAAACCAGCCACGACGTAATCCGCATCCTAGACACCACCACCGTCACCCCGCCATCCCTTCGCCCATGCATCCTCCTACCCCAACACCCCGCGGGTAGCAGCAACCTTCGTGCCCTACACACGACCTCACCCGTGTGGAAGAGCAAAGCACCCAAGGACAAGACGCGCGAAGACCACAAGAAGCAAGCGTCCGTCGCCCGCGGGAGCAGCAGCAGCAACAGCAGCAGCAGCGCGGACGCCGAAGCCGACGACCCCAACGGGCCCAAGCACCCGTCCGCCAACCCCGAAGAGCCGCTCAACTTCGCAGACGTAGAGTCGCGCATCCGCCGCCACGACGAGCACCACCGGGAGCTGCTCAAGAAGCTGCGGGCGGGGGGCCGCTTCAACCCGGACGTGGTGGGGGCGCTGCGCGTGCAGCCGGACCGCAAGGACCCGGGGGTCACGTACCCGCTGCGGGAAGTCGCGCAGGTGATATCGCGGGGCGGGCGCACCATCAGCCTGATCGCGCACGAGGCCGCGTACGTCAAGCCCATCATGAGCGCCGTCCAGGCCAGCGCCGACTTCAACCAGCAGCCGCAGCGGGACCCGGACAACGAGCTCGAGCTGATCCTGAAGATCGAGCCCGAGACGCGGGACGACCTGCTCAGGCGCGCGAAAGCCGTGTGCAATGATTGGAGGGATAGGGTCAGGAGCGTGCGCCAGAAACGCGATAAGCAGCATGCGACGTGGCGCAAGAACAACGAGATCGGTCCCGATCTCAAGAGGACGGCGGATAAGGAGCTGGATAAGATTATTAAGGCTAAGATGGTGGAGATTGATGATTTGGAGAAGGAGGCGCTTAAGAGTCTGCCTGTTTAAGGGGGTCGGTACATTACATTACTCGATGGTTGCGATGTACATGGTCATTGTTGACCTGGAGTAAATAGGGGGAAATAGGGGGATTATGGCCCGGCTTGATCAGCAGAGGTGTGCATATAGTCGTATAGCACAGATGTATTATAGACTACCTGTTATTGTTACATGCGTTGCGTGGTAACGGTACATTTTATGCTCAAAGCCCGAATCTAAAGACGCCGAATCACACGTCCATCCCAATTCCCACCGGAACAGCGTAGAGGGGACTGCCAGATAAATCAAGCCTTGGCCTCTGGCTTCGCAGCACTACTACTACTAGCCTTAGTAGCCGGCTGACCAGACTGGCCCAGCAGACTCCGAACCTTGGCCTCGATACTCCTCTCCGCATGCGCATTCCACGTGCCATCTCTCCGGACATAGCTCCGCAAAGTACCAATCGTATCCTCGGGATCCGCATACTTGGGCCCCTCGCCATACTTGCCCAGCAGCGCGTCCTCCAGCACCGCGGTCTTAACCTCGGCAGGGGCCTCGAACGGCCTGTCCTTAAGGACCTGCTTCTTCCACAGCCGCGCCTCGTCCGACGGCGGCACGAACGCGCCGTTCCCGTCCCGCCACGCCAGATGCAGCGATAGCGGCTGTTCCAGGTGCTGCGGGTGGTAGGCCTGGCCGCCTCCTAGGACGCGCGCTTGTCGGAGGACCGTCTCGCCTTGGCCGAAGGGCGTCGAGGACGTGGCTACCGCGGGGCCCCAGCCCGCGAGCGAGGCTAGAGAGAGGCTGGGGTTGAAGGCCATGGTCTTGCCGGCTTCTTTGCCTTCGAGGTATGCTCTGATGGCGGGATTGTCTATCTCGCTCTCTTCTCGCGGCTGTTGCTCTCCTTCGCGTCGCTTGCCGCCTCTCTCGTCGTCGTCGCCTCGTCGACGGGATCCTCGTGCTCGGCGTGGTCGGTCGTCCGGACGTCGGTTTCCACCACTACTACCACCACCACCCGGCCCTCCCTGTCGTGGAGGCCCAAATCGTGGAGACCCGCCGCGGGACGGGAAACTACCGCCTCCTCCGCGACCGCGGAAACCGCCTCGTATGATATTCGGGCCACTATTTGCACCGAATCGAGGTGGCATGCCGGTAGGTGCGCCAGTCCTCCCTATGCTGTTAAAGCCGCCACGAGATGGCAAGCTATCGGTTCGGATAATATTCGGACCACTAGACACGGCAGTCCTCCTTATGCCGGTGAAGCCGCCGCGGGGTATGTTCTTCAAGGTGATAATGTTAGGGCCCTGGCTTCGGGCGGGAGGCGGAGCATTCGCTGCTGTATTATTCTGGGTTGGCCTCGACGCGCTAGTAATACCACTATCCACCGTCGCAATCAGCTCGTTTACAGCAGCTATGGAGCGCTGGCGACTGGAAGGTCTCTGCGAGTGATCGTCATCGTTGTTGTCTTCGGCGCTCCGGCGCGCGGAGACGGAGAATTGCCGCAGGGAGGCGGCGATGCCGTCGGTGACTCGGTTCAGGTCTGGCCTGGTGCGGCCGACTGTCGAGTTTAGCGGATGCCGGATCATGGCGGGCCCAATTGCGGTGTGATGTTGAAGCCCGGGAAGTTGATTTCGAGGTTATCTTGAAATTTTCGAGATTTAGATTCTCCGAAGCTTTGGCGGTGCTGCGTTATGGGTTAATGCGTTTAAGCGAGGGCAGAAGTGGGATATGACTGTATGCGATATCCACTTTTCAACTTCTCCTTTTCTAGTGCAGATAACTAGAGTAGCTTCGTATTAGCTTCATATTATCGACAGAAACTACCTTTAATAAGCAATTATATGACTCGATCTAATTTAATTTTATTCGAGTTCATCTGATAAAGACTTTCCATTTCCTTTTTCTAACCGTCAACGCTAGTATTATAGATTACATCGTAATAGACATTCAACTTTGCAGCGGCTTATTCATGCCTCCCCACGTTATCGTCTTGATGTTCAAGTATTCGTCAATACCATACTTGGATCCTTCCCTGCCGAATCCAGATTGTTTCACGCCGCCAAACGGCGAGGCAGTGTCCGAAATTAGACCCGTGTTGACGCCAACCATTCCTACTTCCAGCGCTTCAGCCACTCTTGTGATCCGCTCCAGGTCTCGCGAGAAGAAATAGCCTGCCAGACCGACCTCGGCAGAGTTTGCTAGATCTACTACTTCTTGCTCCGTAGCGAATGGGAATAATCCCGCCACAGGTCCAAAGGTCTCCTCACCTGCGATATCCATATCCTTGGTCATGCCCGTGATGACGGTAGGTTGGTAGAAATTAGCTCCCAGGTCCGGCAGTTTCTGCCCGCCAACAACCACCTTACCTCCCTTTTTCTCGGCATCTTTAATGTGAGCCTCTACTTTCGAGATAGCTCGGTCGTGGATCAGAGGTCCGTGGGTGATGCCTTCGTCAAACCCATTGCCAACCTTGAATTCCCTAACCTTCTCCGCAAACTTCTTTGCAAACTCATCGTAAATACCCTTTTGGACGTATATCCTGTTGGCGCACACGCAAGTTTGGCCGGACGAGCGGAATTTGGAGGTGATAGCACCTGCGACAGCCGCGTCGACGTCGGCATCGTCAAACACGATGAATGGTGCGTTACCTCCCAGTTCCATAGACAGGATCTTCAAGGTTGGGGAAGCCTGCTTCATGAGGAGCCTTCCTACGGCCGTCGATCCTGTAAAAGATACCTTCCGTACGGTAGGATGAGTCGCCAGCGTCTCTCCGACCTCAGGTGTGTTCTTTAAGGTTGTCACGAAGTTAACGACACCTTTCGGAATTCCAGCTCTGTGTGCTAACTCGGCCAAGGCGAGGGCGGTAAATGGGGTCTCTCCAGGCGTCTTAACAACGACTGTGCAGCCAGCCGCTAGAGCAGGGCCGAGTTTGCGGGTGACCATAGCAGCGGGGAAGTTCCATGGCGTAATTAAACCGCAGACGCCGACGGGCTGCTTGATGGTCACAACTCTGTTTCCTGGTACGGTAGCCGGTATCGAATCGCCGTATATTCTAGGGGCTTCCTCACTAAACCACTCGAAAAAACTAGCAGCGTAGGTCACCTCGCCCTTCGCATCCGCAAATGGCTTGCCGTTCTCCCACGTGATGAGTTTTGCGAGATCGTCGGAGTTTTCGATTACTAGGTCGTACCACTTGCGTAGTAATTTAGCCTTCTCGCGACCAGTCTTCGTTCGGAAACTAGGGAACGCCGCAGCAGCAGCAGCGATGGCATTCTCGGTGTCCTTGCCAGTAAACTCAGGAGAGGTGCCAATGAGGTCTCCCGTGGCTGGGTCATAGACCTCAAAGGTCTTACCCGACGCTGCCTTGATCCATTCTCCGTTTACATAACAGACATCAGTCTTGAAGAGGGAGGGATCGTTGAGCTAGAGCATGATCAGTACAGATATTCATAAATAGCCAAATCGTTATTTGCCCAGGCTTACCTTTGGTGCTCTACTAGAAGCTAACCGCGTCATTATGAGTGGAAGATTTGTTCTTTGAAAGCTCGACCTCACAGCAAGTCGCGATTGAGACGTTACGCTCCTCTGTAAACTCCTTAGGAAACTCATCATGAGAGGAGGTGTGTGAATTGCTTCGAGGACGAGCGATATTAGTTGATTAAATCCCAAGCCAACACAAAGAGACTAGAGAAGCTTCAGGGGAAGTCAATCGATTTGTAATAAGTCATCAGGGTATCATATCCTAATTATCCCGATGTTTACGCTTATTCATCGAAATAATTCTAAATCTGATAGATTTAAGACGCTCAAAGTGACGTCCACTTGATAACACTGACGACATCGGCGTTTTAGAGGGGCACTAATCCCTAGGCGGTACCTAGGCGGTCCTAGGGGCTGAGGGGAACTCATTGTGGGGTATTCTTGCTGTACTAAAGATGATATCAGTTGCTGAAAATAGCTAACAGTCCTATTTAAGCAGGTCCATCCGAGTCTATAAAAATCATATCGGCTTTTACCTTACACAATAGCTTATATAATTATCTCAATAATCCTCGACTGGAAGAATGTGAAGCTAAATCATGATAATCTAATAAAACCTATCTCTTATAGAACGAACGCCGTTTCCTACGAGACGAGAGAAAAGCATGTTGCTCTAGCTTTTGGGTACCCCTCGGCATGCAACCCATGCATCCCCCCGCATCTCTTACATGATGCACCCCAAGTAGAGATCATCTCCAAGTGGAGGTGAAAACCTCCAAATAACGTAACTATTGAGAGAACCAGTGCCCGTTCATGGATGGTACCGGTAGAAATATTCCGCCAGTCTACTGGCAGCTCGGGGGAGTTGTCATTGGCTTAACCGCAACCCGTTCGTATATTCTACCGATGATACAATTTCGTCGTATAAGTGAGGAGAGCAACTTGCTTTCCTATTTAATAGGAGATTCGGCCCTCGTGGCTAGCCTTCGGGGGGCTTTTCTGGGGAACTAGTCACTTAGAAGCTATAGAAACGTTTTCTATAGTTGTATTTTATTACTATATTACTTGACTTATACTTATATTAGGCGTGAAAGAATATCTATGAATTCTATCTATTAATATAACATATTTGAACACCTCGAAAGATCTATGAAGGTCGGCAACAGATATATGCTATTAGCACAAACTAGCCTGGCCATGGCGGAATCCACGGTATATACCGTCGGGAGTATAGCGAGCTCTATAAATGCCATTCAGCCCCTCGATGGTTTTATAAGCTATTCAATCGAGTTCTCATCATTTCCCGATTTTGCCGGTAAGGAGTTCTACCCATATAGTGACCAACCTATCAACGATCTCAAATCTAAGACGTAGAGCAGGCAACAAATCCAACCCCAACGACTTCTCAAACAACTTACTAGACAATCTCGGTGCATTTTCCGGAATAAAGCCGTATATACGGGTTGGCGGAAATACGCAAGACTTTGCCATATATAACTCGGAGCTAACTATTGCACTCAACGGCACTTACAACCTCTCGAGGTCTGCCGACTACCCGACTACCATCGAGATTGGGCCATCGTACTTTGAATCGTACAGCACATGGCCCAATGTTAAATTTTCACATGGCTTCAATTTGGGCGGGAACCATGATGACAGGCAGTGGGACACGCTCCTGCAGACTGTGCCGCTGGCTTGTAAAGCCCTGGGCAAGGATAAACTATACTTGTGGGAGTACGGAAACGAGCCTGACCTCTTCTCCTCGGCGGTCAGGGCATCTGATTATAACGAGTCGAACTATGTAGCAGAGTGGCTGGATGGAACGAGAGCTATTAGGAGTGTGCTGGAGACGAGTTGTCCAGACCTCCTTGACAATGCTACATATGGATATTTAGCTCCGTCGTTTGCCGGTACTACGAACCACCTAAACGCGCCTCGGACATGGGCCGACGGCATCGACGCGGACGGCGACATTAAGCTCTTCTCTTCTCACAAGTGCGTGCCTTCTCTCCAGTACTTGTATATCACCTACTCACATTTCAAATAGCTACATATCCGGCGCCGAGACACTAGGCGTCACGCTCCAGAACACACTGATGAACCATACAAAGACAACCCTCAGCGTCAGCGCCCACACCGCCGAAAACGCAACCATCCAACCGGGAATCCCGTATATCCTCGGCGAGACCAACTCGCTATACCACCAGGGACGTCCCGGACTATCGAATTCCTTCGGCGCCGCACTTTGGGCCGTCGATTTCGCGCTTCACTGCGCCGCGGTGGGAATAGGTCGTGTACATTTCCATATGGGCGTACGTAGCACCAACTCGTCCATATTCTCTTCTCTCTCAAGACCGACACAGTCCCTTTTCTCTTTCCGTTCCCATCTACCTACCTTACGTACCTAGACCTAATTCAATAGAAAATAACTAACCAACCAACCTCACCAGACCGACTACCGCTACGCCTCCTGGCAACCCATCGCCACCACCAAAACCGCCATCGGCACCAAGCCCCCGTACTACGGAAACATCGCCGCCGCCGCATTCCTCGGCTCCGCCGGAACCCTCATCGCCCCCGTCCCCCTACTATCCAGCAACACCAACACCAACACCGACACCGATACCGACGTCGCGTACGCAGCATACGAGCCCAGCGGCGCGCTAGCCCGGATCCTAGTGCTGAACCTACGCGCGTACAATTACACGCTCAACGGCACCGGGGGCGAGGACCTGAACCCGGTTCCGCGGCCGCGGCGGACGTATCGGTTCACGGGCTTAGACGCGGAGGCAGGGGCAGGGGCAGGGTTGGGGGAGGCCGTGGTAAGGCGGTTGTATGCGAATGGCAGCGATGCGGTCACGGGGGCTACGTGGGATGGCTGGAGTTATAATTACGAGTTGGATCGCGGGAGGCCGGTTAGGCTGGAGAATGTGACTGTTGGGGAGAAGATAGGGGTTGTGGATGGGGCTGTTGAGGTGCGGGTTGCGGATTCGGAGGCTGTGGTTTTGGATTTTCGGGGTGGGGGTGGGGGCGATTGAGCTGAATTAGATGAGGACTTGATGATATTTTGGTGGTGGTGGGCGTATATATTTACTATCCGTGGACTGAAGATGATGATACATCGGTTGGTAAATACCTTAGGTATGAGTGGTGTAACGAATCATTCGTGATGGCTCTCCTTCCCCTGGCTAACACGTGCATTTACATCATACTATCGTACCTATGTACGATGCAATAAATAGAGGATAAATACACAATGTAGGTCGCATATTTTACCCCCAATACTCACATGCTAAACCCATACGAGGAGTATACATACGTCCATCTCCAAGTCTACTTCAAAGTACTACTACCTCCCACCGGGGTATGTAACAGCACAAGGTAGTAACACTGCAACCGCCTATGGATGAGGTCAGAGGAGGCACACGACGCGTTTACGATGATCGTCGAATTTTCACACTAGAAAGGCTCTTGGCATCGATAGGAGAAAGTGCAAGAGATAGATCGCGTAGGATCGTGTATTGTACACTGCCGGGGAAAAGGGGGTATATAGCCTCCCTTTTCTTCCCTTCACATGGTATCATTCCGCCTCGCAAGTAGTAATTCCTTGCGCCCCAACCTCGTAAATCTACATCATCTCACCCCAAACATATCTTCGAATTAATTTCTTATAGGGCAAGCCTTGAATACGCCTCCCCGCTTCAAATTATCGACGGAAGTCGTATGGGTATCTTCTAATAACATCCGCTTCCAGAGCGAGATGAGAAGTCCACCACTTATTCAGCGCACGGTTGAATCTATGCCCGTCTCTTTGAACCTTCCTTCCCCTAGAACCGGAACGTGGTTCTTATGAATACTGACGCCGCAGCGGAAGTTTACTTTCGAGCGTGTTAAAAGCCATCGTTCGTGGCGTATACGGGAGCGTGCCTGTCCTGGGCGTTGGCGGAATGCCATGCATCTCCCAATTGCCTCCTCGTTTTAGGGCGGCAGGCGAAGATGTCTCTTCGTCCTCGTCGTCCTTTAGGTCGTTTTTCGGGTTTGGCAGCATGGCCCAAATGTTCATACCCAGGTTAATAACGTAGATACCGCTGTCACAACGGTTAGCCAAGTACGGTCCCGAGGGCCCGTGCGAGCAGAAGCCTATACTTACAGCATGATGCATGCTACGGCAAAGGAACCCTTCGCTAATTTGCAGTAGCCCTGTATAGTCTGATTCGCTGCTACGGTACATGGCTTGGCGATATACCAGGCTATTGGGCTTGGGTGGTCTGGGTCGAGGTAGTCTGATCCCGCCTGACCAGCTATACTCGTCGCGTAGAGTGCCAGAAGTGCGATATTGATGAACATTGCAAGAATTGGGTACCAAACGTGCATAATAAACGCTATGAGCTTTGTGAGGAGGAGGAATAGACTGAGAACAGCTATTGCGACGTTGAAATCGGTCAATCTACATGCATAGGTAATTAGCCTTCTGATCGGATGGATAAGGTAGAGCCTCCTCGTCACTTACGTTTGCGACCATACGAGCGGTATTTTCGGTAACGGCTCGTAGTTGGCGTACGCCCATAGGGTAACACTAGGACTCGAGTTGAAGCCCAGTTCACTGCCGGCTCGCCAGAGCTTAGTTCGGTATAGATCTGGCTGAGCGAGGGCTGTGACAACTAATGCCCCTACGGTTCCCAACAGCTCTGGAATCATCATATAATACATGCCCCTCGTCGACCTCCATTTTCGATGTAAAAGTTTATAGCCCATAGTGAAACAGACCGCGCCGCGAAGGATCTCTTAGCTGCGGCTCTAAGAGAATCCGGTTGGTTCTTTAGAACTGGTGAAGAAGAAAAAAAAACCGAATCTACACCAGTCGGCTAAATGCGCAGATTTCGCGAAGCTGGCTGATATCGCGTCGCTGGGAACCAGCAGGCCGGCTAGTATTTTACATCGGATCGCCTACGATGGCGATTGTGGTAAGAATTGGACCTGGATCTTGGGCGGAGACGATAAAGACTTGGGTCGAAACTCACGAAACAGCTCAAATATGAGAGGAGTTGGCGGTCGGTCGGCCATTTTTAAGGAAATGGGCGCCAACACCCCCAAATGGTGTCGGGAGGGCGGCTGCAGGTCAATCACAAGTGTGCATGGTGATATGCTTGTACGGGAAATAGAAGCCAATGAGAGAGGTGACAGCAACGTTGAACAGTTATAAGCGCCGACTTGTGGTTCGTCGGTGGGCGCTTCGCCCTGGTTCACCTTTGGCCTACGATGGTATAACGCAGCAAGATTGGTGGGATACTTCAACAACCCCTAGCTACACGAGCCAATGGCTATGCAAGACGCCGGCTGGGCGATGCATCTGATAACTAGGAATTCTATTGGTTGATGCGGTTTGTGCTTCTAGTTAGAGTCTCCCTCTCGGGTCTTGGCGGTAGAGCCCGTTCCGGTTTAATGAATTGGCTCGCCCCCAAAAGCTACAGTTACAACTGTTACAGTAGCATAGGGGTCGAGTGTCTATCTTTATCAAACACAGCGTTGAGCTGTCTATGACAACATACGATCATCGGCCATTTGTATTTGTGAAATAGCCGTCGTATGATATAAAGCAAGGCTTCAACTATTCGATAGCTGACGAGAGCATAGATACTTGTCTTTAACCGAGACAAGTGCTCTTACTGAATAATGATGTTAGGCTAGACGATATCTATAAGACGAATGGACCGAACAGCCTTGACCGAATGTTGTAAGAGTGTTTGATAATGAAGTCGTGGTCAGGTTATGAACCATTACCCAATCATTCTTGAATGTGGAGAAGGTTGAAATATGCAATTCTATGTAATGCGTGAGATTAGATGCTCAAGGGTCTAGAGAAGTGCCAAGTCTCCAAATAAGTTTAGACTCATCACTTAATTGGAGCTTGTCCGACTTGTCCGACTCCGAATAGTTGATTGACGCTCCGTAAATTTGCGGAAGAAGAAAATGAAGAGATTAACTATCGCGAATCATCTCTCACCTTCGTCCTTGAAAGGATCCGCGAGATGGCTGGTTGATGGCGTTGATAGTTGAATTTCGGCTACCCTCATTTGGACATTCATATTAATAATATATCTAAATATCTAATCTGATACAGCCGCCTTCGCTTTTTGATGCCAAGCCAGAAAAGCCCCCTCCCCGACAATAATCCGACGGGGTGGAGGAATCGGCGATCGGGGCCGATTAGCTAGTAAGCTCGGAATTGAAGAATGACTTCCGAGCTCGTGACTTGCGTAACAGGACCCCATCTATCAATTTGCGATTCGGACTGGTCTAGACTTATAGATCGACGTGATCCGCCAATGCATTGCTCGCACGGGGTCGACTCAGCAAAGTTGATGCTTTCATCACCGTCGTCTTCAATATAGAGAAAATCCTCCGTCAAGGGGGTATAAGATCTTTTATATAACTTCTCATCGGGATAGCGTGGAGAAGAATGATGCAAGGCAATCTTAGAAGAAAAAAAGCGAGATCAGCATAGGGGTTAGCCAGGGTACGGACACGAGCACGTGGTGTAAGAAGCACAAGGCTCTACACAACATAGGTAGTATTGAAGCCCACACCTTATCGAAGAGGAGCAAAGAAAACAAACCCAAAGGATTGGTGGCCGCCTTGTCACGTTGCCAATACCTTACATACTATTGCAATGTTGTAATGTGTTGTAATGGTTGCTAATGTAAGCAAAACCATGGGGCTCTTCTCGGAACAGACCATTATGACATAGATGCACTCTAAAAGTACCTAGCACATGGTACGTAATATCGAAAGCAATATCGGCATCCCGCCCCTCCACACTGGAGTAGTACCTATGTATGCGTTATCGTTTATGTATACATATAATTGTATACATATAATTGTATAGGCTGCTCGCTTCATATTCATATGTATGTGTGTGTACATGCATATCCGGGTAACGCTTCCCATACGGGTGTCTTGCCATTTATAAAGTACTTGCCTAGATAGTTTACATACTTTTTAAGTGCCTTCCTTTTTTTTTTAATTCAAAACCTGGTTATATTAGGTTTTGTGCCCGAAGAATAGGGCAATTTCGTGTAACACAACATGTAAGAGTTGTGATACATGTACCTAGCCAGAAGTTTCTAGCCTTTATGCAGGTAATTCGGCTATGTTATACAACGTTGAGTTTAGGTGCCGGTAGGATTGATTCACATTGAATCAGGTTCCGAATGGCAATACCTCGGTACTCAGATATACTTACCTCAAGTACATACCTCTTAAGTACACCTACTAAAGCCGTTTGCTTTCCCTAGCTGCATATACTACTTGACATAAACACCAATCTTCAATTCTTTTTTGCTGTAACTATCCTTTTTACACCCAAGTATACCTAAGCCTACACCAATATGCGCAGAAGTAATGAATGAAGGTATTCTGCCTTTGACGATCAAGTCTACTTTTGATTTCGAGACGTACGACATATTACAGTAGAGTATTATGGCTGCCTGCACGGAATTCTCAGCGGTGGCCGAGTTAAGTTTAAGTGATCAACAAGCTTTAGCCCCCTGTCTCCTAAGGGAGATCGTCAGTGATACTTTCCCCAAACCGTCACCCGGACTGCTGGAGTTCCAAGGCCGATTCGAGGGTCTGGAACGTGAAAATCAATTAGACCCTTGCAATCCCAATTTCTTTCGGATCTGGATTCGACGGTACTTCACCCACGCGAATGTTTTACCTCAAACCAAAAGAAACCGAACAGGACTAGGACTCTCTTAACCTAGGACTTTCTCTTGCCAGACATTCATACAACCATACAAACCACCATTCGACCACACGACACAAATCGAACAGCCCTCATTCTCGTTGGTCCGTCCGCCCCAAAAAATACAGTTTCCGCGCTACTACCCTACCACCAAAAAAAAGACCTATTACGACTTTGCCGCTACTACTACATCTAATATTACGACTGATACTACTAATACCACTACTTCGCCAGTACATACGGTGTTACTACTCTATAAATCTCTATAAATCTCGTTAGCTTCGGTTCGCACGAATACACTTACGCAGTAATTATCTCTTACCTAAGCCCATCATCCCACTGAGGCCACTCAACCCTGTCGATAGGTCCATCTATATCAGCATCCGGTGCATGTACTCGCATGGTACAGGCTCCATAGACTACCTAAACCACGCATCACTAAGGTTCTCCCGCAATTCTGGCCGCCTACGGTGGGCTAGGCTTATACTGCTGAAACGCTCTTGTCAACTGCTCTTTTTTTTCACTCTTCTTTTGCTATTCTCTCCCCTGTCCTGTTTATCATCTTCACCAACTAAATTTGCGGAGGGGAAGTTCTCGCATTTATTAGGTAGAGGGAATAGGAGCTTGGAACAGGGAGCACTCGTATAGACCACAAGCTTCCTTAACTTCTGGTCTAGAACGCTCCGTTTGAGAGGGGAAAAAATCCGGGATCCTCAATGCTGTATGAGGTCCTCCGGGCTCAACTATTCGTATCCACATCCCATACTCGTTGTCGCCACCTTCCCATTCCTCCTTCTTCCTCCTCCTCTACGGGTCTATGCCATCAATGGCCACAGCCCGACCTTTCTCCACTTCTCATTTGTTGCTAGTAGGTAATTCGGGACTATTCTCGACTGAGCTTGACGTTGGCGTCGGCGTCTTATTTCTAAACCGGATTATTTCTCTATGACTTTACAAAGTAATTCGGACAAGCCTAAACTCCCAGCCATCCCGGGCACCCATCCGACCTTCGTCTTTGATGACAACAACTGCTCCGAACCAACTTCGTCTGCCGCCTCCCATACCTCTTGTCCCTTCGCAGGAGCGGTGCGGCAACGTCACTATACGCTCGCTAATGACACCGCTGGCCCTGTAAATCGTATTCTAGAAGAGTATTCGACAGAACTAGGACATTATGGTTTGACACCTACGGTGCCCCCTAATCAACACTCGATTTTAGGGGACCCGACAGTGCGGTCGCCGAACGAGCCAAGCACGAGATCGAGGACAAATAGGGCAAGCAAGGCAAATACTACCGTAACTCAACAGTCGCACTGTACCACATCGTCGCGGGGTAAAGGGAAGAGGTTATCGGACATCGAATCTGACGACCCGGAAACAAGCCGGCGTGCGCCGAAAAAACCGCGCGCGCGACTTACACCCCCGCGTAAAATCGACCTCGGCCTCTTCGCCAGGCCCACCGCATTCCCTCCGAAGCTTGCTGATGGTCTCACATCTCCGCTGTTCTTCTCACATAAGCGTAGGCCACTTATTGCTAGACCCCCAAGCTTTTCCGGGTCTGAGGGAGCAACCATGTTGAAAAATGTGCATGATAGTGTGGAGGTGACGACTCTGAAGCTTGCCCGGGGTACCGTACACTCGGCAAGTTCGGTTAGATCCTCCAGCACGCCCGGTAGCTGGTCTTCTATTGAAGCGGGAAGTTTGGTGCGAAGTCCCGAGTCGATGACCGCCACTCCGGGATTACAAACATTACAAGGCATCGGCGTCCTCGAATTATTAGAACGTGATGATAGGCCAACTTTCATCGTTGACAGCTGGAATACGGCCACCAGCAACCCTGACCGCCTCCCTATTCTCTATGCGAATCCGGCCCTTCAGGTCTCCGATACCATTCGGCATTTGCTTTCTGGGGAATTCCACGACAACGTGGAAGCGCGGGATGAGTATCTCAATTTCAAGACGTGGGTAAACACAGGTGGTAACAATACCGACGCGCTTGATATCTTCTTGCCTTCGTTTCGCTATGGTGGTTTTGGTTGGACCTGCTCAACTATTAGGAATAGGTTCCGTTTTATCAGCGCGAATACCAGCGCTGCGTCGATTGCGCTAGCCTCCCCCGAACCACTGTTGGAGCGAGAATCTAGTGTCGATTCGCAAGCTCGCGGCTTATCACCGAATGCTCAGGTTAAAACGCCTAGTGACATCGTACTACCTGATCGAGATTACTTCGGACTTGCTAACCCCATCGATTCGGAAGACCAGATGCAGCAAGACGTAAGTAACGATGGCGAAACCAACTTGCCCTTATACAGCGATGATGGCCTAACCCCGGAAGCCATCCCACCGCCAGTATTGCAGCATTCTTTCGACTGGACTCAGATACCTTTTACTGAGGATCTCCCGGAGCACATAAAGTTCACTCGTAGTATCGACTGGGCATCAACGCCGCTTGGTCCTATCGGAAGCTGGTCGTCGGAGTTACGCGCAATGGCGAATCTAGTCATGGCTAGCCCTAATCCCGCAGCGCTGTACTGGGGTCCAGAATATACTACTATGTATAATGAGGCATATGTAGCATTGGCAGGTGCAAAACACCCGAGGATCATGGGCCAACCCTATAAAGACGCCTGGGGCGAGCTCTGGCCCGATCTACAACCCATCCTGGAAAGTGCCTGGAAGTCAGGTCAAGCGACGATGAAAAACGACGATCGTCTTATTTTACGACGCAATGGTTTCGATGAAGAAACGTTCTTTTCATGGTCCATTGTGCCTCTTGTCGGTAGCGACGGCTCTGTTGTGGGATTATTCAACCCTTCTTTTGAAAATACTCGGCGGAAAGTGGCTGAGAGAAGAATGATAACATTACGCGACGTGGGAGAGAAGACCGCCTTGGCCCGCGACGTCAAGAGCTTTTGGGGCCGGTTCAACGAAGGCCTTGAATCTAACGAAGATGATATACCATTTAGTCTGGTTTATTCGGTCGCAGAAGAGTCTGAGAGCGATGTGTCGTCAATGCATTCGGGGAGCTGGGTGAACCCCCCTCTGTTGATGCTCGAGGCTTCTCTAGGGGTACCCCAAGGTCATCCCTTACTAATCGAATCCCTCAACTTAAGGACGAGCAGCGAAGGGTTTGCCCCATATATGCGAGAATCTATGTCAAACGCGGGACAGCCTGTTGTCTTGTCTACAGGGGATAGCACGCTCCCCGAAGGTTTTATGAACGGGTTGGCCAGGAGAGGCAAAGGTGACGCGTGCAAGTCCATTGTTATATTCCCTGTCCACCCAACTACGGGCAGCGAGAGCGTGGTAGGTTTTATTGTGATGGGTGTTAACCTATGGCGGCCTTACGACGAGGACTACAAGCTCTTCATCAATCTACTATCCCGGCAACTCGCAACCTCACTAGCGTCTGTCGTCCTGTTTGAAGAAGAGATACGCCGAGGCCAGAAAGCAGCACAAATGGCCGCCGCAGATCGTCAAGAATTGACCAAGCAGTTACATCTAAGGACACAAGAGGTAGAAGAAAGCGAATTAAAATTTACAAGAATGGCCGAATTCGCCCCAGTTGGAATGTTCATCGCTGACCATTCAGGCCACATCACTTACTGTAATGATATGTGGTGGGATATATCAAGACATAATAGGTCACAGGGCGTAGACTCGTGGATGGAGAGTGTTAAAGACGAGGACCGGCCTGCCCTAGAAATGATATGGCGCTGCCTACTCGCGGACAAAACTGCAATTACCCACGAATTCCGGTTTAAATGTTCCCGTCATGAAGGCGAAACCTTGATCGATACCTGGGTCTTGATGAGTGCGTATCCGGAAAAAGATGAAAATGGTGGTATCAAGGGAATATTCGGGTGTGTTACGAACATATCGCAACAAAAATTGGCCGAACAGATTCAGATGCAGCGACGGGAGGAAGCAGTCGAACTTAAACGGCAGCAGGAGAATTTCATCGACATCACGAGTCACGAGATGCGTAACCCCCTCAGTGCAATCCTTCAATGTGCAGATGAAATCGCCGGGACCATGTTAAATCTTAAGCCGTCTGGGGAAAGCGAGGAGCGAAGCGAAACCCTCAGGCTTGCGATAGAGGATTGTATGGAAGCAGCGAATACCATAACACTCTGCGCCAGTCATCAGAAGCGAATAGTGGACGACATACTTACACTTTCCAAGTTGGACTCGCAATTGGTGCTCGTGACCCCTGTCGACGTACAGCCTCTGGCTGTCGTGCAACGCGTCCTGAAGATGTTCGAGAGCGAGCTTAACACGAACGACATCGAGTTGAAATTTCAAGTCAAGAATCGCTATATTGACATGGGTATCGAATGGGTTAAGCTTGATCCTTCGCGGCTCCTCCAAGTACTGATCAACTTGATGACCAACGCTATCAAGTTCACGCAAAGCCGCCCCGAACGATCGATTGTGCTGACACTTGATGCTTCCAGTGAGGTATCAGACAGGTCCGACTCCGGCGTTGAGTATTTCCCTAGCGACCGTGCCGACAAGGACGAGATGACAGATCATGGCGATTGGGGCAAAGGAGAGAAGATACATCTCCATTTCTCCGTTCAAGATACGGGCAGAGGCCTAGATGAACATGAAAGGAAGCTTCTTTTCCAGCGCTTCTCTCAGGCCACTCCCCGAACTCATGTCCAGTACGGTGGTTCAGGTTTGGGGCTGTTCATCTCCAGAATTCTAACCGAGTTACAAGGAGGTCAAATCGGCGTGACCTCCCAGAAGGGTATTGGCAGTACATTCTCTTTCTATATCCAGAGTAGAAAGACGCTCGGCCCATCACCCGATGCGCATGGGCTACCGCCAGCTCCTCCTCTTACACGAGCACCAGGGTCCTCAACGACGATCGAGACTCGGCATCCCAAAACGGCTTCTTCCGACTGCCTTGCTCGCACCGCCAAGAACATTGCTTCTAGACCTCGATTCTCGGAAGATGGCCGTCGCTTATTCGACGTTCTTATCGTCGAGGACAACATCGTAAACCAGAAGGTGCTTCAGAGGTCGCTCCGCAATGTTGGGAATAGCACTAAAGTAGCTAATCATGGTGGCGAGGCCTTGGAGGTGTTACAGCAGTCACGATATTGGATTGGAAAGGAAGAGTCCGGGCACGATATTTCGGTCATCTTGATGGATCTTGAGATGCCGGTAATGGACGGCATGACTTGCGCTCGCAAAATTCGGGAACTCGAAAGGAACGGAACGATCGTTAGCCATATTCCTATCATCGCCGTCACGGCGTACGCACGGCCAGAGCAAATTGAGAATGCCAAAGCCGCAGGAGTTGTACGTGTTTTCCATTAAGATGTCTTATTAGGGCTAAGTTACTAACCACCGACACAGGACGATGTCATTTCCAAACCTTTCCGCATGCCCGAACTCATACCAAGGATAGAGCAGTTAGTCGCAATCCACACGCCGTGTTATGCCGAAGTCGCGGCAGCGTAGTGAACCCGAACTTCTCCGATCCGAGAATCGAACTTCGAACATATAATTATTCAAAGATTACTTTTTAAACCGTAACCATAATTATTAGCTTGCAATTCATTCTTCGTTTCATCCATCCCGCAAGGCGTTTGGCTCCATCCAGCCGGGTGGAAGGCTTGTTTTTAAATCATGACAAGGACAGAGATCATCACAAAAGTTCGGGGGGGGTTGTCGATGTTATATTCTTTTCGATTTTAACTTGATTTAGGTATCTATTCATCGTCCAGCCCTGACACGGCAGCTCGGGCCGGCAGATTTATATTTTTACATGTTAACATTTTTCGCATTACATATAGATGTAAGAGGCGTTCATGGGCGAACACGGAGGGGACGCATACACACGAACATTTGGTTTAACATATGGGGCGCGCTTCTTTTGCCCCGGTCCATTTTTCTGGATCACGTATTTTTATTTTTATTATTTTCCTTTATTACACCGCGTTACTACTCGCGGGGGTTTTTATTTTTTATTTTTTTCTACCTCGCCTCGGGGTACAGAGATTGGGGTGGCTATGACGGCCCGTGATGATGACGATGATGGGAAGATGAAATGAGGTAGGTTGGGGACGGGGACGGGATATGAAGTCATGTTGCACATACATAGATATATATCCTGGGATCTGCCTGCTCGCGCACACATATATGTAGTAATTGAAATCAGTGAAAATAGGAATCACAAATTGATAGTATATAATATGTCTTGCCTTGAAACCGGATGTGATGGTGAATGGCAGGTTTACCTTGGATGGGAGGAATAGGGGAGGAGAGAGCATGGTAGTAAGGGATGCATGACAGATAATAAAAAACTATACTTACGACGGCGCCATTTGTGTGCTCAATATAAGTATCATGGTTAATATATATATATATAGGTAGGTATATATATAACATAAATCTTGCTTGGAAACAGATTGAAAATCTAAATATAATACTATTCACGATCTATCTACCTACTAAAGCATACCCTCGTATCGTCTCAAGTCGTCTCGAATGGGTACAGTACAGGCAGCAGACGGTATAAAAAACCAGCAAGACCCAATGTTAAAATCGTATATATTTAAGTAGGCGCGTAGGTACCTCCTCTCCTATAGACATACTACCAAGACACGACCAGGCCTAAACCCCTTTTCCACACCAGCAACCGCTTCAACCTTTTTCCATACCTCATACTTCCACCTCCCAGATCTCCAGACCAACGCCGACTACTATCACCTTTTTCTTACCCTTACCCTTACTCTTTTCATTTCCCTCTCCCTCTCCCTCTTTATCTTCATCTCCACCCCCGAAGACATCCAAATCCCCCGCATCAGCAACAGAGCTATACCGCTCGTCTAACAACTGCGCCCTCGCCTGCTGCTGCTGCCACCCAAGCAGCCGCCAAATCCTAACGCGCTGGTCATTGCTCCCCGTGACGACGAGCGCGCTGTCTCCTCCTACGTGCGCGAAAGCCACGCCCGTGATGGCTGCGGCGTGCGCGGAGCGGATGAGGGACTTGCTCTTGATTGTGATGGTTGTTGCGTCTCCTTGAGATTCAGAGGAAGAAGAGGAAGAAGGGGTATGAGAGATACGGATATGTGTAACGCCCAACGCGTTATCGTCGCCGCCTGTTACGACGAGGTATTCCGAGACTCCATCATCTTGGATAGCTACTTGCCGCACATCGAGGGATTTGATAGTGTTCTGGTGTAGTTTTGTGACGGCAAGCGCAGCGTCGGCATCACCCGAGCTTTTACCATCAACTTCAGGGTTCGATTTAGAGTAGATAGCTAAATATCCATCCGTGGCTGCGGTCAAGACATGGTCGTTATCTAATTGGCGTACTTGCGTAAGACACGCTCCCGTGTACGTCGACCTCCTCAGTAAACGGAACCCTGATACACGGTTGTAGGTATACGTCTGTAGCGTTGAGTTCGATAGGGCCATAGATACGACAAATTCATATCCGCCATCACTATCGCATGCGGTACAAGTCACGTCAAAATCGGTAATGCGGGCGTCTCCCACTTCGGACCGGTCGGGGAACACAGCTTCGCATACAACGGCAAGCCCGCTAAAGTCGCTACGTTGGAGCCGGTTGATCTTCCATACGAAGAATTCCTCGTTACCGCCGCTACTAAATAGGTACTCATTTTTGTACCATTTTAGGGCTTGGATACCCGTAGCATGCCTCTCTAGCGCCGCGACACAGCGTAACCTAGGGTCATTGCTATCGTGTTCATTATGTTGATAGCCGTAGTCGTTATATTCCCATATCCGTATCACAGTGTCTTCAGCGGCCGTGGCAATGTAACGCCCTGTAGAGGCGCTCACCGCCTTAATTTCACGGCCGTGGCCCCCTGGCTTGAGCGTCTTGTGTGGTACACATGTCTGCGAAAAGATGTACATCTGCCCCGCCTTGGTAAATACAAATCGAAATCCATCATGCCGGTATCTCAAGGGAGTCCAAGCGTAGCTCCGTGACGAGCCTCCGCAATCGACTGTGGCGACCTCGTGACGCTGGGTTTCGTTCCAGACCACTAGGTTACTACTCCGAAAACCGCAGAGCATGAGATCCTTGGTCCCATCGCCGTTATCGGAGAACCAAGCCCCCTCGATAGATGACACAAACGGCGGCAATATCTCGTGAACCAGTATGGCGTTGGGTTGGCTAGCCGTTGTTGAGATTTCGTGGATCCTGTATCTTCCATCGCGACACGTGCTCAAGATGTAGTTGTGTGGTTGGTCATCACCATTGCCAAGGGGGAGTAACGAGGTGATTGCTTCATCTCTCCGTACCTCGATAGTGAAAACGACGGAATACTTGCCACTATCGCCTTGTTTAAGGACGACGATGACTCCTTTTCTGGATCCAAGAATAAGATACCCCCGAGTGAATGTAGCAGCGGTAACCATAAGACCTGGTTCTAAGGCTACTTCGGTGTGTTTTAGCGCCAAATTATGAGGATCGAATTGGATGAGGATAGCATTGGTACTGCGCAGGATAGTAACGAGAAAATCCACATGCCTATTACCGGTCCTTACACTGGCGTCAGATAGGCAGAAGATATCTGCTATCTTTCCATCCACTTTGGTCATTAATTGAAGAGATGCACCCCCCGATTCTCCATAATAGTAAATTTCACCATTATTCGTGCCAACGAGAGCTATATGATCGGTTGTTGGTGCTCCGAGGAGAGGATGTGAGAAGACTATCTGTCCAATCTCGTTAGGGAGAGTTAGCTCTGTCCACGCGAGTCCATCCTCAAAAACGCCAACAAATATTCGACCTGAATTTGTGGCAGCAAGAAGTCGACTATCGGAGATGAATGTATAACGATTGAACCCCTCCTTTGCATTTTTGGATTTGGTGCCCTGCGAAGCCAAGGCTAGACCGGCCGAAACGCCGTTTGACTTCTCAGGGTCGGTTGTCGTATGATTTGCTTGGGAAGACCGTATTACATCTGAGAGAGACCACGTAACGCTTTTCCTCTCATCCGATACTCTACTGGTGGGCTTTATCTGGTCACCGCCTGTCACTCCTGGAGATAGAGACTCCACGCCAGCTCCTATTAGAGCAATCTTTCCATCGGCACCGCCAGTTGCAATGAGGAGATCTTCACCCTTGAATGTCATGGCGTGAGACCAGATGTGTTTCCCACTATGATTCGAGGCAGTAGACTGGTGAGTCAAGTTAATGGGCTTACTGGAAGAATCAGAGACGTCGAGCCCCTGAGCTTGTATGTCTAAAGAGAGTTTCCACTTCTGCGCCGTGGCATCTTCACCAAATGAGTAAAGCTCAACGATATTGGAGGTCTCGGACAAGGGTTGGATTTGTGGGAATTCGACCTGCCATATCCTTGACGCATGCCCCATGACCGTAGCCAAGCATTTTGTCGACTGGTCGTCGTGGGCTGTGTCCTCGACGTTGTATCCGAATCCCGTCTCACGCGCTTCTGAGATACCATCCCCATACCCGTTTTGACATTGGCGTCCGGACTTCCCGCGTCTTTCAGTGATATCCCAAATTCGAATAGACCTATCATCACTACAGCTTGCCAGCAGCCTCAGCGTCTCTCCCCGCGAAGTTTGGATCTCAGGGGAAATATGGACTCCGAAGATTGAACCTTCATGACCGGTAAATACGGAGAGGACCTCGCAGTTCTGCTTCTGTTCGGCAGTTTCGAGGTAGCATTTCCAGACAAGGATCTCTCCAAATACCGTTCCAGCGGCCACGAGTACGCACTCCCTCGACGCCCAAAAGAAGTTACCCGAATATAAAATGGGCCTTGAAGGTGACTGGATACTATTGAAGATAAGAGAACCCCGGTCTTGGTCTACATGGGCCTGGATAACTTCGTTATGGGCGGTAAGTAGCACAATACGACCGTCTCCAAAGGGCGAGATCCTCCCGTCGAAAATCCAATCTGGCGCCCTAGCTTCCACATTTTTCGACAAATCCGGCCTTCTAACATGACCTTGAATAATACCTTCAATTATGTCATTAGATAGAACTTTAACATGGTGCCCGCCCCAGATCAAGATCAGATGAGGCTGCTTAGATGCATCTAGCGACGGTATAGAGATTCCGTGGATGGACTGAGCCTGGAATATGGGTAGCTGGCCGCAAAAGCAAGAGGTTTGAACATGATATATCTTAATATCTGTGTCTTCTCCAGCTAAGAGATATTGTTGTCCGTTATCCTGTGACGTATAGAAGGCCAGAGCCGTAATAGGATTCAGCACATGTTCCCTGTAGAGGTTTCCGAGAGCAGCCAGCTATATTTTGAGGTTAGTATGTAGGTATGTATATTAAGAGTGATATAAAAAAGGTGTAAATTGGTGGTTCAGCGGTGTGCATGAAAACATAATGAACGGATAAGAACAATTGGATTTGTATTTACCTCGCGAGACATCGGGTTCGATTACTCGTTGTGATTTCCATGTGTGACTGAATAATGAATAATGAATAATAAGAGACTAGAGGTTAAATTTTAGGTTAGGTTATTGCACCAGACGTGGATAAAGCTAAACCCACTTTACATAATATTCACTTTTAATTGCATTTATCTATTAAACGAAATTTCGAGTTGGGTATTTCTACGCATAATAAGAAAGTATTAGTTGCGCAACACCAACCATAACACTTAGAAGGCCAAAAAGGGCTGCAAAAAATAAACCAGCGATCGCCACAGTTAAAGCATTCCTTTCCGATGTATGTCTTTCGATCCAAGAAATAAGCGTATTTGTAGGCGGTGGATGAGCTACAACATCTTCTAACCGCCGCAGTCGCTTTCCCCAAAACGCCAGCTCGAAGGGTTCCGACCCTGGTCGTCTTTCCAATTCACAGGAAAAGCATCCCCGAAACGAAGTTGGAAGTCATCAGAAAAGCTCTTGTAGGACGCCGTATCCAACATGAAGGCTACTTTTACGAGCGTTCTTAAAGATTGTTCCTGCTTATCTTTAGGTATACCGGGGAATAACTGCCTAATGAGGGTCTCCTTAGATGTTCCACATTGGGACCTCATCATTGAGATTGCCTTAATAACGTCTATAGACGATGCCAATGGGTGCGCGAAAGAATTAGTAAGTGTACCAGTGGGAAATGAGTCGGCACACAAAGTATTGCAATAAAACCGAAAGAAAGCAGAGAATTGATCATGGGGTGGTTCGGGGCTGTGACAAAGAGTCTCGATAATATTCTTATCGATCAGCAACGCTGGTGGAATACAGTTGATATTCATCGTGACGGCCTCAAAATTCAATTGGTGATAGATAATATGAAGGGGCGGCGACGAACGAAGGTCGCTTTGATAACGACGTGGAATTCAACGGCTAGGAGGTAATCACTACAATATATTCCAAGAGAAATCCGCCCCCAACTCCTGTCATCTTAGTGCTGAGAGCCAAGACTTGATTTGATGTAACAAGAAAAAAACCGCCTACCACCACACCGATCAATTACTCTGTATGGAAGAATGCTATCGGGTCGACCACGCGGCTGAGGCTGAGGCAGCCTACATGGCAGCAATGGAATAATATGTCACCAAATCCAACTATCTTTAGAATACATTTCTACTATCTACTATCAATATCTATCATAAACACCTAGAAGACGTATATTATATCTTTATTATTTACCCCTTACGTTTACCATTATCAATCGCGATGCCTTTTTACCCTGGGCCAGGTCGGGCGGTCCAAGAAATCAATGAAATTTATAACAGGCTTGCACAAATTGGCAGGCAGATTCTGAAGGTCAAGACAGATCAGGACCAAGATATATCGAAATTGACGAACCCGGACAGCGTACAAATAAGGAAGGGGGCAGGTGGTGGCATACTGTCACAGGATTCTACGAAGGCATCACGCAGCAGTCTGAGGGATGCAGACTACCCGGAGGTAATGATCTAGAAATAAAACCACACCTATAATGAGGTCGACACATATGCTAAACGAGTTTAGCTTCGGCGAGTGAGTGTGTGAAGCGCCTCCCTGAAGCCTTCCGAAATCCTTTAATGATACCATACATCAAAAGTCCGGGTCCGATCTATGTCTATCCACATGCCGAGGAATATATCGATACTGTACATTGACAGATTCGAGGCAGTCGTCAATATTCTCAGACACTCGATCGAGCAGAACCGTAAATTGTCAACAGCGAGAGATTAGATGGAGAAGATATCATACAGCCTTGCGATGTGCGGCACAGACATGGCCAGTGCTAAAGCTTCAATAGTCGTGTCATGTCCTAGCCGAGCCAAGAATCAGACCGTCTAAGCAACGCCATGTCCGAATTATCACGGCACACCACACAGAGTCTAAAGGAAAAATCAGCCCAATCCCTACCTACCTACATATCCAATCAGAGAAACAACCATGACCTCTGCGAAGTCTAGACTGTCTCACTAACCCACGGACGAGGTATGAACAATCTTCCGCAACATAAATACCGGGGCTAACAGAACTTCAAGGACTTGAGATCGGCGATTCCGGATCTCTAATGGTAGACGAAGAAACACACGAGGCGTACGGCCATGTTATCGCGGTCGATCCCACGGGTAGAATATTCGTCATCCCGCTTGTCAATAACTCTCAGCCAAATCCAAGGGTTGTTTGGAACTATGCATGTAGATCTTTTCTCGAAGGACTGGACTACGCTTCCCTACCGGCTTTTTACACCCCCCAACCCATATGACTCAACGGGCTGGGACAAACTATTGAGTAGATCGCGATAGGTCTAGAGTCTTCCGTACTAGGTAACTTGGGTATAAACTAGTAACATCAATATCAAGCGACATCCTCCCTTTCTACCTACCTAGCTACCTAGATTATCGATAAATCAATTGAAACAACCATAAGCTAAGGTCCGCTGTTAGGTAGTAGCAAATCAAGAAATGTTCGGTGAACTACTTCCTCAGCTTTCAGCCCCTTTGAGAAGTCGAGTATATCTACCTACCTAGGTACTTATTATCTTCATACGGGAGTTATGCCTCTGATGTGGGTTTCAAAGTTAACCAAAAGGCTGGCCGCGTCTTATTATAGAAACCCATGTGTATACCACATGTTCCAACGGTAGGGTCTGCTCTATGGTCCCTGGAACCCGTTCTTTGGGCCACCAGCATGGAGCATCTACTACACCTCGCACCTCATTTGTGCCACGTGCTCTAAGCTCCGGTTCGACCACACCGCTCAGTCCTCAATAGGCCAGCAACGTATGTACACACTAGAGCTAGTTTCGGTAGTTAACAATGAAAGGCTATCCACGATATCTTCACACAGGGGCACAATATACCAGATTTATATTCCAAAAGGGAAAGAGTATCTTTAATAGATACGTATGATATTTAGGTCCTATATGAAGCCATTCACCCTAGATCATTATATTCCGGATTGATATCATAAGAATTCGCAATTTTCCCATCACGGGAAACCACCTTATCTACCCCATACATAAATATCTCCGGTAGCTTTTGCAGATACCGCGATCATCCAGTCTTGTCATACCCAGGCCCAAACGCCAGCAGAACGCAAATATTACAGATCTGTAACCATCCATTTCATTGTAGATTGACTGATATTCTCCGTATTTAATGGGCGTGAGAGTAGGGCTCGTAGGCCAGATCCGAGCGGGCACCACCACGCTGCGGGGCACCGTAGTTGTACCCGGAGTTGCGGTTATCACCGAGCGGCGCGTATGAGCCATTGGGAATGAACTTCTCACCCTCGGCACCGTGTCCCGCTCGTCGGTTGTAGGGTCGGTTCTCGGGCTTGCAGCAGCAGATGGAGAAGAGCCAGAAGAAGCTGGCACCGAGCGCGAAGGCAACACCAATCCAAACGCAAGCCAAGAAGTTGGTGTTCCAGCTGGCGTCTCCACCGTACTTCGACGTGGCGCCCTTCGTTACACCGACCACGATAACAGCTAGCGCAGTCATCATAGATGCAGCAGCAATAACAAAGGCAGTAGCAATACCAGATATGACCCAAGTCAGGCATGAGACCAGGCGAGAGCAGGCGGTGAACAGACCAACGACCAATTCAAGGGCAAGGCCAATCATAGCAATGACGTAGACAACCTCGGTCCACTTGATGAGGGTCTTGAAAGTGCTCAAGGTGTCGTTCACCTCATCGGGAATGGTAATGTTAGCACCACCAAGCTGCTTGCCAAATTCATCAACCCACGAGGTGTTGAGATCCTCCTCAGCCCAGTTGAACTTGGCCTTAGTGCAGTTCTTTGCACCGTCGGATGTTGTGGCGCAGTAGTTCCAGAGAGTAAACTGGTAGATCTTGTCGATACCAAGCTCAGCGGCGGTGATGTTGTCACCGGAACCGGTGAGACTGCCGATGATACCGGAGATATCTGAGGTATCTTGCGGGGCTGGCGAGCGGGTGTTGTGCTGATTCAAGGGATTATGAATATTTTGGCTAACAGCCTTTTGGCCGTTGTTTACGGCGTCGTCAACCTGATCCGATATGCTTTCGGCGTTGGTAATGTTGCCGATGAGGCTTTGAAGGGTTTGGGCATCGATAGTAACGTTCCTAGTATCGATTTCGAAAATGAATAGACCGTTGTTGGTAACACCGGTGAGGCCAGCAATCAGCATAGCAATGATGCTGCCTACTGTCAATATGAATGGCAGAGCCACGCAGACAAATCTTCCAACACCCATGATGTATACCAGTCGATGTGCGACCGAGAGGAATCTAATTGTTTTACGGTTGTTGTAGTTTTTTTTTTTTTAAACGAGTGCAGGCCGTTGACTTAAACGAAGGTAGGTTATGTAGGTACCTAAGGTTATATGGTTTGATGGTTTGATAAAATGGTCGAAGATGGAAAAATGACGACTGACCCAGCAACGGCGAGCGACAATAATAAATAAAGATGTAACAGTGATACGTGAGCAAAGATGCACCGAAAAGAATAAGGTGCGTAAGACGGTTGTATTTATTACGCATGGGAGGGACGATCAGTAGGATTTGACTGGACCGACTGGACTGACTGATCAAATCTAAGCAAGCGTGGCGCAGCTTCGGGCTACACAACCCAGCCCTCCGGCCTTTCTACATAACATGGCAGCATGGCAGCATGGCGGGGGGGGACCCTTTCAAGTCGACGTCAGCCCATCACTAAAAAGTTGTCTAGGGGATGCTCAGCCCCGCTGTAAAATACCTACGCCAATGAGACAGGATGCCACCCCACTAGAAAAAAAAACAAGTGACATTTGGTAACCCGTATTGCCGTAACACCACAGCCTGAAAAAAGCCCTCGAGGTACCTAAGGTCTACGGGGTATGATGGTAATTGTCTGTCTAATACCCGATGTATGTAGAAAGATCATGAACTTTTGCTGAAAATCATTCTCTGACGTTTATGCCCAACATTTTTCATTAGGATGATTTTGACTAAAACTACTAAAGCACCTCAGAAGCACCAGTGATGCAGTTTCACACAAGACAAGGCATGAATGCAGCAGCTGAAATAGAACAACTACCTACGCTAACATTTCGCTACACACAAGACCAGTTAGGCAAATCGCAATTCCGGACTAGGTGATTGACTAGGGGGCCCTAGCAAACCTCAAACTCCCGCAGATACGCTGTATTGCTAACTACGACTCTATCACATAAATGTTGCATATGGCCCCGGTACTCCGGCAAGAGCTAAAGATACGCTGTAGGTATTCGAAGCGAAAGAAAACAAACCAAAGGCCTACTGTAACATTTCGTTTGTCTGCCGCAGCAATCAAACGCGGTTTGTGCAGCTTTACGGAGTGACACGAATGAAACAAAAAAGAGGAGATATACATAGAGGCATAAAGTGGACGGGCCGCGTAGAGTCGGCGAGAAAGCTCTTAGTTGGAAATGTTGATCAGCGTGTGGCTAGTGGTCCTCGTGAAGATCGATTACTATTTAGATTGGGCATGTTGTTGCGTGCGTCCCGCGTGTTCGAATACGTGGGCGTTGTGGCGTCAACGCACAAGGTTCCCGTGAGGCGATGCCCTTGACGCGTCCTTATCTCTCCACCATACTAAGAATCTCTCACACGACAGACAAGACACATGAGCATGGTTGAAAGCTTCAAAAAGGTAGAGAACGTTTTGCGTTGCGGGTTGAAAATCTAGAGGAGATAATGCGATAGTCTAGATCATAGATTTGATAACATATGTAGTGAATATATGTAGTGACAAATAAGGATGGTGTCGTTGAAGATGGAAACGAGGAGGATCGAAAGGGGGATTTCAAAGTCCAACATAATTGAAACCGGTGCAAAAGGCTATTATCAGCCGAACCATTTACCTACCAGCCTGCCAGCTCTTTAAATGTGGCTGGGCTGGCTAGTGGGCCTTGGCGGGGTCCTGCTAGGCCCGCTAGGGTAGGTCGCGGGGCAGATCTTGAGGGGATCCTAAAAATAGGAAGCTTAGAAAGTTCCACTTGTGGCTAACTAGCAATAATACGTACCTTTCTCTAAGAACCTGCCTAAAACCCCATTTATGCGTTCAGGGTTGAGGCAAGCAAACAAATTCTTCGGGCAGCCGAATTTTATATAAGAGGTAATCGCTCTTATGTTGTCGGTTTCCGGACCCGAGAAAGGAGCTTAAGTCGGAGATACCAGCTTCTCAGCCCTACCCGTTATGGTTAAAAGGTAGAAGGGTTCTAGAATTTCGGCCTTGAACCTTGCCCGATCCGGAATACACCGATGGACCGGGTCACATCGGAGCCGTTTGCGGGTATGGGTGATGACATTAGCAAACTTACCTCTTCGCTACGATTCATTATCCGTCGGTGAGCTTCTTAATATAGGAGCTGTCAGGCTGTTAGACTGTGGTACTTAGTCGCCCTACCCGACAATCCAATCAACATTCATCGAAGGATCTAACAGCTGCCGCGATGACCCGATGACGGGAGACGTAGGCGAAGCAAGGCATTGGCTCGTTGAGAGCATAGGGCTCATGATGTTGTTAAACATGAAATAGTACCACCTCGACACCACTATGTACTATCAATGTCTAAAGACTTATCTTCCCGTTGCCGGAGTAGCTCGCACCGAAGGCATGATGAATCGTCCGGTTCCTTGCCGTCGAGTTGTCGCGTGCATACTAGTGGCACATACAAGATGCTTGAGATTCGGTTTGAGCGGCAGGTTGATGTATTCTTATAATATTTTATACTGCGTATGATATAGGCGTCTAATAACTTTGTGACACGCGGGACAACATAACGCAACGGATTCCTACTGGACCATTTACTTATCTCCTTAAAGGGATACCTAATATGTGTTACTTACCTAGGACGTGCTCTTGGCTAATCAATCTAGACTTGCCCGAGGCCCGGCGTGTATGCAACTGCCACGATACCGGTATTAATCACAGTGTCAAGCTTTCAGCAGACTCCAATAGAAACGACAGCCGAAGTTAGAATGATAAGCGCCAAGTAAGCAGACCTGGCAAGCAGAAGCCAAGACGGTCGAAAAGACTACGATGGCTGCTTGTGATGCAGCGATGCTACCGATGTTACCGGGTTGCCTGTAGTCGCCACCGCCAAGGATCGTGATGTCGATGTTCACTACCGCCAAAGCTTGGAGAGATACGAACTTTTGGGTTATATACCTATGCGAATGGGAATGGTCAGCAACTAGAAAGGGAGCATGGATGATTAAGGCGTTTGTACCTATCGGACATCGAGAATCAACTGCCATTGTCCGGTTTAGGCAATACAAATCAAAGTAACGAACAAAAGCCGGGCTCGAAAGATGAGATCTTTGCAGCAGGTGCCATCGCGTTGCCTGATCGACGGGATTGTCAGCTTCTTATTGGAAGTTTAGTAAATTTTACTAGATTGCTCCCGTCTGCATGTCACCTTGATCTACTTGAAATGCCCGCTCTGTCGTTCCATTCGAAGCTGTTCGTCCGCAAATATCATTATATCCTAAGAGGGTTTGGGCACCATATACGACCATTATATATGTAAGGTGTAAACGGCAGGGAGGGGTGGAGGGAAACCTGACCTCCTACCGTACCTGGCAGGCTAGTCGTCGAGTCGGACGTAGATATTATCATGGACCTTGACCAATTTAAACCCCACACGCTAGCAATTTATTATTATTTCGTCGTAAATGAACCGAGTACGATATACGACTAGTCAACCAACAGCTCCGAGCTTTCTTTGTTACCAGTAGGACAAGGGAATCCACCCTTATACATTAGGTAGAGTTGGGTAACCTTTGGACGACTTGGACAATTTGACTCGAGCCGGAACGAAAGAGCCCCGCCAAAAATTACATAGCGGTCTAGAAGGTACGTCCTTCCACTAAACTCGCTGCAAGGTGTTCCGCCCAGTCGGACGGCGTCGCGGACTATTCGAAGTGGAAGTAGCGGCTCCCTAGGTTAGTAGATTATTGAAATCAAGTAACCACCTTAAGAGGTAGTCACCATACCTACCATATAGGCGCACCTGGGCATTTTATCAGTGATCTGTCTAACGTCGACTGCAACTTCCCTCCCAACTTCCTATTCGTTTATTTAGTACGTCTGAATAATCTTGACGCGTTCGCATTGCTCTCTCTCTCTCTCTCTCTCTCTCTCTTTCTCTATATTCCTTCTTCTTCCCTTCAACCCCATTCACCATTCACCATTCACCCCTTCTTCCAACTTATCACGAAGCCCAAAATTCCAACGTGCCGCATCCATTGTCCGACCTTGATCCAACCGGCTTGCTCCTTTGAAAGCACACAACCGGAACCTCCCCTAAATAAAGCCACATTTCTAATTCCAAATCGTGCATAGCGACCGTCAGGCCAATATAGCCCGACACCTGTCGTTACCACGGACCTTGGAACCGTTTTGACAAGTATAGCGGGACGTGCCCCTCGTCCTACGCACACACGCTCGTCGCGCGCACAGAAAATAAAAACGAACCTTGCGACCTTGCGACCTTGCGACCTTGGCGACCTTGGCGACCTTGCGCATAGCCTAACGTTGTATAACAATCCGATCAGGCTACTCTTCATATGCTAGGTAGGTGTCGTTTCTGCATTCCTATTCTTCTATGCTTCTTCTTTTCTTCTTTTCTTCTTCTCTTCTTCTACATCTCCTACATTAGGTACCTACATATATACCTACCTACTTATAGTCATACACATACACATATACATATACATACCTGCCTAGGTACCTACCTAGGTACTTAGGTACGCATAGGTAGTCCTACATCACTCGTACATATCCCCATACTTACACATCCATACGCGCATCCATACACACGCATACGCATATATCTACTACCCTAAAACTACCCTAAGCTACCCTAATACTGTATGTTATGTACGGTGAGACGGCAACCCTCGTTGCTTGGCGCCGCTACCAAAAGCTCCACTAGAGTCTAGCACGTTCTTCTGACCTCTTCCTTGGGTTATGTCCCCATGTCTTATCTTCCTTTTTTATTTTAACCTTACTCATCAATCACCGTTCGCCGCATCTCAGACGAAGCAGACGAACAGCTTCTCCCCGCATTTTCCTTTGCTCTGGTGTATGTATTATCCCCAAAAAGAGAGGAGAAAAGGGGAAATTTTATTAGACGGTCCAAACATAATAATAGACGGCCCCAAACCTTCGCCATCGTCATCATTATCAACTTCTTTCCCTTCGCACATCTCTTACCTCAATCTCTCCTCCGCAACTCCCCGGTCTACCTGAGAGTTGCAATCAACTTCCCCAGCTGCCAAACCCCCCCGCCGGATTCAACATTCGACTGATCAACTGCCGACCCTCATACATGTACGACCTCAATCCGCATAGGCCCCGTTGCTGATTCTTCCGACCTGCAATTTAGATTAATTACAGTACATCCAGCCTCAACCTCGTTAGCATAGCCTCTTACGCAATACTACCAGTCCTACATTTGCTCCCGACATCTCCGTTTGACTACGACAGCATCCTACCCCATCCTTCACCTCGTCGTCCTCTCCCGCAACTCCCCGATACCTGCGAAAGACTGGCGCTCACTCTACGCCTTAGCTACAAAGACGGAGAACAAAACGGCTCCCACTTCTTCCGCCGCCCTCCTCCTCTCTGTCCTTGACCGACTATTTCATCCTCCCTAGCAGCAAGCTGGACATTGACGAAGAATATTATCCGACCCGTCGTTAATATACGATCGACATATCGGTGGGCGCCTGGGCTTCCTATTCCTGCTTTCTGTTTCCGCCTAAGTCACTAATAAAAAAATTCTGCATCGCGAAGCTGGACTGATACTCATTGAGCATCGTCAACACCCGACACGAGACGATGGGAAACCAAGCCTCCAAAGAGGGGGGGAGCGGCAAGGGCTCAGGCGCATCCTCCGGAGACCGCGCCGAAAACTTGCAATCGTATCCCTCATTTGGAAAATCGGAGACCAAGGATTCTACCCGTTCATTTAAAAACCTCCGATCAAAAATTCCTGGTGGTGGAAAGACAGATAGTCCACGAAGCTCGGCGATTATATCCAACGGAGATCCTGTCGGGGACAAATCGGACGCAGCTTCTGTAAAATCTGCGCGGAGCAGTAAATCGAGGACTGGCCGTGCTGACTCAGTCACTTCCCCATCATCCCCGCGATCACCGGACGCAATCAGTGATAACCAACCACCTCCTTCTCCTGTCCAATCTGCCTCCATTAGAGCTGGTCATGGCGACATACATGCTGCCCAAGCTTCTGGCGAGGTGGACCACGTATCCGATCAACCGCCCACCGGGGTCATGAGCCCAAATCCGCATATACAGCAGCAGCCCGGAGCGCCCATCTTGGTGAAGAAGGAGAATACTATTAATCCTATCATATCTATGCCGGGAACACCCTCGAAGGATGATCCCCCCACCGGAGTTGCCATGAGTGACATCAAGGATATCGACCTTGATGATTTCATTAAGCGGCTCCTAGACGCCGCGTACGCTGGGAAAGTAACGAAGAGCGTATGTCTTAAGAATGCCGAGATTGTCGCCATCTGCCAGAGGGCACGAGAATGCTTTTTATCTCAGCCTGCGCTTCTGGAGCTTGATGCGCCGGTCAAGATCGTTGGCGACGTTCACGGCCAGTATACCGACCTGATTCGAATGTTCGAGATGTGCGGGTTTCCGCCGAGTGCGAACTATCTTTTCCTCGGAGACTACGTTGACAGGGGCAAGCAGTCCTTGGAGACGATCTTACTTTTACTGTGCTACAAGCTAAAGTATCCCGAGAATTTCTTCCTCCTGAGGGGGAACCATGAATGTGCCAACGTTACAAGGGTCTATGGCTTTTACGACGAATGCAAGCGAAGGTGCAACGTTAAGATTTGGAAGACTTTTATTGACTGCTTTAACACGCTTCCGATCGCCGCCATCGTTGCAGGGAAGATATTCTGTGTTCACGGTGGGCTGTCTCCGGCCCTAAGCCATATGGACGATATCCGTAATATTGCTCGTCCTACCGATGTCCCTGATTACGGTCTCCTTAACGACTTGCTATGGTCCGACCCCGCCGACATGGAAGCAGACTGGGAGGCCAACGAGAGAGGTGTCAGCTACTGTTTTGGTAAGAGAGTTATCACCGACTTTCTAGCAGCCCACGACTTCGATCTCGTCTGCCGAGCGCACATGGTCGTCGAAGACGGCTACGAATTTTTTAATGATAGAGTTTTAGTCACTGTCTTCAGCGCACCAAACGTAAGAGTGCTCCGTCCAATCTATAACACTATATGCTAACTATTTATGTGCTAGTATTGTGGCGAATTCGACAACTGGGGAGCTGTCATGTCTGTGTCTGGAGAGCTTTTATGCAGCTTCGAGCTTCTGAAGCCACTCGATTCCTCTGCGCTCAAGAGTCATATTAAGAAAGGGCGAAACAAGCGCAACAACATGTTGAACAGCCCGGTACGTGATAATCACCGTTTAAGTCCACTTGCAAGAGAGATTTCATGACTGACACTTTTCTTCATTAGCCGGCTAGCGTATATCCCCAGAGCGTATAAAATCTTCTCTGAAGGGCTTCTCAAGAGAAGTCCTTCGTGAAGTAATCATACCGATGAGTTCATTTCGTATGGAAACGAGTTGAAGGGCCCTAAGGGTTAAAGTATGGACCAGAGATGCATCCTTACGCCTACGGGCCTTCTTTCGATTCGAATCATGGCACTGCCAGAAGACAACTAAGAACTGCGGTGTGCGAGGGAAGGGACGGAATTTAGCGGCAAGCCCTGACGCCAAAGTCGAACTTAGCCCGGTCAACCCAACCCCAAGGCAGCCTGTGCCGTTGGAATGGGAGGCGAGGGTGTAGCAATCCTTGCAAGCGAGAGCAAGCCAGAAACGGTTTTGCTCGAGAAACAACATCTGTCGAAAACTAACTAGAGCTCGGGAAGTCTATTGTTTATCTATGCCCCGGTAGCTACGGGTGGCTTAAGAAGGAACCACATTCCTTCCCGCGTTTCTAGGAAGGGAAAGGAGGAAATGGACGGTTGGATGGCGCATTACTACTTACTTCAGTCCTTGATGTTATCGTGTACAGTATCAAGGTTTCGGTTAGGTTAATTACTACGAATGAGTATGCTTGGAGTCCGCGCATTGGTCATTAGGGGGGCCAGATGGTCCCGAGCAAGCAAAGCAAAGCAAAGCAAAGCAAGCAATTACTAGGTTAGGTACCTAGGTTAATGAAAACGCGGGGGGGTTTTTTTATTGTATTCAATTCATTGGAAGGTGGCTTGTTTGATGTACGAGTGTCGTGTTGTTTAGTGACTACGTTAGTATGACTATAAGCTTGAGTTGCTATGTCTCGTGTAGTGGTGAACTAATCAGTCTATGTGGGTTGCGATACATGCGTTATAACCAGTTAGTCGTAAGATATATGCTGTTTGTGGGAGCTTATGTTTATCTTACGGCATTCACTGGGATACTTAAGAGGTATGTGCCGTCCCCCCTCCCGGCTATCATTATACAGTTTCGATGTATACATCAACAATTAACTACCTAAACTATCATAAGTTGGATTAGGTAGTTTACATCCAGCATAGCAAATCGAGCTGAAGGAGCATATTGATCTTGAGTTAGATATGCAAAGACAGAAACAGGAAAAGGGGAGTTGATTACTTGAGGTAGGTTGGATAGAAGGTCCCTTTGGTTTTGTCATAAATAAACTAACTACCTTGTAAGACAGGTAACTATAGGAATTGTTAACAAAACTAGATTGACGACGAAAATATTTACTTTATATAGATAGCTACCCCCGAGTTGCCTGGATACCTTAGGTAGTCATCTACAGCACCACAAACAAGTCTATGATAAACCACCAAATTAGAAAAATGCATCGTGGAATTGCTGTACTACCCGCTCTCAAGGGTGATAAAGAGCCTCGTAGCTAACGGAAATTAGACTATCTCTTGCAACCAGCCCGCACGCAATGCTAACGTAAAAGCTATTTCTATAGCCATGTCCGCGGACACTATTATACATCTCTTTAGGCTAAAAGTCGATTCTATTATATAACGTAGATTAGGTTAGGTACCTAGGTGGTAGCTTGCACCATAAGATGTAGCCTTGGATTAAATTTCGGGCCGAGTCGAATATTGGATGGGATTGGAAATCTCCTCACTGCTTCGATGGAAAAACTCCTAATATTAGTTTGATATTGCTAAGTAGGAGAATCTTCGAAGAAGACCTAGGCTAATCATCGTACCTGGCCGGTCTGCGCCTGGTTCGCGAGCGGTCGATCGGTGAGTCATCATCGCTGTCATCGGTACCGGCACCGGCGTGTCTGACTCCGTCGCTATCATTCCAACTTCCGCCGTTATATTCATCATCACCACTTGCGCCTTTCCTCGCGCGTCCTCTTCTAGATACGGGCCGTATGTCCGAGTCGGATAGGTCGAGCCCGGGGTATGCGATGCCCGAATCTGGCGTTGATAATGGGCTGGATTCTACCATGTCTTTGGCCTGTCGTCGGCTTCGCGCCAGAGACGGAGTCTCTCTGCCAGCAGCCGAATCTGAGTCAAGCTCAAGCCTAGCTTCCGTATGCCTAAAACGACTACTCCCTTGAGCGCTGCCTGGGGCGCTGCCCTGAACAGCATTCTGTGCGCCCCCTATGACGACCGTGTCTCCTTGGCCTCCCTTGGCCTCGATGTTGGCTTCTCTCTCTCGTATCTCTTTTTCTCGCATCTCTTTCTCTCGCAACTCTTGCTCTTTAATATGTTTCGGCTTCCTACCCCGACGCTTGGGCATAGTTATAGGCTTGCTCTCTACCACCAAGGCTTTGTCAATTTCTTCAAGCGTAGCATCGTCAAGGAGTTTTCGTGGTTTCTTACGCTGCCGTTTCGGCGTTAACTCAAGCTCATTGCCTTCATCCACCCCTTCGTCAGTTTCTTCGCGCCTGGCAGCTGGAGCTGGGAAACTCTTCCTAGCCTTTGGCGGGGCTCCCAGCCGCTTCCTTAAGCGCGATGGTTTACGAGTAGGTGATCCTTCACCAACGTCTACCATTACATCATCCTGAAAGTCAGTCTTAGGGCGATATTCGCCCTCATCCGATTCTTCTTCATCGACAATGGCACGCTTGCGCTTGCGTCCCTTGGCGATATTGATGTTAGGGAGTGGCTCTTCCGTGGGTTCAAGAGCCTCGTCATCGTCTTCCGGTTCCGAATCGACTTTGGCGAAGGTTTTCTTTGGCTTGCGGCCTGGTTTACGCCCTGGTTTTCTACCTGGCTTGCGACCGGGTTTCTTCCTTGGTTTTTCAGCATCGTCCTGGCCCTTCTTGCGGGCCTGCTCCTTAGCCTTACGTCGCTTTTTCTCGGCTTTCTCTTCTTGCAAAAGCTTCTTAGTCAGATTTGGGAAGTTCTCGCCGTAATGGAAAAACAACTCTTCTCCGGCCTTAATTTCCCGCAGAGATGTGAATTTGATGCGATATTCGCCATTGACATAGAGGATTCGCGGGGTAACATTACAGTTGGTTTCCTGGTGGTTGATATATCGACTAAGATTGCCGTAGATAGCGGCGTCGACCCAAATGCCTTCCTGCTCTAGCAGGGTGAAGAGATACGAGGAATTGGATGATTCGTCGAAAACGTCCCCACGGCGTGCCTCACGGCGAACTCCTTCGTCTTGACTGATAAGCTCACCAACATACTCGATGACAAACTCATCTTGTGCAATATCTTCGGTAGCAAAGAGTCCGTAGCCGGCAATCTTAGATCTTCCAAGCATGACCGACTTTGACCTGCCTCGCTGAAGTGCACAGTTTTGGCATCCAGTGGTATGTAGAGCATCATTATCCGCATTTGCTGGGTTGGCTCTCTCGGAAGCACCACAGCTTCCGCATAGAACGGGATCACATTCGCGATTGAGCTGCACGCAGATGCAAGGCCGATCTTTTTGCTTAGGGACACATGTCTTCCCATGAGAGTGACAGGCACAACCGGTAAACTTGCTGGCGCAAATTGCTGCTGTGCATCGACAGAAGCGCTCGCACATGAGGCGGTTTTGGACGCACCTGCAGTTCTTCATTGTGCACGGCCCTTCATGGCTACAAGGATCAAAACAGTCCTTCCGCTGGTGCTCGTGAGTATTGGTATGATCTTGCCAGTCCCCTATGAGCATCTTCTTTTTCCTATCATACCAAGGCAGCGGTTTCACTTGGACCTGTAGTGTGGGGTCCGCGCTGGGAACAACAGACAGATCAAGCTTATCGAGCTGACGGCTGACATCCCAACAGGGCCGTCCAGTGGCCACAGAAGTAGCGCATTGTACTGGTATATTCGTGTTGCTCAACGTGGAGAAGAATGATCTAAGGAGCATTATTTCACTCTCACTCCATGCGCGGGCTCGTGTTCCTGGGCGCCCATTCAAAAAGCAGTCATCGCCGCAAGGTTTTCTTATTTTGCGAGATGTAGGGCTATCTTCGATCCTTCCCTTGGACTTCTGTGTAAGCTGTTGGCGAATCATAGGCGACAAACCGCCAACTACCTCGATAGAAAATCGCTTCCGTTCGTTATCGACACCGTATTCGCCATGTTCGCAGGAATGGCTAGTGCATATCAAGCAACCAAGCAGCGCGTAAGTTTCGAGAAAAGATTCAACCGTTGCGTGCTCTTCGGTGACTTTCGATTGGCTCGGTGTATCCTTCATCCATTTCTTAGAATCGACGATGGCATCAACCGACTTATCTAGTAAGAGGACGTCGCGGAGAGGCACAGCGCGCTCGCGTAAAAGAGGCGAGTTGAAGACTCGATCAAATGCTTCTGTGAAAATTCTGACAGTTTTGGCCGATCGCGGGGATCCAGGCTCATCATTATATGAGTTCAAGATACTAGACTTTTGCTGAGGAGTGACATTATCACTCTGGCTAGCCATATAGCGGATAAGGGTGGTCTTAGTACAGTTCTCGATGCTGAGGCCAAGTCTATCCAGCCAAGAGTCGAGATATAATAGTAAGGTAGTCGCACGCTCCTTTTGGATGGTCTTTGTCACCTTTTGATGCCGACTTAGCGTAGCAAACCCAGACGTCTTATCCATGTTTTCCAAATTTTCTAGCCAGCGGCGGTAGACGCCTTCTTCGTTGTCTGCCAGATCTCGTAGATGGGGGACGTAAGTAAGCATAGTATTTGGGGAAAGGATATTCTTCCTGATCTCAACATGATGAAAGCCGTAGGACGGGACCTTCTCGGCATCAGTTTTAATGCAGATAACCTGGTGGTGTTCTTTCTTCTCCTGTTTTCCAGATCTACCATGGCCAAATTGCTGTGCATTTGTTAGCCTCTCACTCCTACTCTAGATGAGACCCGGACTTTGGGATCTCGAATAGCGTGGGCAGCGAGTCCTTGGGGACAAACCTTATACTTAATTTTTATCGTATCTGATGATCTCCCAACACCTTCCAACGGGGTACGTTTCATATCCGCAAACCAATCCTTCTTGCTCGTAAACTGCTGATTGGGCGCTTCTTTTTTCCAAGCCATGTGAATCAAGCGAGCAGTGAGCTTGGCGCCGTCTGTGCCGATCTCTTCCGAGAATCCTCGTAAAGCTACCACAACGTCATCGATAGACCAGAAAGATTTTTTGGGGGTTTGAATTTTAGGTGTTCGATGGCTTCCAGGTGGGTGGCGCTGACTTGATGAAGGTGTGGCATCTAAGCCATTCCTAGAGCTGCCGCTTGATCTAACCGGTAATGAAGCAGTCTTGCCATCTTGGTTCCCATGCTTTGATGCAGACCCCTTAGCAGACATAGGAGGAGTTGCAGCGCGAATCGATATAGAATGTTCGTCCATAGATGAAGGTTCCTGCTGTCCAGATGACCTATCCGGAAGGTGTGGACTAGTAAGATTGCGAGGATGTGCCCCTAACTGAGATTCAAATTGTGATAGTTGCGATAGTTCTGATAGCAAATGAGACTGCGACTGCCCTTCTTGAAGTGTAGCCTCTGAGGCATTATAATCATCTGAATCTGAAACCACGGCCGTTAAGTCAATAGGAACTCTATCCATCTCGCTCGAGCGCCTGCTGCTAGGCCGCACACCCTCGACTCCGCCCCTATCTTCAATTCCCAACTCCAGATTGGAATACTCCCGGAGTCCTCGTCCTCGTCTTCGTCCTTGAGTCTACCAAGGATGTGGTGGATATGACAGTGCTCCACCCATTGTCTACTGTTTATTACGGGTAAGCGAATATGAAATCAAGGGTGATAATTGTGGCTGTTCAATCCCAGATGTAAACGCGTCTCAAGTAATTATAAGAATGTATTAAAAAGGGGTTCGATTTGATGTTTATGATAGAAAACTTGCGCTTATGTTGGATAAATCACAGGTAAATCAAGCCAGTGAAAAAAAGGAACTTACTATCGAACCTTTGAAAGTTGAAGTGATGTTAAATTAATAGTTACGAGAGAAATGTGAATTTTATAAGTCTTGATTGACGCGTCGATAAGATGAGACGACAGGAGATGAACTAATAAGGTGCTATCCTTATCTAATCGCTTATAATAGGAGTGTGGCTTCCTCTGTGGCTACCTAGTATCCTTAGCTCCAGGAATGGAGGTTCGGACCTCCATGTACATTGACCTACCTAACCTAGGAGGTAGGTACAGATCTGTACAATTGCTCTCATAAATGGCGATTTACAATTCACCATACCTGTGGCATTTTACGGTTGGCTACCTAATTGAATTATAGTTATTAATAAAGTATTGTCTCTACTTAGCATAGTGACTGGATTATACCAGGTACTTTAGGTACTTAACCCAGATGTCTTACTTTAATATAATACCTGGTACGTTGTGTTCAATCATCAACCAGATATTTGAAATACAAATCTTGAATCTATATTACACATAATACCAGGTTACTCTTATTTTAACTGTGCTCATTGTCATCAATGTTGCAATTCATAATGCTCATTCAATCAATTACTTAGATTAGAGTGATGTACTTTGTAGTCATATTATATACCAGGCCAGGATTCGATTACCCGCTGTTTAGACTTTTATCTTCCGAGGCAAGCGGCATTACACGTTTCTGCTCTAAGAGAGCTACAAGTTTCTTTCTTAGGCAAGAGCTAATTTGTACGCATGCGATCTGTAATGAATGATTAAGTGGAAGCACCTTCGAAGACGGCGTAAGCTCAAGACTTGTGCGCCCCAAAGAACAAGATCGGAGCTAGAGGTACGCTACCCGTTAGGTCAATCACCACATTAGGATTAGCTCTGCATACTAAGAGCTGGAAAAATACAATTCGGTAGTGATGACGTAGCAGTAAGGGGACCAGCTCTCTTTTTGTTCCCACTTTTTCGATTGTCTAACCTAAGCTCTTTGGCTCTAACAGCCCAAAACCTGTAGAGCCCCAAGACATCCATGGGGCCACTGGAACAACATGCCCATCTTACCATCCAGTCCATCTTCCAGTTTTATTCTTAAATACAAAAAAAAAGTGTGTACCTTACGTATATGATCGCCCAAGACCCAAATCCGTCCGCTTCTTTTTAAGACGAAGATCTCAAAGACTAAAAAGCTACATCCACACTTTCACCATCTTCCTTACCTTTTGGAGTATCGCATTCCATATTCCCGTTAATCAGCTCCAGTCTTCCTAGAACGAAACGAATATAGCAAAGTATCATAGCAAAGTATCAACCATCGCATCGCATTCTCCACCATAGTTGTCGACCCTCTTACATCGCATCGTCTTAAACATCACAGCTATATCCTTCCCGAGCCGACCTTCCTAGTATCACTGCAATCCGCTCACTACTTGTTGCCAATCCGTCTTTCACAATGCATCGAACGTATTCCATGCGCCAGACTCGGGCGCCAACTGCCTCGCAGATTCAGGTAGGTCTCGTTGCCTAGTCAATGCGCTTCGAGGTAGACACGCATTGTTAACATTGTTGTCACAGAACCCCCCTCCCCCGCCATCGTCTACTAAGTCGGGTAGACTATTCGGAAGAGGCGGATTTGGTAAGTTTCCTCAGCACTCACCCAACTTACGGCCATACTGTCCATGATGGGTTCTCGCATTTCCAAACAAGGCCAGTCCACTAACAAAAAGCATCAAGGACATGCGCTCCGTCGAAATGCCGCCGGCGCTTTCGGGCCTGACCTAGCCAAGAAGTTGACCCAACTTGTCAAAATGGAAAAGAACGTGATGAGGAGCTTGGAGCTTGTCGCAAAGGAGCGCATGGAGGTTGCTGTACGTAGAACCTATCCCTAAAAGATTGCGCCCGCTAAAAAGTTCTATCTAGCAACAACTCTCACTCTGGGGAGAAGCTGGCGACGAAGACGTCTCTGACGTCACCGACAAGCTTGGTGTACTCATTTATGAAATTGGCGAACTTGAGGACCAGTACGTCGACCGATATGACCAGTATCGCGTGACCATGAAGAGCATTAGAAATATCGAGGCATCTGTGCAGCCTAGCCGAGACCGTGAGTACCCCTCGCAAGAACCCACCACAAGAGATCGACACCAGCTAACGCCATAACAGGAAAGCAGAAGATTGCCGATCAAATCGCCCAGCTTAAATACAAAGAACCCAACTCACCTAAAATTGTTGTTCTCGAGCAGGAACTTGTTCGCGCCGAAGCTGAATCGCTTGTGGCCGAGGCTCAGCTATCTAACATTACTCGTGAGAAGCTAAAGGCAGCATACACCTACCAGTTCGATGCCCTGCAAGAGCACTGCGAGAAAGTCGCAATCATCGCCGGCTACGGCAAGCACCTCCTCGAGCTCGTCGACGATACGCCCGTGACTCCCGGCGAGACCCGCGCTGCCTACGACGGCTACGAGGCCAGCAAGGCCATTATTCAGGACTGCGAAGATGCACTAACTAACTGGGTATCATCAAACGCAGCCGTGAACCCAAAGCTATCCACACGCGCCCGAACGCTCTCCATGCGCCGCCGAAACAACATCAAAGCCAGATCAGAAGGCTTGGATCTGTCCGCTCAGGACGCCCCGCTCAACGACCGCGAGTCCTGGGTTGCGGCTGGGGAGCACCGGAACCACGAGTATGAGGAGGAAGAGGAGCAGGAGGACGATCAGGCCCATTCCATACTGGATTCTGACAGCGGCTTGAACGGCGAGCAGCAGCACCGAGGCCGAGCCCCTGAGATGGCTGCCTAGTAGGCTGCTTAATTACCCATCTCCGGCTCCAGTGGCTGACGGTAATTCACTAGTAATGTCTAATACGAGGAAAGGTTTATAGCAGCAGGTACGGGCGAGGTCGGACAATGGTAGTGGTGGTATAGCACTCCTTGGGGCACACGACACGACACGACACGACATCACAGCACATTGATTATTGATTCCGGTCTCGAGGAGACCAACTTACTTACTTGCCCTTTTGAGCACTGCTTTGCCTGGATGAAACGATAGGATGAACAACGACCGGACGGGACGGTGATGAACACACACACGCGCACACACATATACACACGTAATAGGAACCGGACAGCACGGACGGGGGAGAACGGGAGAGAAACATTTTGCAAATAACACAAACAACGGTGCTTAGCTTACCTACCTACTTGCTACTTGCCCCCTTAATTTACTCCTCCTTACGAGTAGCCAAGCAACAAACAGTGGTCTTTTCTTGTCTTGTCTTGTCTTGTCTTGTCTTGTCTTGTACTTATAATGAGTGGCAAAAAGAGAGATCTGGCTGTGCCTTTGTAGGAATGATATACGAGATGAGCTTTCACGCGAGAGCAACAACGTGTCGAACATTCTATTCTCATTTGCAATTATCGTGACACTTCACGCCAAGCTTACATGTTGTCTATTCACTCGCACCTTGTAATTAGTTTCGTATTTGTGCGGTAATAGGCCCTGATACTTACCTACCTACCTAAGGTACCTGGGTATAAGTAGGATTAGGATGATAATGCACAAGAACATGTCTACCTCTCAAACATGGGCATTGATATGAAGTTAATAATAGTTCACGTTCTAGTTGCACGACTAGTCCCTGTTAATTACTATAGTCTACTTCTATAAGCTGTACTATAAAATCCCAGAAGAGTCAATAAGCAAAAAAGCATCTCTAACCCCATAGCGTCAACAGTTGTATATGTAACACACAGAACTCATATATTCGTATTCTCAGTAACCCACAACAAAAAATAACTAATTTATTTCGTAATACATAGAAAAGCCCCAATTCCATGATGCCACCAGGACCCTGCCGTAGCCATAATTCAATCCCCCAAATGTGTATACTTCCATTTACACGTGATCCTATCTTTTTCTTATATCTAAGTATACGTCGCCCTGTTCCCTAGCAAGGTCTTTAGGCTCTTCTCGCCGGCCAATTCCTGCTTGCCGCGGCTGCTCATTCCCAACTTCTGCTTCAGGCGGCGGACCAAGCTACGGCTCTCTGGACGGGAAGGTTCCATACCAAATGATCGGCCCATGTACGGCCCCTCGTCTGTAAACGCTACCCTCTGTGCCCTTGCTCTGCGGTTCTCCCACCCGTCTGTTGGACTATCTGTTGCGTGGTATATAGCCACAACTTGTCCGCCTATATTGAGGAATGACCCATGGCCTGGCCCAAAGGGGCCGGTACCATGTCTCCGCGTCTGAACGAGCGGCTCTTCCCCTTTCCGCCACGAAGTCGGATCTAATGGGTCACCGCCTATATACTGCAAGAGCCCCATCTTGTATTCATGGGTCCAGCTGCCGGCGCACGAGTAAACCAAACCCTGCCAAGAGATACCCCCGTCGGGTGAGCTCAAGAACTGCGGTCCCTCATTGATACCATGGTCCGTGCCGTTACCTTCGCGTGTAATTTCCCAGGGATACTGCGGGCGGGATATGACGATAGCAGGGCTGGCAGCGCTTGTCGGATCCTCAAGCTTCATAATATACAGCTGCTGTATGAGGTCCGACGAATCATCGGGGTCATCCAGAGGCCAACCCGAATACACAAAGTACAGTTGCCCGTTCATCTCGAATACAGTACCGTCGATCGCCCAGTGGTCCGGCATCTCATTAATACGACCTAAGAATTCCCACTGACCCCGGCAAGGGTCCTCGGATGCCGGTGGTCCTCCCAGAACATACATCCGGTGGCTTTTGTTCCCGTGAGCCGGGTTCGCGGCGGCGTAGTAGACGTACCATCGGCCATGAAGAGCGTGAAGCTCGGGAGCCCAAAGCTCGGCGGAGTGGTCGGTGCCCTGCGGAGGAGTCCTAGCGTTAATGTCAGCGCCATGACCGACTAAAAGAGATATGCCATTAGAGGCGGTAGAGTATACCAAATTACATGTCTAGCAGCAGAGCTCTCAATGTCAGCCAGGCTGCGGGATGACCATATCTCGACCCTACTTCCGGCGGTGAAGGTCTTGGTATGAAGTTAGTACTGTCATCCTATCAAGAACATATAAAGTAGTGGGTGGTAGTCTCGGTAGCCTACGAGATAGTAGCGGCCTCTGAAGAGAGTTACGAAGGGGTCCGGAGTACCGATAGAAGTAATGGTGAGAGTCGAGTTATCGTATTGCATAGCTGCGGGATTCTCCATCGACATTATCGAGGCTAGCGCGCGGCTCGCACCCGCTAGGGCGTCCCGGAGAAATATATAGAGCATTTGCTCCTCTTGATTGATTTTCGGCTAGTGACGTAGTTTCAGAACTATGCTTGTTTCAGTATGTCCGCTCTGCAAGTACGAAATTAAGTTTCATTCGTAACATGAAAAAAGGAGAAAAAGGTTAAAAGTTGTGACTAAGATAAAGAATAAGTAGATCGCAAGACGAACTAGGTGAGAAGAACCAGCTATCGTTAGATTTCTGACTGCTATAAGGTTATAGGAGGCTGTCTAACGATGGTAGCTGATGACGCGAGTGGAAAGGGTGGACAAGATCACAGCCTGTCTTTTGGAGGTTGATTGTACATCACCAGGTGATCAATCCAGTGTCACAAGTCCAGGATGTGAAGTAGACATGAAGGTATGATTTGGAAGATGACTCGATATTTAACAAAATTCCAAATTCATGTGTAACGGACGACACCGCAGTTGCCCGAACATGACCGCGTAAGTTCCCCCTTAGCTTCCCTTCCCCCCTCTCGCCCCTTCTTCCCCTTCTTCTGCATCTGCCCCTTCCCTTCCCTTCCCTTCCCTTCCCCCTTGGATAGGTAGGCAACTTCCCAATGTAAATTCTTACTGTTAGGTAACCACCTATCATAGTGGATTCCCAGTATACCTAGCATTTATAGTTCCTGGTAGCACAACGATAAGGTACATCCAATTGTGTTCCGATAGCATAACAAAAAGCCAACCCGTCCCAGCGCCGCGCTCTGCTTAGTCCAATATTCCTAACCCCAAAACAATTCATTTTGCATAGAGAGCGTGCCTCCCAAACGCCCTCGATAAAATCAATGGTATAATGACAAATGAACAGGTAGTCAGTCCGACGTAAAACTCATTTCTAACCCATATAGCCTCCTCGAGGCAGCTTAGTCTTTCGAAGCATGGCAGCATGGCATGATCCATTGCTTAGGTATAATGCAAACATTTGTGAACGTTGTGAAGAGCGAAACCCAAAGTAACGCCTCAGTAAAAGTCCCCGGCGTACGCATGCTCCGCCTCCCATTTAAGGAAATCTCCCAGGTCGTGTCCAAGGTTATATCCCATCGGGACAACATCCATATCGTCCCCGTCCGGGCTTCGAATAACTCGGAGGTCTAGCATCGGGCTCTGTGGAAGGCTAGCATAGCTCTCTCGGCTATTATATTCCTTGGATTGATCAAAAATATCATCGTCTAGACTCATCCTCGAAGTATCTAGCTCAAGCCCGGATATATCGTAGTCGGGCTGATGGATTTCAGGTACTGTCTTCTGCCCGGGTGTCTGCCAGTGGTAATGCTGGTTGTATAGGTTGCTATCCTTCTCGGTCTCGTTGTATGACACTTCCGAGCAATCCTCACCCGAAGTCATGCTCATAGGGCTATCGGCTTCCATAGGGTGGTCTAGGAGCCCTCCGGGGCTGCTGAACTTCCATGACCCAAACCATTCCACAATCTCTGCCGCCTCTTCCGCCTCTCTGCGGCGAATTGTGTCGTCGCTTTCGGAGAACCAGTCTCCGGCGCCCCCGGAAATAGCCATCTGGAATGCTGTCCAGTCTAGGCCATCATCCGCTCCGATTTTAACATCTGCTATTAGATCAGACTTGGCTAGTCGGATCGGGCCGTGTCGGAAAATAGGACTAGTCATAGAACAGGGCGATGATTGAAGGAAAACGTAATTTGAATCCGCGACCATATCTCGGGAATATCTGAGATCGTGACCGACAAACAATTCATTTGTGGGTGTCAAGATAGCTGCCGTTTCTGGGATGCTAGGTAGTGATGCCTTCTGGCTTCTCGTAGCAAATCGTGCAGCCTGTCTCATTGGTGGCGTTTGGAAAGTGGCATTTTTGTTTTGCGCCGGTTCTTCTCCTATATCCGTCTGTAATGCCGACGTTGATGTCGATGTCGGTAGCTCGATGGGGCCATATTCATTGCGTCCCTCCGTAGAAAAATCCTTCCAGGCAACAGGGTTAAATGGGAATAACATATGTTTTTCTTCAGTTGGTGTATCAAGGTCGAGTGACACACCGGCCGATCCAATTCGAGAAGACAGATCTTCAAGGTGAAAGGGCTCGATCGGCGTATCGGTCGACTCAGTGTCAATCGTCTCGATCGATTTTTCGGACTGTGTTGACTGGGTCGACTGGGTCGATTGGGTCGATTGGGCGGACTGTGTAGGTTGAGTCACCTTGGCCGATTTTTCTGACTTCATTGTCGACATCCTACGCAACCTGTACTCTTCCAGTTGATCCGGTGTGAGCATTTCATCCACCTCAATCTTCTGGAAGAGTTTCCCACTAAAAAGATCAGTCACATTGTCCGAGAAGTTCCATATTGGGCCGCTCTTCGCCGTCGACTTGGACGCAGCAGGCTTCCGACTCGGCTTCATCGGCTTCACCTTCTTAGACTTCTTCGACCTCTTCCTCTTAACCCCGTTGTTCACTGATGGATTCCGTCGGGGAGAGTAGACGGGAGTAGCGGCGGGTTTAGGAGAAACGACGGTCTTGGGTGAAGCGATGATTTTCGGAGAAGCGACTGCTTGAGGTCGCGGACTCTCTACTCGAGTCTGAGAAGCCAAAGGTGCTGGCTTTAGAACAGGTGACGATTCAGGAGTAGGAAGCGAAGGTAATGCTTTTGTCGAATTGTTAGTGACTTGTACTTCAACGAGAGCGTTGCCGACTGCTCTGAATGCCTCATCTGCCTCTTGTATAAGTTGCTGAATGTTATCTGTAATGCTTGAGAATGATTCCTGCCGTCGCAGGTGTTGCTGTAATGCGGCAGCTTTATTTTCTGGTCGTAGAGATAAAGCTTCTATGTAATCCAGATTCGAACTTGATAGTTCCGCTTGACGTCTAAGAGAATCTGGAGATTCGGAGTAGCTCTTAGGAGGAGGTGGCGGTGGAAAGTCGTCGCCTCCATAGCTTGTCACACTAGAAAGCTGGAGTGATTCTTGGCTTCTATCTTCCTTTGACGATATAGAACAAAGAGGCGACTTTGACCTCTTTGAGTCGATTGATTGTGATAAGTAAGAGTCGTTGTGGCGCTCACAGCTATTCAAGGAACTAGACCTGGACCGCGGCGGCGTGTCGTATGGCGGTAATGGTGGCAGAGGATCCAGAATGTCATGAATGCTTTGTTCCCTACTAACTATAATCGGTGGCGGCGGCCGTCTCTTACTATAGGTCGTCCGCCTTTTAGGAAGTGTACTGCTGTCTTTCCGTCCCGCCCTTTGATCCCATCTTTCGGTATCAACCGAAACCCCATCCTCAAATTCATCTTGGACTCGTCTTGGAGATATGAGCCTTCGAATGCTAACGCCTGATCTGGATAGCATCGTGTGTGGAGGCAGACGCAAGGGAAATCGGACAAGTAGGAGGAAACCAGCATCTGGGGGAGAGGACTCGACATATATTGAGGTGGGATCTACGTTTGGTGGGTGGCACAAGGCTCTGCAACCAAAGAAAAGGGCCAGCTGCATGCTACATACATAGGTAGGTATGCTACATAGTGATGATTACTTGAGCGTCTCGTCATTCGACACCATGCAGTGGCACATGTACTTAGGTAGTATACATGAGAAAGGAAGGCATCTTGACGGAATGCGGCGGACGACCCTGGTCACTTAGCTTCTCCGCTGCGTATCTCACTTAGAGTACTCTTGTACGGCGTACGCGAGTGTGGCTTTGGGTGTGAAGGAGGCCCTGCCAGCCTGCGAAGCGGGAAACAATGGGGGTCCTGCAGAAAAGAGACAAGCCTGGGCAGCCCAGTTTGGAGCAAGGAGGGACATTCAACAGGGACATCGTTATTTTTATCAATCAATTGGTCCACTCGGGAATTACTTCTTGCGCAATTCATGTTTCTGTATGGGCTTTTAGTCCCTGCTCGATACGGATACGGATCGGCCGGGATAATGGTGACGATACGTACCCCGTGAGCCGATCTGGATCATGGCAGCAGGGAGCTAACGACTGCCCATGACACGCCAGTCGAACATCAAAGTGGAAGTCCAACTGCCATGCCAGCCTCCAGGCATGCTATCGTGAGGTTACATCCCTACGGGGGAAGTGGATCGAATACTGTCGTAAAACGGACAAGATAGGCATATTTTGAAATGATGGCCATTATGCCTCGCTATGTATTTTGCTAGTTCAACTAGCGGGCAATACCTAGGTATACCTAGGTATGCAGTGTTTCCTGCCCAGGGTTCATCCCAATCGCGATCATCTGAATTGCATGTGCGCCTGTGCGCCTGTGTCGCAGTAATACATAACCGGACAGCAGGACACTAAAGTGTTTCCCAAGATCCCAAGATCGCGATAGTGGAAATGGACCCGGAAAGAGGCTCGACGGGCGCGATACTTCAATGGGCTACCGAACTACAGAGTACGATATCTCCGTTGTACAAATGTCAACGGGAGGTCGGTATCGGATCCTGATGTACCTAAAGGTATTCGGCACCGCCCACATTGGGAACTTCCCATTTGAGGGGCAAATGGTGACATGAGTTGGAGCGTTGGAGCGTTGGCAGAGTTGAGATACGGTACGGACCAGGGGACGAAACTCTCTAACTGATGTATCTAACTGATGTAGAAAGGTAGAATGGGATGCTACGTAAGATGGCCAAGGAATCGAATGCCCCCTTGAACAATACACTCTATCAGGTACCTAATAGAGACATTCGACTCGCGCAATATTCCCGAATTCATAAATCGTGTCCGCTATGGGAAGCCACCTAATAAATTGACTGAAGGCGAAGATGTACTAGAACGGCGTTCCTACCAACGCCGAGTCTTTAAGATATTTCAGCTAGGCCCGGGACAGGCCAGGCAGACGGATTAGTTCAAGCCAATTGAATTGAGAGACCGAGGAAATAAAGGGCTAGGCACACAGAGTCCGAGTAGAGGGTTAAGAAAGAGAATTAAGGGTCGTACGAAAGGCACCTAACCTAGGTGTAACGTATCGAAAAAGCGGAAACAATTTTGGTTGAGAGACAAAACGGTAGATGCATCTGAAGCACAGGACGAACGGTAGAAATTTGGATGTGCTGCTAGGTTTTTTGGGGGGTTTTTTCTTTTTCTTACAAGGGTTGAAGGTTGAAGGTTGAAGGGTACATACAGAATTGAATACCTACCCCTCTAGCCCCTCCTAAGGAAGTCCCTTGAGTTTAACAGTTTAGCGTGAACCTTTTCCTGCCTTTTCAGTACAAGGTATACTGCAGCAACGATGGGTTTCTCCACCTTTTGTTTTACAATATAATTACAGTTAATGAGATCGAGAAGCCAAGCCCCATCATCAATTGCCAATCACACGTGAGTCCAACAGCCCTTCATATACAACATCGAATACGTACATACATGTATGTATGGATGTAATGTACAAACAGCCCTACCCGCCCGCCGTAGCACATTGATGTAATACACCTACCTCCTTATGTACCTACATATACAAAACATAACCTACAGTAAGCACATTGCACGAGACAACCACCTCCGTCCGCCTTTTCGTATAAGAATACCTGATACTTGAGACGACAGAAAGCGGATGTAGGGAGAGAGCCAGTTTCGAGAGCAGCACCTTGGCATACCTAATTCGTCTGTTCGGTTTTCGATACCCGATACAGGGATTTTCCATGCGGCAATCCGTTCGCTGCAGACTTTGCAGAAAAAACTGAGCCACCACCATTTTTTATATAGATACCTACCTAGGTACCTTACCTATACGCGGAATACCATCGATTTTCGGTAAGTCATCGCGCATCCGCTCACTTTCATGACTCCCAACAGCATCAGTCAAACACGCATCGCCCATCACACATACACACACACATAAGTTAAAGTGGCTCATCGTAACGGGCCGCCTTATACTAGCTACCTACCTATGCTGCCTGTTTCCGTCGACTCGATGCGAACAACGACACCTGAGTCTTAGGGATAAGCGCCAAGGGGAGCTGACGAAGGGTGGGGGCCGGACAATGCGATAGGTCTCTACCCAGCTAGCCCGTGGTCGTGGCAGACGCGGCCGTGCGAATTGAGGCCGTGGTCTATCCGTTTGCCGAGGCCGATGCAGGATACCGAGCAGCGCAGCGCAGCGCAGCGCAGCGCAATGCGCACAGGTACTACCCCACAATCGTCGACAAATCTTTAACCAGCGCCTACATATCGCAGCATGTAGGTATGTTGGATGCGTAATGCATATGATTAACGATCATCAATTTCCTCTTCTTCTCTTTCCCTCCCCAACCCATACGACCAGACCAATTTCGTTCGCGCCGGATACAACAGAAGGGATACGGCAGATACACCTATTGATGGAGTCATGTAAAAGATTCCAAAGCTCAGCAGCGCACATCTCACTAATCAATAATCATCCACTAATTCGTACAGTTGCGTCTACGTCTGTAAGCTGATTTATTAAACACCGCCCTCCAGATTCCATAGGTCATAGGGTGCGGCGCTTAGGTTCAAGCCGCCTTACCTCATATTTATGACCCTACGTAGGTATTTTGATCTTTTTAGTGGCTTAGCCTTCTTCTGTCCAGCTACATCATTGTCAGATCGTGGCCGCAAACCGAACATTGTTCTCCACTCATCCACAAAATTTATATAACCTATGTATCTATCCGATGACACAGGCAGAGTCATATTCCGTATACGTCGTAGCCATTAGTCAATTCTTCGTATCTAAATTAGTACGAACACGTTTCTATATTTCAATATAATAATCACGACTTAATAGTATTTGGCTATTATCTAATTGCGGTGAAAGAGACTAGTTTGACATGGCTCAGCGGTCCGAATGTTTAGTACGGTGGATATTGATATAAATACCAATACCACTAGCAGCCCACTCAACTAAAAAGGTCCCCTTAGCTCCGGGAAGTCTTAGACACGATTACCTAATTCAAGGCTTTAATCTCAACACTAGCAGCAATGTGTTTAGTCTGTAAGAAAAGATGCGCTATTGTAACTGGTGAGAGCTGCACTATGTACCTACCTTTTTGAGTTAGGATAGATAGCTAAGGTGCCCTCATTCCATGACAATAACTCATCTCCCGCTCCAACCCAAACCCAACCCAGCCTACCTAAACAAAACAAAGCAAAACAAAATAAAAATCACTACCATGATCCCCTGTTGAAGATATATCACCATAAGCATTAGCTCCCATCCTAGAAACAGCCTCCCTCCCCAAGTAGGTAAATCCGCACCATCGTTACCAAGCCCAACCCGCGGCACAGCAGCAAGCGTTCAGGCGTCTAGTCGAGTCTGGGCGGCGAATCTTCTTTTTTCGGCAATGTGCTGACTACGTTGCTGTATACCACGAATGTCTCTCCATCCGACATTGTCACAGTCGCGCGGAACATGTATTCTCCAGGCGGGTAGACGGGGACGCCCCTGAAGACGAAGACACATTCATTCCGTCTGTCCACCTCTTTCTTGAACGGGGGGAAGTTCTCGACGACCTTTTTGTCTGGATGGGTTAGGCATACATGGATTCGGCACCCGCTGTCGTGGGCGAGTTGTCTGTCAAGCCTGACCGTGATGTTGAAGTACGCGGGGCTGGTGGCGCTGGGGGTAGCTTGAATGCTTACGTGGCTCATGGTGACGAATCGCTCATGTAAGTATTCTTGATAATGATGGTATCAATAATGAATAAAGTATATGGATCTGTAGGTATTTCGTGTGTTTTTGAAGAATGTGAAGAACAGAAGGGTAAAACTACGATCCCAACATTTGTCCCTACATATGAGTTCTCTACTACGATGCCCGGAAGTTGCATCTTGACGTTCAGTAGCAAGAGCTTTGACATTTTCAGATGAACTAGGGAACTACTATGCTTGCGTTGCTGTATGATGATTTCCTTCTCGAGCATTGGGCTACAAACAGAAGAAGCTACCATGATAGAGGCTGCTAGATGTTGTCAACCTTAAGCACCGGTTCCTACTACTTCAAGGATACACTCACATCCACGACCATATAATACTCAAATTTTTGGCAAGTCCTTACATCATAACATCAGTATCGACCCTGGAGGCAATCTAAACATACCTTCTAGCTAATTTATCCAATATATCATTTCAAAGAACACTACTTCCGACTGAGCTACGACTTCATTAATGATGCTTATGTGTTTTTGACGTCATCAGAGAATTAACTAGATCAGTACACTAGATCTACCAAGTAAATCGACGTGATATTCATTTCAACCTCCCTAACACGGTAATCCCTTAGACTCTTCGAACCAATATACTCCAGACGAAATAAGCAATAATTAACATTAGCCCTATGTGCAATCTCAGCCCTGTGATCGTGATAGATTAATGTAACATAAGATAACTAGCTACTTCGTAGCTAACTGGCAGCTCCGTCTCCCGACCAACAGCTCCCCAGCAAAATCCCTTGTGTAATGTAGTACGCATGTTGACGCCATGTTCCTGCTTTTGCGAGACGCCCTGCTCTGATATCGTCAGGACACAGGACACAGGGGGAGGCTTACGTGTTCACCATCCGTCCTCGCGGTAACTTCCTGATAGGTTGCATTTTGACCCCCAGTCTGACCGATCCCAGATACCTGAAACGAAACGATTAACTTGCAGCGCTGAGGTTCGGAAGGCTTGTCTGAGTCTTCTGACGGTCTTAATTTTCCGTCATCTGAGGATGGATTAATCAATCAATTAATCAATCAATCAGTCAATCAATCGACGATCTGGGGTCACAATATGTATGCTAATCCTCCTTACCCCGTACGGTCACAGTAGTCAAACCATCCGAACTTCAAGATATGTGAATCGAGCCTCCGCGCGAAGGAAGACATGTATGTGTATATCGTATGTGAGGTAGTCTAAAATTCTAAAAGCCTCAAGTTTCGTCTTCAGCCTCAAAAAGTCTAGCTCATGGGCTAGGTAGTCTCGTCGATAATACAAATAGATTTAGAGAGTGTCTAGAACGAGCATCGAGCAATCCTATCTCATTTGGAACTAGTGCGGATCTGGTTGCTGACCGTAGGTAGCTACTTTAGTTAAAAATCCTCCCAGGTGGGACGTTGAGGCTCGAAAGAAGGACTTTCTGACGATTAATGTCGCCTCTCGGGCGCCACCCCCTATCAGTTAAGTCGGGAAAACATCGTGGTGTGTATGTACTTTTGTCGATGAGTGGATGAGTGGATAGGTGGATTTCTTGTTACTAGGTATTAAGGATGCTGGTTATAGAAACACGATATGCCGACAAATACCGCATCACTTGCATCAGATGGAGCTTACAAGATCACTTACCATAAATCAGTGATCAAGGTATGCCCCCCGGTCCCCCGCACTGTGCTTTGCAGGCTGACGACTTACATAGTATGTATGTAAGGTAAGGTGAGGCAAGGCAAGGTATGTAAGATATGTATGTATGTATTTACGATCGTGAAGCTTCTCCCAAAACATGCTAGAGTAGACGAGCCAAGGGGGGACCTTACATGCTAAGATGGAGATTCTACATAAGATGGAGTGACTTGTCTGTGGGCTTAGCCTCATAAGATGTGAAGAAGCACGCGAAGATGAGACAGGTCCTGCATTTTCGCTACCAAGATGGCAAGGTAAATAACCCCTGGATGAGCAGGGAAGCCACGTTGATTCCAAGGTTCCAAGGTATGAGATGTTCGCCGAATCGTGGTCCCAAAGGATCACGCACGTCTCCAATACATATGCACAAGCGCACATACCTGCCTAATTGGACCCGGCAGCAATCTACGGATCCATACCAACGTTTGAATAGAGTTATTTTAGAGTTGTCCGCGTCTATCCAGTATATCAGTTTTTGTCTCTACCTCGCTAACCTAGGTTCTCCCCTCTCATCCTCCCCATCTGTATACACGAAATTACCCCTGCAGCAAATCCTGCCAAGCCAACCCCAGGCACCCTATCCACGCCAACCTTTGCCCAATTAACCTGAGAACAAGGCAAGAGAGAAAAAGAAAAAAAAAAGAAAAAAAAATCCAATGAAAACGGGGCGTGAGCATTTCTGCGGCGAGGTTTCAAGATCGTCATACAAACTCAACATTTAGGATCGAAGACGGGCTCAAAGCAGTAGGTACTGTATTCACTCGCCACCTTCTACCTGCCCTGGCTGGACAAAGAAGAAGAAGCAGCCCCATCCCATCCTATTTGTTCCATAGTTCGCGATGCAAAAAAAAAAAAAAAAAAAAAAAAAAAAATTTGAGGAAAACTTCCAAACTGATCCCCCGTGTTGGGAACATTCAACACTTCAATTGAGAGTGAGACCGCGCCTCGTCTCACTTGGCTCGTGAACAGCTGGCTAGCTAGCTAGCTATCGCACACTTGGCCGAGAGAGTAACGATTGTATATTAGGTATGTATGTATGTAGTTATGTAGGTACCTAGGTAGACAGGCAGGCACCTGTTGAAAAAAAGGGAGGGAATATCCCAAATAGACGAATTCGTCGTCACAGCTGGAGAGAAGCTGCCGACGTCAGCGTCTGGCTTTCTCGGACCGGGATGGGATGTGTCGCCTCCGTGCGTGTCTTTTACGTACGTGCGGTGCGTATGTATGTGTGTACCAGAGCGACGTGAGTCTCGCGGCTCGCACGGTAGGTATGGTGTTGTCGCGGAAGCGCGCACGCACGCACGTGCCCCGCCGATGAGCTGCAGCACTCACTCATGGCGCCGACGGGATCCGGGTTTGAAGAGGGGAAAAAAACAATTGAGATGGTGATTTAGCATAACGTGGTGAAGTTGGGAGGCGGCATGTAAGAAAGGAATAGATGGATAGATGGGTGAGGTAATGTGATACAACCGCCCGAGACGAGGTCTATAGGATTTCGTTGGCCTTCTTCATCTGTCGAGGTGTAGCAGTCTTTAAGAACGAGTTTTTAGCATGCTGTGGTATGTACGGGGTTTGAGTTGGAGGTCTAGCAGGTGTGCTGGAAGTAGTGGCCTTCTGCTCCGAAGGTTTGTTTTGCCGCCTGCTAGGTGTAGATAAGTGATCCTTAGTTCTCGAGTAAACAATTCTGCCGAAGAAGCTGCTGCTGCGTCCCTTTGTCGTCTCGGTAGGGTTACTCATGATAACCCGAATGTATATATCTAGGAGACACCGGTCTGCCTATCTGCCCGGTTGTATAATTTATTTCACAGCAACCTGATCCTCTCAAGTTTTTATAAGAAAGACCCTTATTTTTGATGGTAGGGTAAACGAATGTATGAATAAGGTTATGAAGTGCGGTGATGGTACGGCGGGATGGGGGTGTTAAGAAGCAGAAGGACCAGCGGGATACGGGTTGGGGCATGACATTTGTGCACCGAAACTCTCGGGGACTAGCAAGATATATGCAGTGGTCCCGACGGGCCTTGCCGTCAAGACAGCTCTGCGATATGACAACAATACTAGCACTAGGCAGGCTGGCTCCGAATTGAAACATCGACTACGATTCTCTAAACAAATCCTATAATTCCACATACCCGCCTAGGTCATAGCAACCGGTCGCCGCAATCTTCTTTCCTACATGTTTGTGGACATCTGAGGAATCGTCGATATATGATACGGGCATTCGTCTACATTTCGTAAGGTATTAGGCAGAAAACATACGAGTTTACTCTTGGGGTGGTCTAGGATTACGTGGTGGGACATAACTTGATGCTCCGGGTTGAGACATTAGAGCGTGTCACCAGAAGCTGCTTCGTGGAGAGAAACACTAGAGAGCTGGTGGCACCTCTAGTCGCCGTTAATTATAAATAGCATGACATATGAGAATTTCACACTATTGCCAAGTGATGTAACCAAAGTCTCTCATAAGGCCGTAGCTAGCGATGTTGGTTCCTATTCAATAGACTCGGTCAGTGTTGCCGTCCTGCTGGAATTGAGACATGACAGGACGAACATCCGGCCGGAAGAGCTGGGATATAGCTGGTATTAGAGGATAGGGGAATGCCAGTCCGATTTTGTATACCTACGTAGTCTTGCCTCTCGGCGTATCTATTCTGAGCAATCGGTGTTATAATTCCTCATATTCAGGTCTAGTAGCCCCCCTCCTCCCCCCTCATGAACCAAAATGATATCAAGTATATATCTTGCCTACTACTACTAGGCTCCTATATACCAAGGGTTTCACCATGGCTCTAGAAGATGTGGAGATGCTGGTGAAACGATGGTTATATATCACTTTAACTAGGTGAAAAGTGTGTTCACTCGGCTTTCATTTAATATTCGGCATATCTAGGAGGTAGTTAAGAAAATCGCATATGATAAACCAGCCGTGTTCCAGCACGCGTATTCAGACATCTACCGACATGCTCGGTTGGTATCTTTCCCCCAAAACGTTCGTCTAGAAAAGCAGTAAACTATATGTATGCCCACCATGTTTCGATGGAGAAGAGCCATGTGATGATGATGAATCCGTTAACGTCCTGCAGGCGTGCAAGCCATCTAAGGTAGCTTACAATTAAACACCCATTACGCGGCAATAGCGTGAGAGACGACCGGAGAACCGGAGCAGAGTTAGTATACCGTATAATATAAGACGAAAGAGGAGAAGAACCATTCTATGCCCAATATCCCCTGTCACAAATTCGAACACATCTTTAGTCTACGGCACGAGTTTCTAGACGCGACCTAAAATGAATGCCGTGGCTGTCATTACTGCTGCTGATTAGTAGACGTAATAATTCGTTAGCAATGAACTATTTTGAGCACCCTGATGATGAACCATGAATGAGAACATAGGTACGTTATTTATATAGATGTAACTCATCGGGTCTCTGTTTATACTGGATTCTAGCACAAGTTTGTTACGTCATGTACGAAGGAAACGATGCTGAAATGAGAGCTGAATTTTAGCTGCGAACTAAACAAGTGCGAATGAATGATACTATATTCGTTGATTTCGTTTAAATGGCAGCATACTATATTAGAGACACAGACGTGAAACGTGAAAGCAACCGGATAGTTTAGACTACTGACAAACAAGCGACTATAATACCCGAAACCACATATATAAGCTCGGCGGACGTCTCGCTAGATGAGAGCGGGTTATTGATTATCTTCCTCCTCACTCCCGGTTTCCTCCTCTTCTTGCGTAACATAAGGAACGAACCGAAAGTCAAGGAAGCTGACCGAACCGCCTTCGACCTCGACCATGAACTGCAAGCTGAGAACGCCCTGACCATCCCCGCGGAAACTGACTTTGTTCGCTATGCGCATGGCCTCGCTTGCCGACTTGACAAAGTCGAATTTGAAACTTTGTACCCAACGGTCGTGCACGGAAAAGGTCTCGAGGAGGTCACGGCCGCTTGAGAACTCGACACTAGCACTACCAAGATCCCCGCTGCTGGATAGGCTTAGATAGGGGGCATTTGGTGAAGTAGCAATGGTGATACGAATTGGAGCCATAGGAGCTAACTCAGAAAGAGCATCAAGGAGCCATCGAGCTTGCATGATAATCTTGAAGGATATATCCTCCCGATCGAAAGGGATATTATCATGTGATTCAGGGGTGTAGGTGACCATATTACACTGAGTCTTGACTCCAGTCTCCTCGAGGATGATGCTTAGCGGGGATCCGTCTTCTTCGTACATGATACAACATGTTCCTGGCATACCTAGAGTCTGGTGATTAAAGGCGTCTGGTCGGTAGTTACGTAGATTGCTACGATACGCTTCCGATTCCGCTTTGGCCGCTCGGGCTGCTACATCCGTAGCCCCGAAGATCTGTAAGGCTTCTAGCAAAGCGGCCAGATTCATTTGAAATTTTGGTGGATCGCCTCCTTCATCTGGCAAGTTCAAAGTGTAAGATGTAAAAAGAGCTTTATCTAAAAACGCTACGCCTGGAGATACCGTTAGACCTTTTTTCGATATATACGATTTTAGCCGCTTACCTTGCATTACGCGCGAATGGTCTGCGGCAAAGCGGATGCCATCTTGAGTTATTTCCACCTGTACCTTTGGTGTGAAGCTGATACATTTTAATAGCTGATATATTTGCCTCGTGGAACTGGCCACTGCTCGAAATAGTGGTAGCTGCGGAGGAACAGATCCAGCGGATGAGGCCATATTAAAGGATATGGTCCTCCTTAGCTCGAGACTTTTTTCGATATTATCTCAGAAGATAGTAGCAACTTCGCTAGCCGTAATAGTTGCCGATCACGTTCATATAAGGTGTTTGTAGCCCAAAGAATACTTTCGTAAACCTCAATTCATCTATGGTACAGACCGGCGCTCTCCTGGGCCTGCGGCGCCCTTCTCGGGGTATCTTCTAGACGTAAACTCCAACCGCACAGAACATGTACACCGTGCCAAATCTGCAAACATGTTAGGGGGCCTGGAGATATATAGCGACGTGAATTGTAGAAAGGAACGTACGCAACGGCCAGCGAGGCCGGGACTCCGTAGAGGGGGAGGTTGACGAGAGACCGGTCTAGAGCAATAAATTAGTTATTCGTAAAAATCAATTGGCAGCCATAGTAATAATTGTAGTACTCACTCAATGCGAATGCGCCAGTCAGAGTAAGACCGAAGAGGAGTAGAACGAATCCGACTAGAAATTGACTACCCTTTCCAACTGTAGGAAGAAATGGACTGCCTGGTGCAGTTTGCCAGATTTCATGCAGTGAAGAATCCATGAAGAGTGATGACGAGGCTCTGTAAGAATTTTCTTTACGAAATCGGGTGTTGCGGATTGAATTGGCTGGTAATAATTTCTAGGTAAGAGACGAGGGAGGAAGGATGCTAACTTCTTCGCGGCGTCATACCTTAGTGGAAGATTATAAGATGTGATTGAATTTGGAAGCAGCAAAGCTCCCCCTTGTAGTCTTCCCATTGGACTTCTATTGGGTGAATGCAAGAGCTACATAGTATGGACCCATCTTTTTGCAACAAACAGGTGGCCTGTCTCTTTACGGCTTAGTGTAAACCTTACTGCCTCCCCAGCTCCCCAGCTCTTCTTTCTCTAATTGATAACTAGCCAATAAGAATACTAACCTTTCCCCATGTCCTTTTTTTAGTACCGGATCCATACTTTTTATTCCACTTCTACGTCGTCCAACAACGCCTCCGCGTTAGATTGCCGACGCTTCTCCATACGCTTATCAACTACAACCTACGACTTGCGACTCGAGCGCATTCCATACTCGTACTTCCGCCCTGATCACATCATTTTTTTACTTAGCTGTCACGATAGCTACTATGGTTAAGGAAGAGCGTGAGTTTTCTATCGCCGACAAATGTGCTACTGTTTCTAACTTGGCTCTTTCGCGACAGATGCTAAGCGCAAGGCCAGTGACGAGCCAACGTCACCCATCGCCGCCAAGAGGGCGAAGCGCGACGACTCGACAGAACCAGAGAAGAAGCCTGTTATTAAACCGATACCTTTCCCAGAGAAGGTAAGCAACCATCTTATATCTGCCCCCGCGCCGTAGTGATTCGCATGCTGCCAACCGTCTGCTAGCCTCCATAAGAGATAAGCAATACCGAGATAGACATTCCTTGCCCCCCCTACTCATCACCTCTGCGCAAGGGTTCCCAGCGCGACCATACACATATATAGAAAACACAAAGTACTGATGCCATGTCTCAGCCCGCTGTCATCGAAGAACGAAATGGCGAGATTGAATTCCGCGTAGTCAACAACGACAACGAGCGCGAATCTCTTATCATCCTCACAGGTCTGAAATGTATATTCCAGAAACAGCTGCCTAAAATGCCTAAAGACTACATTGCGCGCCTTGTTTACGACCGAACCCATCTCTCCATTGCCATCGTGAAAAAGCCGCTAGAAGTTGTTGGCGGAATCACATACCGACCCTTCAAGGGCCGTCAGTTTGCAGAAATCGTTTTCTGTGCTATTAGTAGCGACCAGCAGGTCAAAGGTTACGGTGCCCATCTAATGTCACATCTGAAAGACTACGTCAAGGCGACTAGCGATGTAATGCACTTCCTCACTTATGCAGATAATTATGCCATAGGCTACTTCAAGAAGCAAGGATTTACTAAAGAAATCACACTGCCGAGATCTGTGTGGATGGGCTATATCAAGGACTATGAAGGCGGTACAATAATGCAGTGCTCTATGCTCCCGCGCGTCCGGTACCTCGAGATGGGCCGCATGCTACTTAAACAGAAAGAATGCGTTCTGGCTAAGATCCGTGCGTACTCCAAGTCGCATATAATCCATCAACCACCTAAGCAGTGGAAGAACGGCGTCACTCCCATCGACCCCCTCTCGATCGAGGCAATCCGAGCTTCAGGATGGTCTCCTGACATGGACGAGCTGGCGCGACAGCCGCGTCACGGCCCGAACTACAACCAGCTCCTCCATCTGCTCAACGACCTACAGAATCATCAGTCGGCGTGGCCGTTCCTAAACCCTGTCAATAAAGATGACGTTGCAGATTACTACGACGTGATCAAGGAGCCGATGGATCTTAGCACAATGGAGACCAAACTGGAAGCGGACCAGTACAGCACTCCGGAAGAGTTCGTCAAGGATGCCAAGCTCATCTTCGACAACTGTCGCAAGTACAACAACGAGTCAACGCCGTACGCCAAGTCCGCCAACAAGCTTGAAAAGTACATGTGGGCCCAGATAAAAGCCATCCCCGAGTGGTCGCACCTCGAACCATAGGTTAGTAACATGGAAAGATCGTTCACGGAACACCTGCGGCTCTTAGATAACCGCGGTAGAGCGCTGGCTAGGGCACAGATGAAGAAGGATTTCGAGGTCGTCCCCGAGTTTTTGGAGAAGGGCGTGTTGACTAGACGCGCCGCTAGTAGGAAAAGGCAGGCTGGGGAGACCGGGTCGGCTCTGAGCATTGCTATCCGTACTAAGAAAGAAGAGACCTTGGGTTATAACGGTACCTCTAAGGCCGGTGCTGTTATTAATAGCGCCCCGGAGCCACCAGTCCAGCCGGTAGTTGAGATGGAAGGCCGCGATGCCCATATATCGCAACCTTTTGATCGTCCGTCAACCGTCGAACTATTCGAGCAAGTCTTACGAGCCTCCACGATTCCGCCTCAGAACCCCACGCGTCCGGCCAACGGTGCTCGGACCCGTCCCCACGCTACCCAGCTGGCATATACATATGCGTCGCGGCGAAACTTTTAACGAGTTCGTGGAGACACGGGTAGCAGCACGCAAGCCGAAGGAAGACGTTAGTCGGCGCGTTTCTCTTTTGCTTAGGTAGTCTTTCATTCCCCCAGTTATCGTTGTCCCTCGACGAAATGTTTAAGGACTCTTTGGAGGAAAGGGTTTTTGCGAGGGGGCGCGGGAGTGAGAGATATAACCGCAAATGGAGGTGAGATGGGAAGTGGAAGGGGAGGTAAGTTGTAGGATATGGTTTTTTGTGTGAGGAGGTGGATTTTGGTCGGTTAGGGAGGACGAGAATAGTCTTGTGTTTGGAGCGTGTTATTTGCAGAATGCGGAATGCCAGCCACTGTGACACTACGATGCGTGAAATCAGGATGATCTCCAATGTGACTTCTGTTGGCATCCATTTTGTTTTGCTTTTTCTTTTTCGGTGCGTGTATGCGTGATACGATATGGAGCTGATATAGAGCTCAAGTAATATCTAATAGGAGCCGAATGGCTTGTGCCAGTCTTTACAGTGTTTTTTAGGGAGGGGAGATTTCCGCTTGCAATGACTGTATACTAGGTACGCTTCTCGACACTACGCAGATTCGAATCCAAATTCAATAGCACGTCCTCATCATAGCATCACGATAATCTCCTTAAGAGTGAAATCGTTTTCTTTTAACCTAGCTATAAGCAGATATGCACAAGGCGAACTACTCGACCTCGACCTCTCATGTAGATGAATAAACAACCCATCGCAGCAAACCAAATCCAGACCTAGCTTGCCTGCTAACAAAATCAAATCTGCGAACAAAGCTGATAATGCCAATCCGCAACTCCCCGTATGAGCCACCCCTATATAATAAGTGAACCAATGACACCTGCTGTTATCTGCCCTGATGCGCCCCTTCGGACGGCTGGTATTTGTTGACACATAGATGCCTCGAAGTAGTAGGATGCCTGAGGCCGAGACTGGAAAGTTGATACCATAATGCTTCTAGTTGCAATCGGACTAAGTCCTCGGATATCTACCACCGAGTTTAGAAGTAGGCTGTAAGAAAGGCCACTGGCACTCAAGACCTCCGCTTCGTTTATCGGGAGTATTGGGGGTGTATTATACGATAGAGTGCCTATGTCGGGCTTTCGTTCGTGACCTGGTCTATAGACCTCGAGAATTTTGCTGTTAAGGGCGACCAATTTCTATTGCTCGGTCGGTACGCAATCCTAGAGCATCCGCCTCCTTTTCCATGTGTCTCTTTTCAGCCATCTGAAACCACAGGTAATCCCAAATCTCATCAATATGCTCTGGAAAATCTTCGTTGTTTGGTATGCACTTTTATTAAGTGGTCCTAAAAACAAGTGACGACCATCTAGGCCGTCGACAAAGTACTGCGTGCCGCATCAAAATCGCCAGTGCCCACGTATTAAGGGCACATTAAAAGTTGAAAGAATCTAGTTGAAGGGTATCGAATAGTTTTGTACTTCTTTCCACCGTTACCACCTCGAATACCGGTGCTATGGCCTCAGTGATGACTTCTTAAGGAAGAGTAATATAGGTCTGGGTGCCTGACTGGGCTGTTCGCTGCAGACGAACTTCCGAGGTGGCGACACTGGCTTCGCTAGCCGGGAGCCGTAGATCTGAAAAGTTGCGGCGCAAGTTCCGTCTATTGCCGGGGAGGTAGCCTTGCAAGGAACGTCCGGAAGAACGCTCACCAGAAGCTGAGGTACTGTCTCGATTCGGTGTTTCATTGTCTAAGGCATATCGGAGGACCGAATGGAGGAAGTCCGGGATATCCTGCCAACGACCAGCTCGTGCTGCACTCAGCATACCCGGCGGAAAGAGTGCCTGCGGGATGAGAGCCATGTCGGATGCCCGCGCCATCTGCTCTGTGAGGAAGGGAAATTCGCCGGCCTCGATTGCATTCTTCAGCCACTGTTCCCACTCCTCATCCAGCGGTAGCGAGGTATCGCCGGCCTCGTGGCGTGCTGCCCTTTCGCGAAGTTGCTCGTTCAGAGGGATTCCGACGCTTGTTAGTTCACCATCGCTGTCCTCTTCTTCGTCTTCGTCTTCGTCTTCTTCCTGCTCGCCATCCATGTCCTCGTCTGGCGTCGCCGCGACCTGCGGTAAGGTCGCGGCCTGCGTTGCGCATGCTGTTTGTGGCCTGTCTTCAGGCTCAACCCACTCGGCAATATCGTCAAACGCAGTATCTTTAATGACGATTCCGGAATCACGCTCGAAGCGTTCCTTCGCCCACTTTGTACCTTCCCATTTTGTTAGGCTTGCGATTTCGGAGTCGGTCAGGCGCAGACCGTCGAACGCCCGAAATAGACGACGATGCCACTGCCAGCGGCTAAGTCGTATACGGTGGATACGATGAGTATAGTCTAGGCCAGGGTACTTGGCTTCTTGAGTGTCAAGATGCCCATAGAAAGAATGGACTTCCTGGCGGACCTCCGGGATAAGGTTGCGGTGAAGGAGAGTATGGAAGTTCTGGGGATCGCTGGTTCGGGGCTTTTGGAACATGAACTCGTAAACGAGTTGGTCGACTGGGCGGCCCTTCATGTTGGCGGAATCGAACTGAGATGTTTGAAACAGTAGAGATTCGGAACGAGTTGATCTGCTCGTTAGGATTTACTTGTTAGGTAGTAATGCCGGAGACAAGGCGTCGGATAGAATGTAGTCGAACGTAATAGAGGAAGCTTAAGAAGCGGAACGATTGCACCGAACTGCTGCCGAGTCCGACGCTACCAATGGTAAGTTTCGCAACAGGGAACGGCGGAATAGACAATAATATTGGCGTTTTGGTGCGTCGCTTAAGGGGGGGTTCAGTAACGTATGTATGTATGTAGAAAAATAGAAAGATTTAGGTACTCAGTTGGGCGAGTAGAAGTTATGTGCGTGTGTGCGTGTGTGTATATGTGTGTGTGTGTGTGTGTGTGTGAGGTGGTGTGGTGTGGGGAGACCTTAGAGACGGGGAGCCCAAGACGAGTGGGAAGAACGAGGGGAACTGTGTCCCAGAGATAGTATCAACTCAAGTCTACGCCGCCGACAGCAGAAGGCAGAGGTGAGGAAGCGTGAATAATTGCAAATGCTTAGATTCGTATAATGCTGGGTGTTGAACCTGAAGGTAAAAGACGGATAAAGGTTTCGAAGTCAGCTTGGGGAGAGAGAAAAAGTGTCCAAGGTGGCTGTCCCGAGATACGATTCTACGATTTGTTACGGGAGTAGGGATATTTGCATGTGTCGCAGGGTATTCAGGTATTGCAGATATTGCAGGTACTATGTACGGAATAGTTGGGGCGATATTGGGTGGGTGTGTAAGCCGGTAGGTGCATTAGGTACATCTATACATAGCAGGTAGGATGGGCGCTGGGATGAGCTGGAAGGAAATAGGAACACAAGGTACGATAGCCGAGTCCTAATTAGGATTGTGCGCTAGTACCTTTTCCCGCAAAGGGTACCTACCGTGTTGGATGTAAAACGAGATCACACAGGTTCACAGGAAAATAAAAAAGGAAGCAACCAATCAAATGCTAATTTGTGCATGCGTTGTTGCAGGGGGGCTGCCGGTCCAGAAGGGCGATGTTTACAGGGATTCTCCATTGGCCCAGGTGTTGCCTTCTCATTGAAAGGTACCTAATATCTACCCACTATTCTGTAGTGAATTATATCTATCGTGATTGTATATGGTATGTACATACGTAGATGACTAGTGTATGCTCTATCGCGCCCATTCTATCTGCAAATGTCTTGTTCCATTTCCATCTGAAGTTGTCGTGGCTGTCTATAGTCACTTAAAAAGCCGTGCTTTTATTTGCCTACTATTTAGATTAGACAAGTCAATAGGTAATTTACACTACACTACCTACACATACACATGCACTGCCTAGCCATGTACATATGCACATATGTACATATGTATGTATTGAAGCATCCAACCACTAAGCGTTAAACGTACATATTACCGACGCAGATAAGTCCACGCAGCGCCTCCCTCGTTTTCTCACCTTGCCTCGCCTTCTCCTACCTACATAAACCCTATCATTTCCACAAGCTTGCTTACTTCGGCCGAGAGAGATCGGGGAAGAAGACTTTGAGCCGCAAAACTCACATTACCCATGACCAAGAAAGCTGACATCCGCTGAACGACGATATCCAACAAAATACGCCAGCATTAATTCCTTTGTACCGCATAAGATGAATCTAGCGAACAGTGCATTACCTGGGTAGAGACATTGCATAGATTGCTTTATATACATAAGGTAACATATTGCATATTATAGTTACAACAGTCTCCTACCCGATGTGACGGACCCTGAATTATCGTTCCCCGCGCCCGCGCTCCGATTAACCCCTCCGTCTACATCCCATGTCATCCATGCGTCCGAAGTACCACCTTTTAAGCTTCCAGATTAATAAAATATCCTCTCCGTTGCTACGTTATGGCATATAGTAAGCCTACGCGCCCGACGGTCATTATCTCTGCTAAACGCCGATTCTTCTTTTTTTTCTTATCTCATAACGGCATTTAATCAGCGACAAATTCAAATGTCAGGTGAGAACAAATTCAAGTCTTGCACAACTGTCACCGTGCTGAATGTAGGTACCCGCAAACAAGGGAGGCTTGATGGAAGGAGTCATTAATTACCCTGTGCACACGTCTGAAGTCTAACTAACACGTCTTGTGTTTTTTTTTCTTCTTCTTTTTGAAACACGGCTTATTCATTAAAATGCTCTCGAAGAATGAGAAGGAAGCTACCTACCCTAGCATGTCAGCGCTATTCCTAAAGACTTCATTCCTTCCTTCCCTAGTCGTGGGTTAATAAGCTATGTCATCATACAGGCTACTATGCTTTATAATCCCAAGCATTTGTACATAACGTTCAATCTTGTCTTCTGATCTCAAAGATATCTGACCTCGAAGATACCTGATCCCCTACATCATTCCATATTATCCAAACTCAAGCAATGACCGCCTTAGATCCTCCCATACAATATGATTATTGGTAAAGCTTCGTATAATTCATAACATAATTAGACAACTCAGATCGGCTACCCAGATTCTTCACGCATTGCTGCACGAACTGCGGCCCGCACTTTATTGCCAACCGCCTCAGTCCGCGACCGGCTCCAAACGGATGCCTCGGGGCGAAGGGCCGAGATCCACTTCGGATCAAATGGGCTGAGCGCCTTTCCGAGATCTTTCCATATCCATATATGGACCACGATCTTGTCCTTAACCAGGTCTATGTCCACGCAAGTATCGGTGCAACAAAACTGACAGTTGAGAATATGGTAGCCAGGTCCATATACGCTGTGCCACTTGGTCCATTTCCTAACGGAGCCTCCTAAAGGGTCGCGCCACTTCGATACATATGACATGCCCGCTTTTATAAGTCCTCGCGTCTCTCGGAACTCATATTGTTGAAAGCGCTGCCGGTAGTGCGGACACGTCCTGAACGTCCAATCCTTCGGAGAATATCCCAATATAGCATACTCGTGTCCGAACAGAAACTTCCGTTTCTTCGGTTCGATCGTAAATCGGATCGCTTGCTGAATATAAAAGGAGTCCTTGTACCAGTAAGGTTGGGTCCAATACCGAAACTCGGGTCGCTTTTTCCCATCCCCGGCCACGGTTCCGTGACACGCTAAGGCCTTGGTTCTTGCTCTTTGTGTCTCGAGTGATGCCGCGGTCTGAACCCAATGGATATGATAGTATGCTAGAGCATAGCGGATGGAAGGGTGGATAGGATCAAGCGGATCAGCAGTGGAGTGGTCCAGATGTAATAAAGACCATATCCGTTCGCCGTCCGGAGCCTTATCGTATCCCACCACATTTTGCTTAGGCGACCCAGTGAGCCGCAGGACAAACCCCAGGGGCTTCTTGTCAGATGGGACGCATTTGTTATACACGATTAGTAGTTTGTGCGGGTTATGGCAAGAGCATCCCTCGGTAGGCCCGAAGACGCAAGGAAAATTACCAGCCCAGTCCTGACAGCTCTTGAACTCGAAAGGGAAATCCATGTAACCCGAGGACAAAGCTTTCTCGTCCCTCTTATCGTCACATATACCTTCAGGGTTAATCACAGCATACTGCCACTTACTGTGTAAAAACCTGAAAATTTTGAAGGGACTCTCCCGTTTCTTGGCCATCTTGGATGAACTCATTAGTATGATGTTGATTTGAAAAGCGTAAGATAGTCAACGTGGAGCTGAGATAGTAATTAAATGCAACTAGGCAGAGTCATGCATATAGCCCTCGAGGGGGAGAACAGGAAACCAGGGGGGCAGTGTAGAGGGTGTGGTAAATATATCCGCGTAAAAGGTGATCAGATACCTTAAAGCTCCAACTTTTACGCCCAAGCTCACACACATATATGCTCAACCTTAACTTTATATTCACACTAGTTCATCTATTTCGTTCCGTAGCGTAACGGAGCGTTTCTTAGACGTATGAGACTGCTTAAAGTGCCGCAACGGCGAGAAGTTTGATGGAACAGGGTGCCAGGCCTACACTATTACTATATACCAACGCTTGGTAGCCTTATATATTTCTCGTGACGATATTTTCATCTCTGGTCAAGCGCCGGTTGGATATCTCCGCCCCGCCCCCTAGAGCGTTGGCGGATATCGATCAACGCCTGAACCCTAAATCACCCTTATATACCAGCATACTTATCTATAGAATAAAGACAAAGCAGTATAATATAAAGAAACCCGTCCTGAATCTCGCAAGCTTTACCGGGAAAGCGATTTCAGCTTCTTCGGGTCAGTATTTCTCCCCACAAAACCTTATAGGGGCGGTTCAAGCGTTCACCCCCACGGCCAAAGCTAGAACTTATTAGGGGGTTACGAAACTGAAGCGGTCTTGGCTTGAATAGATATAAACATAGGCTTTGTGTCTCTATATTTCCTCGTCTGTCATTTTAATTATAGCTGACTCCTGGTCTATTCTTGCAGTTACGGCCATGTCGACAGCCTTAAAAACGGGCAGTTGGCCTCTTCTCAGGGATAGTAACCATCGCTACAGTGGTGAGATATTAACGGCTTCTAGGAGAGGGGTGCAAGAGCATGGTTTGCTTTTCTTCTATAACTCGGAATAAACATATGGTCCTGCTCATTATCGGAATCTCATCTTTGTATAGTGATTAGACCGTAACTATCATCACTCTTCCTCCATATAATACGCATCTCAGATATTATATCGTGTTAGGATACCATTCCTAAAATACTTAATATGCGGCTTTGGGTGTCCGAGATTGTAACTTTGGTATTATATAGCCCGGTTTTACAGAAATGATAATGAATGCGTTTACGGCTAAGGGCTATGAAATTATGTAAGTCATAGGGGACAACTATGGCACGTAGTATTTCTAGAGTACTTCCTTCGAGGGAGACAAGGAAAAAATGAATTTACCAGGACGGATATGAAAATAAAAATAAAACTTCATATTACTTGGTATATCTCTTCCTCGGGGTCGTTAGCTGATCCAGCTTTCTCACTCTATTTACCATAGACTCATGTACTAGGAAGTCTTCAACATAGTTCAGTAATGGTAAGCAATACATGAGACACGTACGTGAAGCAAACCGTCTAAATAATTCTTTACTGTGCACACTCCCGTCGCCCACCAAGGTCCCGCCCCACGCACAAACAATATTTACAAACGTAACCAAGCAAATTTTCACCACAAGACGCCCGGTTAGCTCAATCGGTAGAGCGTGAGACTCTTAATCTCAAGGTTGCGGGTAAGTTACTGCTTCCCCATCGGGGTTCTTGACGATTATATACTAACATCACCTCAAAGGTTCGACCCCCGCATCGGGCTCAATTCCTGATGTTTCCCTGTACTGGGAAAAGCAACATATTTTTTTAACGACTTCTATATCAGGAAAGGATAACTTTTTTCTTCCTTTTTTCTTTTTTCACTCTGAATATTTCTACTATAGCCTCGTAGCCTTGTAATCATTCCCTCGATACCTAAACCTCAAGATAGGTCTGCCTCGACGTAAAATACAAATATATACCTACGTAGGTACATATCACATTTAATCAGTTAGATAAACGTATCCATTAAGCTTAACTAGTAGAAAATATAGACGAAGCCGAACCACTCGATTATTTACGATATCTCGACTGAATTTAGCGAGTGGCCCATGAAGAAGATTTTGGCACTAAACTAATACAATACTACAATACCACGATAGTACCTAAGCTAAAAAAGAAGAAAAAGAAAAAGGAATACCTAATGCGGCCACTCCGATGCCCACTTTATTAGGTTTACCTCGAGACTGTTCACTCCATGTCTTGAGGTTTGAAGAGGTACGTACCAGGCTAAGAGCCTCACGGCTATCCCGTTAGGGCAATTCTTCGAATTCTTAATCCTGTACGACGAGGGACCCATCCCATTGGGAGAGCGTATGCAGCTAACGAGAAAAACCGGTACTTTGGGGCTTGCGGGTTTACGTATAAGATTTTTAAGTTTAGGGGTCCAGCCAGTCCACAAATTAAAAACTTGCAACAAACCACCACTTCAAACCTCCAATTCCATATCGGCCCTTTCAATAACGGCACCATAACCCAATAACCCAACCATGCTTCGCTGGTACGTAGGATGAATGTCACCTCGACATATATTAAACGCTTTTCCGCTGAGCCGCCGGTATATGTGTAATGAATGTATTGAGCAAATTGCTGATCGAGATGGTCCAGGTACCAACGAAAGCTCGCCTCGCGGCCGTTATTGACGCAGAGCGTCACTACCGCTGTGCTATTCGCCGTCGGCGATATCACAGCGCAGCAGGCCGTCGAGAAGAAGGGTCTTGAGAAGCACGAGCTTGCTCGAACTGGTCGCATGTTCCTCTACGGTGGCGGTATGTTTCTTCTCATAATCTATCCCGTGTCAAAATACTCTATCTTTCTCCAAGATACAATAAAATTTGTCAATATTGATATCACATATCTCACTGCTCACACCTAATAATTCTTCACCAACGCATCTCTTACCCCACATCACCCCCAACTGACCGCTCCCAATTCCCTCACATGCCCCCTTTTTTTTTGACGCTCCCCCCACAACGGCCATATTTCCGCAGCAGAAAAGAAGCACACTAGCAAAGCAAGGAACAAAACTTAAAATTAAAATGAAATACTAGCAAATACTAGCATGGAAGAAAAAAAAAAGAATAAGCTCAGACGCTAACTTGCCCCTCTAGCCATCTTCGGCCCCGCAGCCACGACCTGGTACGGGATCCTGCAGCGCTCGATCCAGCTGCGCAACAAGAAGGCCGAGATGGTCGCGCGCGTAGCCGCCGACCAGCTGATATTCGCGCCGACCTTCATCGGGATATTCCTGTCGAGCATGGCGGTCATGGAGGGCGGGTCCCCTAAGGAGAAGCTGGCCAAGAGCTACGCGCCTGCGCTCCAGACAAACTACCTCATCTGGCCGTTCGTCCAGATGGCTAACTTCACCTTCGTGCCCCTCGAGCACCGCGTCCTCGTCGTCAATCTCGTCAGCATCGGCTGGAACTGCTACCTTAGCATGATCAACAGCCAGAAATGAGCGAGCTTGCGACCGGTTCGTTGGCTTTCCTTTGGCTCGGGGGGGAGCTTTGAACTTGGGATTGTTGGCGGTAACGAGGGACGTAATGGTAGGAGTGCCGTAGGACTATGTAGCTTTGGAGCCGAGGGCTTGTGATGTCTCTTGGGATTTAAAAGGGACCGGGGAAACTACGGTGATAGACTGGGCGTTTGTGGTCGGGCATTCGTACTGCCGGTCTATATTATAGTCTCCTGCATGTTGTTGTCGTTGGTAGACTTCTTTTTCAAGCATTGGATCTACGGCATAGCTATAGCATAGAATGGTGTTGGCCTAGAGCAGGGGTTTGTTCCTATCCGGCAACTTTTACGTGGAACCGGTTTCTGTTCTGATTGGAGGACAATACTTGAAGAAAATTGGAATTGAAAGATATAATACTAGGTTTCCAATATATACTCTGAATGAGATAGTGACACACTACCGGCGCCCTTGAGCCAGCCGGATCCAACCTCCTCCCCCCTATCGTTCCGGGTATCCAAGCGATTGTGTTCGTACAGAATTAGCATTACTTCGTGACGTGCGTCGAGATCGTTCGGTGCCCCATTAAATACCGTAGTCTGACCAGCTAGCCATTGAGCTGCCGGTCACGAGAAGAGAAACTCCTTCAAGACGGGTGACCCGGAAAACTCCGGATTCAATAGTATACAACTATCGTGATGTCAATACTCATTTCCTCAGCAATTGTTGATAATGATGATGATGGGAATGCCCTACTTTAGGAAATACTGCAGACCCGCTCGCCGTCTCTCCAAAAACCTAGGTCTGAACTTGGATATCATGCTCTTGGGCGGTAGCTCAGGCACCGCTGCCTCGAAATTCGGGAACGTGCGGACTAGTCGCCATCGGAAGTCGTCGAACTCTGAATATCGCTTTCGTATGTTCATGTAGCTCCCCTACGATTTATTTCCAAATATCAGCTCTGCTTTCCCATCATTTCAAACTTTATTATTATTATTGTTGTTATTTTTTTTTAGCACAACTTACGCTTAGCGTCTCGACTCGTATGTTCCAGACTACAAATGCGCCTATGTTAGTCGTGCTGCCGTTCACGACGACGTAGTCCGTTATCTCGACGCTCCTGGCCCAGCACGCATTGCCCCGGTCGTCGAGGCTGCTGCTTTCGTTGTCGCGTAGGGTGATGCCGCCGGCTGGTAGGGACTCGACGGACGCGGAGGACATTCCTCTTGTGTGGTGGGAGTGGGTGTTTATCCAGTACGGCGGGGACGTTATAGGCGATATCACAGGCGCATCTTCCTCCGCTCGGCTATCTGGCGATGATATATCCGTTGAAGATTCCGGCTGTGGCGCATTAGATGCGTTTGAATCTGTCTCGGCATCCGTCTCGGTTGTGGGAGGTGAGGGAGGCGGATTCGGGCGTAGTGTAGCTTGCGACAGGTTTTTGTGTACGATCCCGGTTGCGCCGCCATTGACGCTCGAGGGTTGGGTCTCTACGATGGATGCCATTCGTTTATGCGCGGGGCGCGCAGGTGCAATATAGCCGCGGGTTGAGGAGAAGGTATCGGGGTGCGCGATTGCAATCGTGGAGTCGCGAATCAAGGGAGAATATATTGTAAACTGAAGACTTGGTCTAAGTATTCGATATACATAGCGGACTTGGGCGATAGATACGTACCAATTGACAAAGGAATAGAATTCGACCGGATCGAAGGCCAAAGGGAGGACTAAAAGTCTTTGAAGGTTTAAGGTTGCGCTAGGTTGAGGATTGAAAATTCAATTCGATTAAACATGAGGTCGTTACCCCTGCACTTGCTCATTACGGTGCCGCCGTTCAATTGGTGTTGCAGGGATGTATCGACGTGGGGGGGAAGGAACAGCCCACGTCAACGTTTCGGGGCTCGGCACTGGCGATTTGTCAGGGGTTGGGTTCGTCTTATCGATTACACTAGTATATATCTGGTGTTACGATATTCTTATCGGCTGTGATACCAATTCAAGAATGCCATTCCGTCTTTTTTTCATAGTTTATTTTTTATAGAACTTATAGACGTTCTAAGCCTAGCTATACATAGAGTTAAGAAGTGGTAGACAGTATACGAATTATGTCATCGCTAATGATATATCTCCCAACTCTACTAAATCATAACCTCAATGTGTCTCAATGCTCAAGCTGCAAATACCTTTGCCTTAGGTAGTCAGAACTTTCTATGTTAATCGCTAGTTGAGTTAAGTGGCCTTCATGATTTAAGTATAATATGAACTCTCTACGAAGCTTTGATAGTTTTTAACCGACTTCGATGTCAATCTTACCTATTATGATCGAGAGGAATGCTGCACGGTCACCAAGCCACAAGTATGAGACTTATCATAAAATAATTAAACGTCCATGAGCGCATATATCTCATGTGGGCTTAGAGGTGGATGTACACTATCATGAGTGATTTGTGGGTCATGTTGTTACGATGGGGGGCTTTAAGGTGAATAGTATGGAAGATTCCAGATAACTAGATTAGCAATCGACACCCATTATATCTGTGTCTAAGTTACTAAATTACATAGCTGAGGATTAACGACACAAAATAACTCTGGAAGTATGAATTGGATCTATTGAGCATATCTTCAATGCAATGTTGATAAATAAGATGGGCGTTGTTAGTCACTAACACTTGGTAATGGCTGTTCCAGTTATCATATAAAAGACTAAGGGCTGCGAGTGTTTACCTACAAGTAAACGAACGATCCAGCTATCTCAGTTATTGGAGTCCGTATTTAACTTTAACTAACTCAGGAGTAAGAAACATGCGTTGACAGGTGGATGGTCCTTGATTACAAAAAGGGCATAACTGATGCGTGTCATGCAACGAAGCGAATTATAAATGATGCCTTACTTGGATCTCTAAATAAGGGATGCAGTCTACCGTGCGGTATATCCCGTGTGTCTGGCTAGCCCATGTCCTCCACCAATGCGAGGACATGTTGCACAAACTAACGTATGGGTTAAAGCTCTCGTAACGGATCCTCGTTGGAGTGAAGGAAGTGAAAGAGGCGGTAAACAATGTCCCATCAGAAAACTGTAGATCGATAAGGATGTTTATCCCTGAGATAGTAGAGGTACGGAGATCCCGTCAAGGACCACCGGGAACGTCTGGTTGCGGATGAAGTTGTACTTCCGCCGTAACATGGGTATCATTCCGGGGTAGGGTGTGTTAGTTATCTATATACACGTTGTACATTCGTCTCCGTTTTGCACTGCGCCGAATCATGCTGTGTGACATTTATCTTATTCCGTTTAACCTTTCTCTCCGTTTATATCTCCGATCTGAAACAGACTTCATGACGCGGAGGTCAAATTGCCGAGGAATCTGAGCGGACATGTGGATGGATTAAAGTTGACGGTTACAGGTTTAATCTATTGGGGGGACACTTACATATGTACCTACATTGTACGAGTAACTATATTGACGAAGAGGAATGCGCACTGTCTACGTTGTATCGTTCGAGGTAAGAGAATCAATCTACTAGATACCTACCTAATATAGATTAATATAGATCTGATGCGTTGCAGCGGCAGCGGCAGCAGGCATGGGAATGAATGAATGTACATTAGAAATGCCAGAGGTTGGGATTTATGTATGTATCAGGCATCGTTGCTCAGCATCGGTGGGTAATGCGGGGATTCCGGTCACTTATTTGGGAATATAACGAACGATGACGGATGGAGACCGAAGAGGAGTAAGAAATAACACGTCTTATTACGAAGTATACATAATTGTTGCTAGTTGCGGGGCTACACGAAGAGCATACCTTTAGCTGCTTATTTTTCCATGTAGGCTCTGGAATTCGCCGTATGTATTTTTAGTAAATGGTCGTGATGTGAGGGCTAAAGAGAGGTCATTTACATACATTAGGTGCCTACATAGTCGGAGCTGGGATCGTCAAGCAAGTCAGCCTCTAATCCAAAACCGACCTACTACACTCGAACACAATATCAACGGAATGGAGCCGAACGCAGTAGAGTCCCGTCTCACCACACCATCATCCCCCTCTACTTAAGCGAACCTGAAAATACGGGACAAATCGCATGCACCAGAACGCTTCGGATTCTGCAGTCCAACCTCTTCCACCTGCAATACGAGGATTGACGCCCTCTACGTAGGCAAAACGAGGGCAATGGCAAAAAGTCGCTTTCCCTAAACGGCATCTGACTTCTTTCTAATCCAATGAGAATGTCCGCAAGACCCCCGAGAAGCTAAGACCTCCCCATATTATACCTTAAAAGCCGTGATATGGTTCCGTAGGTTCTTGCATAACTACATACATTACCTAGGTATGTATTCCGTATATACACTTACACATACCTGTTTGCCTATCTACCTACCTACCTAATGTATAATTAAGTTACGGTCAATATTGGATGACGCTCCAACCTTAAGGGTATCGGACGATGCATGCAGATGATCAGCAGCGCAGGCTTTTTTCTCCTGTGCGTACAGTACTGTACTGTATGTGCATACGTATATTATGTGGTTGTAAATACATAAGCTATGCTTTTTCGATACTTTATTTCCCGGAAGTAAAACATGGTGCAAGCCAACCGTTTTTTTGGCAGGTGAGCCGAATGGTACCCTTCTGAGGCTCTGAAACTAGACCCGGGAGGTGTTAGTTGTGAGTTGGGGGGGAGGGTTCGCCGGTGCAACCTGTCCGCACGTTTGCAGGGAAGCAGGACGGCGCATTGAATTTCGAATTAACTAGATGGCGGTTTTATTATTATGAGAGATCGCCCGCTCGAGACCCCTCGAACTTGAAAGATCACGAAGCCAACATCTTGGTTTGCTCGCTATCTAGTTCGTTGTATTTAGTCCGTACTTGTATTAGTCTATTCTACCCATGTGAGCTCTACCCATGTGAGCTTGAAGTTCGGAAAGGCTCGTCGTCGAATCTAAGCCAAGGTTTTTCAAGGTCACGATTAAGAGTTTTCAAGGAAGTGTGGCCTCGTAATGGAGAAGACGAAATCGATGACAACACGACGGGTATCCCGTCTGGAACTATCGTGATTTCTGGTTTGCCGGCGTCACTGTGGTGCAACTCGCCTGCTTGCGCATGTTGGACAGTACAAATAATAGAACTTGTATGTAAGTCGATAGCTACCCATGATCCCTGTCTAGTACATAGATAGCGAACAGCCAGTCATAAGAGCTCTAGCTGCTTGGGGTCTTGGAGATAGCGCTGAGACCACCGCCCGGACAGGGAATACTATGTACCTCCTTTTATTTTTCATTTTCTTTTGGTTATGTACCCCGTACAGTACAATATCTTATAATACATAGTACGTGCGAGAACAAGAACCCCGGTCTCCCCATCCCATCTTTGGAGAGCTCCCAGAACTTCTCTTTCTTGGAGAACATTCCTCTCGTTCCCCCTTCGTATCCTAGACACCGTTCCTCTCGTTTTTAAAGTCGGTCGGTCGTCGGTCAATCGTTATTTCTAATATTCGTTTGCATTTAATACACTAATTCTTTCCGCTGTACATTGCCTTTAATACTACACAGTCGTTCTAATTAGAGGAGAAACGAGTAAATATCAACTGTCACAACCGTCACAACCGTCCTCGTCTTACCGTAACACCTAATTCCACCGTCACAATGTCTTCGTTAAGGAACATCTTGGCCGCGGCCCTTCTCTTGGCCTCGTCGGTTCAGGCCGACTATGTTATCGATCCCAGCAGCGTGTCGTTGAGTCTTAGAAGTACGTCCTACAATACCTGCCTAGAACATGTTCCGATCCAATGATTCTAACGTGATATACAGCAAGCTGGTGCCAGTCCAAGACGAGCACCTGCCCTATAATCTGCTCACAGACGCCGCCGGGAACCACCTTGGTCAACGAGTGTGATCCGGTAAGTTTCAGAGCAGAGCAGATCCGGACGGCTGACCGTTTTATACTAATATCTTCCTTGTAGAAAGCTTTGACCTACGGTTGCGTGTGCGGAGACAACAAGCAACCGAACGTGTCCGAGTACTCGCTTACTCTGCCGTACTTCGTCTGCCAGGAATGGGGTGACCAGTGCGTCACGAAGTGTGGACAGGACAACAGTTGTTCCAGCGCGTGCCGAGAGGACCACCCATGCGGTGCCCAGAACCCGACGAGGACCAACGCCACAACATCGAGCGCGGGCTCTACTGCCACGGCCAGCAGTACCGCTTCTGACGACCCTAATACTGTCTACACCGGTCTGGCCGGCAGCAACAACGAGGGCGGGGGTAACGACGGCAATGCGGCTTTCCGAGTAGGTGCTAATGATGGCCTATTCGGCTTTGCCATCATCGCCGCCAGTGTAAGCCTTGGTGTCTTCCTGCTGTAAGGAATGAAGAACGGGGGAACGTTTTCAGCCCTTGAGCAGCAGCACCTCGAAAGGGTTTCAATCATATGTCGCGTCTGATAACTGTTAAAAGATATCCTGTTATGGCAGAACATATTTCCGAAAACGCATGAGCGCATTCTTCGTCTCATACCTGGGGAGCGATGACTCGAATCATCCAGTCATCCAGTCAAGGCGGTTGCATCTGATACCTACCGCATACTGATATAATATTTGTGTTTAGGAGCATAAGGGGTTGAAGCTTGGAAAACCCTTGCATTTTTGATAATGGAAGCGTAGATGGGATATTTGGACATACTCTTATGCTATACATAGCAGTCTACTTAACAAAACAAAACGACATCCCGCCGAGGGACAATAGAGCATACAAAGCTCAGAACTAATAATTAAATGCATGAGACCTGATCTCTATATTAGGCCTTCACTCACACGCTACTTGTTTCCCTATTCCCTATTAGTCAATCCCGTGTATGTGACGCTATAGTCCTTACGTCATGTCTCGTCATGAGATGTTTGGGGGCGATTTGAGCTGATATTGGTATACCTATATTTTGCATAAGACTCTCACATGTCAGCTCAATTCATCAAGCTTAATAAACCGATGGTCCAGTAATAATTCCGATATCCTTTTATATGGGATTTGTTCCTGAAGGTTGAATGGACTAACCTAGCTAACAAGACTTTATTCAATGGAACCTGCTAAAAAGTTAAGGCCAAAAAAAAAGGGGAGGCGTCGAAAAACTTTGCGATTTAATTCGTCTTGGTTTGATTTGTGTAACCCACGTTCTTGGATATGACACCCTATTTGCATGTGGGACTCGTTATGTAACACGGACGAAAACCATCTCGGCCCCACCATTAGGTACCTATGTAGTGCATACATACAGGTAATGGCATAAGTACCTAGGTACATCCGAATGTAAATTATTCTTCCACTTCTGCACGCTACAAGCTGCCAACTTATACAACACACCGACTTGCCGACCTACGACCTACGACCTACAAACCTACAAACCTACAAACCTTCGTGACACATTCGTTCTCCTCCGTATTCCTTCTCTGTGACTCGTCTTTCATACATATATCCCATGGAGTCGATTAACATCTACTTAACTTGGGAATGATCATTCCTTTCTGTTACCAAGTTCGTCCAAAAGTTTGCAACCAATAGTTTGACCGTCGCGAACAAAGTTTCGAGGTGCCACAGTATTTGCACTTCGTTAGGTATCTCTCCTACAGTTCTGTAGCATCCGAGCTGATCGCAAACCGTCCTGCGGCCACCGAGTAAGCAGAAAAGTCCTGCGCGCCACCATGGCCCCGAATAATAGCAGTATGTACAACCTTGGCGTCCTCTGCCACCCTCTGCCATCCTTGGCAATTTCTTATGTCTGACATGCAATCCTTGTGTAGAAACAGCCGTCGCCGAGTGCATCTCGGACGACGCCCTCATTCATCTCAAGTCCTACAAGTACTCGGCCGTCGACAAGTCGCCCATCTCCAATTATATCCTCCGTCCCTACGTACGTACCGAGCTCCTATTTCCGCCTTGACACCGAATAGTACTAAGAGTTGGACTAGTGGAATGCATTTGTTGAGCTTCTGCCATTATGGCTGGCACCCAACATGGTGACCCTGATAGGGTTCATGTTCATTCTAGTTAACATCGCCTTACTGGTCATAGTTATGCCAGATCTGGTAGGACCGGTACGTAGTATTGCGATTCTGCAAAATGTCGATCGCGTTTGACTAACAACGTGTACTTCAGGGCCCGTCATGGCTCTACTTTAGCTTCGCCTTCGGCCTCTTCATGTATCAGACCATGGACAACATCGACGGGAAGCAGGCGCGCCGAACCGGCACGTCGAGTGGTCTAGGAGAACTGTTCGACCACGGTATCGACTCCTTAAACTGCACTCTTGGTAGCTTACTAGAGACGGGCGCAATGGCGCTGGGAACTTCGAAATCGGGTGTTTTTACCGCCCTGTGTCCCTGCTTGGCTATGTTCTTCTCGACCTGGGAGACGTATCACACCCACACGCTATACTTGGGCTATTTCAACGGTCCCACCGAGGGTCTCCTAATCGCGTGTAGTCTAATGGCGATATCTGGCATCTACGGACCTGGCATCTGGACGGAGCCTATCGTTAATATTGTAGGACAGAAGTACCTCTTCGGTTTCGACGAAATCGTCGCCGACCATTCGATTCGTGATATCTGGATCCTCTTGATCGTGGGCTCACTCGTCTTGGGTCACATGCCATTTTGCGTTCTCAACGTCGTTAAGGCAAGACGACGGGACAATCTCCCAGTCCTTCCGGTATTCCTCGAGTGGATCCCCATGGCCGTGTATACCTTTTCGATCGGCGCATGGCTGTACTCGCCGCACTCGACACTTATGCGCGAGAACCACCTGGTGCTCTTCTGCCTGACCATGTCGCTCGTGTTCGGGCGCATGACGACCAAGATGATCCTCGCCCACCTTACCCGTCAACCCTTCCCGTACTGGACCGTGATGCTGGCACCATTAGTGGGCGGCGCCTTCCTAGGCAACCTCCCGCGGTTCGGACTTCCACCTATCTCCGCCGACCTCGAGCACTACTACCTGTGGGCGTATTTCGTATTCGCGTTCGTCGTGTACTTCCGTTGGGCGTATCTGGTCACCAACAGTATTTGCAACTTCCTTGGCATCAACTGCCTCACCATCCCCCACGAGAAGCAGCTTGAGAACAAGCGGAAACAGGAACTCCTAGCGAACGGCGCGGCCAACGGGAAAAAGTCACAGTAGATGCGTCGGTCCGGTCGGTTGCGCGTATGCGGTAGGGAGATATGGAGTTGGGGATATAGTGGATACGACGTACGATTCTGGAAAGATGTCCCCTTTTATCACAGGGATCGGCGCTGGCTTCTACGCGGGAGCTAGCCTTTCTCCGCTCTTACATTACTTTGTTGTAATATACTAGAAAAGAAACAGGACTATACTATGTAGATAGGCAGGCATGGCTTCACTCGGCGCATCGGACACCTCGGCTTCGTAGCTACGGGGCCTAGGTTGGAGAGAACAGAGGATAGGGGAAGGGAGTCTGGCTTAGATACAGGCTGGGGGGCTAGACCGTGTACATGTACAAGCGATAGAATCATCCCCTCGGCCTTGTGCTTAACAGCGGGCTGGGATTGGGTAGGGCGCCTCTCGGATTACTAGGAGAGGGCGCGGTAATTGATGGTGATTGCATTTGCGTTTGCATTGCGATGGTGGGGGGGTGTTCTGAATAGAAATGGGATAGTAATGAGGGTGAAATGAAATGAAATATAAAAAAAGGAGCCTCTTTCTTCTAAATCTAGGTAGTGAGGTTATATTGTCTTTACTATTGTGGTATTCCCTTGCTGTATCTACAGCTCGGTTTGGGTTTTTCGAACCTAAGAATGAAGTAGGGGACGGAAGAGGGATCAGAAGGTAAGAGTAAGACAACACTTGATCTAGATATAAAAGATGTGCTTTAGTCTTGTTAAACATCCTTTTTATTTTATTTTATATCTACCGTAATTTTAGCATTCCTTGTATTTCGCGCGTCGACGCCATAAATAACATTGTCATCAAATGGCGCGCGTTCTAGGCCACGCGAATTAGAGAACCTCTTTATCCCCTCCTATCTTCTCTAACATAGTAACCTGCTACTGGCAACGGCACATAACTAACTAACTAACTCCTAGGCAAGTCACCGTTTCACCTCTCTCCGGCCAGCCGACGGCGCCGGACCTCACCGAGGGCCTTGGAGCCGCTGAAGAAGATGCTGACGGAAACGAGGCCGATGAAAGGCAGGGTCTGGAATAGGTTCCATGTATAATAGTACAGGAAGAAGACAAGCTCCATGGCGGCGATAGATCCTAGGAAGGTGCTGTGCGCAACGGGGGCGGCGCTCAGCGCTGTGGGCAGATCCGAGAGGTTGCCGCCGACGAGACCCCACTGTATTCCGTGTTAGCGAAGGCTATCTATGCCGTTATATATGTTGCTATCCCGGCTTGAATGCTCTAGGGGAGAGGGATTCTATCCCCCCTCTGCTCTGCGCCCCACCACCACCACTCCCCCCATGAACAAACAATATAACGAAAATGAAAGGGGGGCTAAAAGCGGGATAAATACGTACGGCAGTAAACAAAAGCGGTATGGTGGCCAAAATGGCAAAAACAAAAACGATAGAGATAATCTTGGGCGGGCTCTTGGGGTCGTCGCGGAAGATATGGTGGATCTCGTGGAGCTTGCCGTAGCGCAGGGGTTTCTCGTAGACGAGGGGCTTGGCGGCCGGGTCGCGCACCACCTCCACGTCGAAGACGTCTTTGACGAGGCCGGCGGAGGAGCCGAACGAGGCGATAATTAGGGATGCTCTGAGGGGGGTGGTTGCGGTGGCGAGTTGGAGGGGGAGGTCGCTGTGTTTCTGGGGGGGGAGTGGTGTGGTGTTAGAATATAGTTACAGTAGAAGTAGAAGTAGAAGATATAAGGTAGAAGATGGAGGAGGAGGAGGAGGAGGGGAAGGGATTGACGCACAATTTCAACAGTCGCCTTGCCATTGTCCTTCACCGTCAACGGGAACGGGGCCTCAAGCCCGGAACTCGGCTCGCGGAGCACGAGGAACGCCTGGTGAGGACGTTTCCCCTTGCCGTTCTCCTTGGCCGTCAACGTGATCTTCAAGCTGTCGGAGCTATCGAACACCACGGGAGTCGGGAGGACGGGTGTCTTGTCGTTGAACCTATAACTGCCAATCAGCCCTTCCAATCCACCGTACCATCCCCACCTCTACCTCGAACATACTGTCTAACATCCGGCTCCTTAGTCCCGGCCTTCTTCGCCGCCACAGTGACCTTCGCATCGTCGAAGCCCCAGGACGAAGAAGCTGCTTGAGCGGCGCCGGCAGCTAGGAGCAGGAGGGGCGCTGCGAACGAGTGTAGGAATCGCATTGTTCGTTCGGCTGGGCTTGGCTTGGCTGGACTGTATTGAGTGTGGTGGTAGTGCAAGTGGTGGTGGTGGTGGTGGTGGTGGTGGTGGTGGTGGTAGTGGTGCAATGGCAGCTCGGAGGAGTTGTTCAATGTTGCAACAGCTACCCACTGAGTGAGTGAGTGACTTGCTGGAGCTTTCCCTTCAATTGAACACAATACCCGTTCCACTTTTCACCAGTGACGGTCGTCTTATTAGCTGTGGCTAACGTGGTTTCTGTTTATCGATAAGAACAGTCTAACGTCAGCTAGTTATGCACCTACATACCAATTCCACATAGATCCGCCCGCTAGCAAAACAAACCAATATAATCCATTATAAAGCGCCGAATTTTCATCCGAGGATCTGGTTTCTCGCAAATCACATCTCTCAATGGTCAACTGGTGTAGTGGTCATCACGTCTGTCTTACAATTTCACTGTATAGTGTATTGTGAGGACACAGAAGGTCGCAGGTTCGATCCCTGCGTTGATCAACTTTTTGCATATCTTCCATCTGGAATTACCAGATGCGACAATAACTTCAACCAAGTCGGTCAACATTTGTAGAAAAAAATTTTTTTTTTTTTTTTTTTGGTTTTAATTTTCCATCCGCAACACACTATCAATTTCTCAAGACCTTCGTCTGGTCCTACTATAACTAAGAAAAGAATGAAGCGATTAATATACAAACGGTACATCTAACCACTTATATAGATTTTATGATACAGCATAATAATTTGAAGACTTAATATATAAACATCTAAATTTCTCATCTCGCAAAATGGTAAATAGTACACAAGGCCTGAGCCCTCTAGGATTAATTCTACACAGTGGTGCGGTCTTGCTAGGGAAAGGGACAATCTACGCAGACGCCTTAGTTCTCTTTCCCCTTTTCGCGCCTCTGCCCTTTTGCCTGCCAGCAGTTTTCTTAACGCTATTATCTTTATTCCTATTTCCCTCGCTACCATCGGCGTATTCATCATCGTCGTCGTCATCAATCGTAATCGCATTCCCAGCCTTCCTCTTCCTCCGCGCAGATTGCTGTGGGGGCGGTGCAAGACTTTCGTCCTCTGCTTCCGCTTCTGCTGCGGCAGCAGTGGAAATACCCCCAACCACAGCGTTTGCGCGCAGCTTATTAACCGCCTGAGCCATGCGCTTGCTCCCCTGGACCCTCTGCCTCGGGGCAAATGCTTCTTTTGCCCCGACACCGACGGCGCCCTCAAAGTACCTTGTGATGTTACTCTGTGTACCTTCGGCCTCCCGACGGTTCATGTCCCTGATCACTGGGACGAGGACTTCGTCTGTTCGTTCCTCGCTCCATCCGATTGTGCTCATTAGAAATTGTCGTAGGCCCGCTACGTCAGGTACGCCCCATTGGAACTGGTCTGGGGTGCTGTCAACCTCGGGGTGTAAGTAAGCGTCGTAGACGGCTAGATTAGGGAAGCCGGGAGGTAGGAACAGCTTCGTTGCCTGAGATTTGCGGAATTTCCTTCGGAAAATTGATGATTGATCTGCTTCCTTTGGGCGGTTGTTGATCTGGACGTCCTGCCACCACTCTCGGAACTTCGTGAGCCCGTCTTTACCAGGAAACTCGGAAAGTATCTCGACGGCGGTCACAGGTCCAACCCCTGGAAGACCCTCAGTATAATCAGAGCCGAGTAATTGGGCTAAGGATATTAGTTGTTCGCGGGAGAGCGATAGTTCCTTCTCAAGATCGGATCCAAGATAGCATTCGACGAACTTGTTGCTATTGAACATGTTCTTATACACTCGCGTACCGCCAAATAAAAAGGTATCCGAATCGTCCGTCACTATACCATCGACCAGGCCAAGATTAACCAGCTCGGCACATTGAGCTTCTGCTTCCATTGGCGCGGTGATGTAAGGAATACCAAAAAATCGCAATAAAGCTTGACATTCGGTAATCATGATCTGAGTAACTTCGTCCGCATCTCTTCGGTCCTTCTTCTGTTGTGTTCGTAGCGCTTTGAGTTCTCGCTCATAGGCTTCTTGGTTCTCCTTCTCGGACTTGTGATTTAGCTGACTAGCAAAACGTGCATGTTCTTCGGCTTCTTCAGCCATCTGGGCAAGTAGCTCCTCTTCCTCAGGATCGCTAAATTCGTTGTCATCAAACTCGGCATCGCCAAAAATCTCGTCGTTAGTAGCCTCGGCTACAGGTTCCGATCTATCAGGTGAGTCAAAAGCTTCCGGCGCAGGCGCATCAACATCCTCGAAAGCAGGCTCGGGAGATGCTGGCTCAGGAGCAACATCATTGCTAATTGGTTCTTCTGGCGGCTGTAAAATCTCAACTTCTCCAAAATCCAGTTCCGGTGAAGTTGATTTGGAGGCCGACTTAGGACTAGATACTGTATCGTCAATTGCCTCGACTTGGGAAGCAGCTTGCTCTTGTACGATATCTGCGCGGCGCGTGTCCTCAAATTGGTCTTCCTCGTCGGCAACTGGAAGATTGACTCTTGTAAAAGTAGCAGGAGATAGCCGTGGTGTGCCTCGATTCTCTTCCACGTGTACAGGGCTCTTCTGATGCGGTAACGGGGGTGCCCCAATGACTTGAATATCACTTTCGTCGTCCGATGACTCGATCTCGATAATTGCATCCTTGCGCCACCGTCTTTCTTCTTCGAGTGCAGCTTCTCGATCCTGCTCATTAATTTCATGCTCGATGGCTCGTCGCGCCTTTAGAGATTCGCGGATATCCGATTCGTCTTGCATCATCCATGGTGGCAGAGGACGCGCTGCTTCACTTTCTTGTACCTTGTCATCAGCATCAGCATCAGAATCATCACCGCCATCCCGTATGAAGCCACCTGCGAGCTCATCAGACGCAAGTTCTTCTTCAGCCTCCTTCTCGGTTACTTTTGCGAGCGCCTTTTCTTTATTTGCAAAAATACTAGACTTCCAGTCCAGTTTCTCGAACGGCAAAGGCCCATCAAATGGATTCTTTACATTTCGAACTACTGGCGCAGGTTGGGGTTTAAAGACTGGTGCCTTCTTTTTCCTTTTTGATAGAGCAGCTCGTAGATCGACTTCACTATCACTACTCCCGTTGCTATCCCGTCGTACTGGCATAGGCTTAGATATCGCTGCATTCGCTCTATTGTTCACAATGTGCGCGATCATATTCCCGCTTGTGGAGGCGATCGGCTTTGGCCCTTCTGTAGCTTTTTGGGTCCACTCGGGAGCAGGAACATCTTCAAATTCTTCTTCCTCTTCTTCCCCCTCTCCCGATGAGGTCACTCTATGCTGGTTCTTCAGAGACAAGGCGATAGCTCGGCTAAGGTCCTCTTCCTCATCGTTAATAAGGATATCCTCCCCATTTCGAGACTCAAAGAGATCATTGACGCTATCTCCAGCGTCCCCTCCAACGAATAGAGACTCATCCTCGTCATCAGCGGGAATGTCTCCCTGTCCATTTTGTAATCTAGTTTCGTATATTTGTCGTCTTCGCACCTCGGCATCATAAGCAGCTCTAGCTTCGGGCTCAACTCTTGGTAAACGATTTATACCTTCGATAGGTACATCTTCGAAATCGTCGTCGTCCTCCCAATCGTCATCATCTTCCTTAGCCTGGTACTGAAAATCTAGGGCATCAACGTCGATAGGTTTGTGTATCTCGCCACGATCTTTCTCTTTGCTAACAACACCAAGAGCCCATCCACCCTCGGCCCCTTCGTTCTTGACCAGGATATATTCGCGATCTTTCTCGCCTGCTATACGCGCATTTTTTGCTAGGGTAAGATCAGTACCGGTCATTCCGGCTTCCTGCATAAGTCGTTGCGTTAAATGATTTCTCTCCCGCACCCTCTCGATCTGAAATCGGGAAAATGCCATTCTATCAGGGAACATGCCATCCAATTGCTCTTTGCTTAAACCCATCCTCAATCGACTTCGTATTCTGGCTGCGTTAAGGATATTATATCTATCAACGGGTGGTAGACTCTTGAAGAACTCGCCTTCGAAGTCGATCTTGCTGAAGTCGTAGACGTTGATATCCTCGCCACTGTTGAATTGCCTTGCATACTCCTCCAACTCCTCTATACTCATAATGCGAGGATCTTCCGGTCGACCCATACCCTCAATACCTCCGTCTAATTCTGGTAGGTGATAGGCATCTTGCTTGTAGAACTTCCTACTCTTCTGCCGTTCGGCTTGGCTCATTCCCAGCTCATCCACATAAACTAGCTGCTCTGCATCGGGAAGCTCTTCAGCAGGCTCATCTACGTCCGGTCTTCCCTCCGCTTCACGCTCTACTCTCCTCCGGCGCTTCTCGTCCTCTTCCTCTGCTATTCGGTGCATCTGCACGGCTAACAGCTTACCAGCCGTACGGACCGCATCCTCCCTTCGGCCCTCCCGTCTCCGTTTTCGGTTTGTGATAGTCTGGCGCTTCAGGGCGGGAGCACCACCATCAAACACGAAGACAGGTTGAATGCCGAACCATAGTAGTTTGCATATGCGGCGGAAGAAGCCTACAACATGCGAGTTGCGCAGAGCATTTCCTTCTTTATCGCGAACGGCCTTGAGGAACTGATATATCCAGATAGATGCATCGACAGCGAGACGTTTACGATTTAGGGTGGCGAGATTCGTTGGACGGGCACAGGGCTGCACCACGGTCCAGAGCCCGTTCACACCCATGTTGGCGTGGGACTCACACGATCAGTGAAGGTAATTTATTTGATGCTATAGAATTAAAGTGAAGCCCTCTTATACAATGGAATTGTGACCGCATGGTTAGCGGTATCCATCTAAGCGGTGTAGATCGAGTTCAAATGGATAAGATAAAAGAGGTTGCTGTTGCCTGAAGTTATCATTAGAAGATAGAAATGATGGATGACGATGACTCGACGCCGCACCGTGACAATAGGTACCTGGTAATCGCGTCTAGAGCTCGACTTACAGGGGACCCCTGTTAGGTTTAAAGTGGTGGCAGCTACAAGTTGCAAGGGTCAAAGGTGCAGCTCCCTATCGATAAGCCCTATAGTAGGTATCTTGCCCCTCTCCGCAACTCTTCTCTTTAGCACAAAGACACGCTTTCGTCGCGTATAATGAGAAGCCGAATAACATTTAATGCAATACCGCCTTAGAATATCCTAGGACTACATGTTTTAGGGATATATATACCATAAGAGCATGGAAAACGATATGGAACCGGCAGAAGCCGAAACATTCCTCAAGTCGCTGCTCAACAAGAACTTGCGCATCTACACAACAGACGGGCGCATCTTCATAGGGAATTTTAAATGCACAGACACGGTTCGTCACCTTCCTTACACAATACATAACCGCACCTCGACCATGCCATGCTAAGACATATATATCTCCCTAGCATAGCAACATAGTCCTATCGCTCACCTACGAATACCGCGAGCCGTCGCAGCAAAAACTAGCCGAAGCCAAAGCCTCAAGCTCCGCACCCGGCGCGGATAAGGTAGCGCTGGACATGACGTCGCGGTACCTAGGCCTCGTCGTCGTCCCCGGGGAGCACATCGTCAAGATGGAGGTTGAGGAGTTTTCGAGCCAGGCTAAGAGCCGGTCGATATTCGAGCGGAGGGATATATACGGTACTCGGTGATACAGGGTTGCGGACGACGGAAAAAAGATCTTATGGAGACTTGTTTGTCCAATCATCGCGCGGTCCGTAGAGGACCGCTAGATTCGAAGTCAGCCTGGAGGTCAGATGCACCGGGGCCAATCAGTTAGGCTTCCGACATTGGTTCGGGGCGGCGTTCCACAGAGATACCCGAGGGTATGGTTTGTTATAGATTAGCATTCGGGGCGCATCCGAGCGTTTGGATTATAACGTAGGCGCGAGGCGACGCTCGGTCGCTATATAGGTACGAATAAGAAGGACAGGGAGAGTTGCGACGGTCTAATTTGCCAGCGAAGCATAAGGCATGACTTCACATAGACGACACCCCTAGACAGAAGGAAGATTAGAGGTCTAGTACTTTTTGATACTACCAACGATTATTAACTAATTGAGTATGTCTCTACTCGATATTGCTCAACAAGATTTTCCAGCGATGTCGCTATACGAGTAGTTCACCTCTTGTAGTGAAATCTTCAAGCTATTTTCTGCCTATTCTTGGTCAATCTCGTAATTCAAGAAGCTGGCATTATATATTTGAGTTGGTATAACATTATCACCGAGTCTTATGGTTAGAGGCCCATCTACCATAAACGGTTGTTTTCAATGTAACTCTAGGGGCATCAATTCGTTGGCTGAGCTATTCTGAAGTTGAGCACGAAATGAAACTAATTGAGAGGTGCTCCTGAATAAGGGCTGCGCTATGAGCTAAAGCATACTAATAGGTAGACATTAACTAGGTACTGATCAATTTTATGACTTATTGCGTCTGTGAATGATGATTATGTGGCGGATTTTATTGAGGTATTTGACCATATAGTAGAAACATAGCACTTGAATAAGATGCACGTCATCAAAGCCTTATATTATAGAAATAGTAGTTAACAGCTACTAGTGTTCTTATTATAGTTTATAAAATGTTGTTTCGCTAATGACGTGGAATTCGTTAAGAGATGCCTCAATCACAATGGCAACAGAACACAACTAATGAAAACACGACAATCTAGTCCACACTATCATCCCAATTCTACAAGTTTTCAACTACGACGGCAATAGAAGCCGGCTTCTGTTATAATTGCGTAAGGCCCAGAAATACTACAAATCTACTAGTACAAGCCTACGGACTTAAATAGTGTGTGACCTGGGTGCGTAAGCTATGATTCAAAATTGGTGCTGTACCTATAAAGAGTCCAGAATATTCCTGGTTACCTAGGTAGGTACCGAAAAAGTGTATGTGATCTATTATCATCTCCCGGCTGGAGATACTAACCTGGTGTAACAAATTACGAAGGACTTACACTATGTAGGAACGATATATGCGACCAAGGTGGGGTTAGCTGGAAGCGAATTCAAGTATCAGGTAGCCAAGTATTACTAGGGTGTCGGGGAAATGAGGGGCATGAATTTCGGTATTAGAGGTGAGTTTCGTATATTAAGACCGATCTTCAAGAGTCTAAGTTGTCGGAGATGATGCACTGCCGTTACGTATACAACGTCTCAGCCATCTCGTGCTCCACAGGTCTCCCCGGTTTCGAGTAATCTCATATTCGATGCGCTCCTAGAGCCACTTATCTCATCACTAGTGTCATAGTATAGCCGAAAGGGCATTGCTGGTGATTTAGAGTTAATAAATCGACCCAACGCCGCCTACATCTCCAGTTGGATATCCACCAAGTCTCCGCAAATATGTCAACGTACACGGTACCGTTCGTTATTGATGGCGAGGAACGCCTCGTCGAGAAGACCTTCGACGTGACATCACCTAGCACCGGCAAGGTCTTGCATAAATGTAGTATAGCAACAGAGGCAGAAGCTATCACAGCTGTCGAGGCCGCCGCAGCTGCTGGTCATCAATGGCGAAATACGCCCGTAGCCGAGCGCCGAGATATTTTCCTCAGAGCGGCTGAGATCATGAGCAATAGAAAAGAGGAACTAGCCACGTATATGATCGACGAAGTTGGGGCGGCAAGCAGCTGGGCCGACTTCAATATCAACCTCACCATTGATATGTTCAAGGATGTGGCGGGACGGGTGGCTGCTGTGGAAGGCACCATTCCTCCGTGTGCGCCGGGTATCACAGCTCTGGTCGTGAAGGAACCGTACGGTGTTGTGTTAGCAATGGCGCCTTGGTAAATATCCCTCAGTCAACTAGGAGAACCTAGGCTCACCATTGCAAAGGAACGCACCGTATATCTTGGGCACCCGCTCGGTGCTCTTCCCGATTGCGGCTGGTTGTACAGTTGTTTTCAAGGGATCTGAGTTGGCGCCACGTATTCATCACGCTATCCTGTCCATTCTCAACGAGGCCGGCCTACCTAAAGGAGTAGTGAACTACATAGTAACCGATCTGGCCCACGCGCCATCCGTTACGGAGTCTCTGATTGCAAACCCACATGTCAAAAAGATCAACTTCACCGGAAGCACGGCGGTGGGGAAGATCATCGCAAAGATTGCGGGTCAGCACCTAAAACCTCTCGTTCTAGAACTTGGCGGCAAGGCACCAGCTATCGTATGGGAAGATGCCAACTTAGACATTGCTGCAGAGCAATGCACTCTAGGCGCATTCTTCTTCTCCGGGCAAGTCTGTATGAGCACGGAGAGAATAATCGTGCATAAGAAGATCAGCGGAGCATTCAAAGAGAAGTTGGTTGCAACCATAGAGAACATCTTCCCATCGAAAAGTGATGCCTTGGTCTTGATCAACGCTCGAAGTGTTGATAAGAATAAGAATCTCTTAAAAGATGCGATTAGTAAGGGTGCCGTTCTCCTCAACGGAGATGTGGACGCCGCAGAGAGCTCAAAGACTAGATTGAGACCAATAGTCGCCAGCAAGGTGACACCAGGCATGGACTTGTACAAGCAAGAATCATTTGGCCCAACGGTAAGTCTTATTGAAGTTGAGACCGAAGAAGAGGCGCTGCAAATAGCCAACGATACTGAGTATGGCCTCACATCCGCCGTCTTCACCGAGGATCTCAAGGTTGGCCTGCGGTTTGCACGAGGCATAGAGACCGGGGCAGTTCATATCAATAATATGACCATTCACGACGAGACGGCATTGCCGCATGGAGGAAGTAAGGAGAGCGGATACGGGCGATTCAACGCCCTGACTGGGGTGGAAGAATGGGTTAGAACGAAGACAATCACCTGGAGAAACTAGCAACTTTACAAGTGTATAGAGAACGTAACTATCGCAAATTTATAAGAACGAAGTACTAGATAAGAAACAGAAAATAATATTCCGGCGTTCGAATCTTCGAAGGTCGTTAGCGATAGTTCTCTAAAGACCTAAAATAAATGATGTAAGGGAGAAATCATGCTATATTGAGTTCAACGTCTAACAAGACCAATATCGTATCATGTACCTAGGTACATGTCAAATATAGATTATTGGCCTAAGCGATGTCCCTTAAGCTACATGTACCCAGGTACCTCCGGGTGTAACCAACAGAAGCTCCGACAGCGGGGACGTAATCGCAATCGCAACGTCATCTCGAAATTTTACCAAACCCTCAAGGTTGTCACAGTGTCGTCCCCGTCCAAACACCAAATTACACAGGGGGATACAAATAGCTACAATGGGAGCAAAGGCATCAAAACCCGCCCAATCGGTGACGCGTAAATTCCCCACGAGAGCACCCGGCAGTGCCGCTCCTCCACCACACGCTCGCCCGCGGCCGGCAGCGCAACGGACCCCCGAGCCGCGAGCGTCGTTTACGAAAGATGACGGTGAGCACTTACACGATACCATCTCAACACTTTTCTCCCGCACTTCTAAGCTAACATGCCTCCCGCGCTCAGCAATCAAAGCAGATAGCATAGACCCGGACCCGAACCCATTTACAAACGCAGCCTTCTCGCAACGGTTAAAGCAGATGGGCGTCGCAACGCCCAACCCGACGCTCTCGAACTCGTCCACAGCGTCGCCCTACCCCGGCGCGCCGGACCAAGGACCGCGGAGCCATATATTCCCCTCGCCGGCGCAGAACCCGACGCTAAGCGCGCTGGAAGCACGGCAACGGTTCGAGGAGCGCGCGACGCTTGAGTTTGAGGACGTTCGCCAGGGACGGGAGTTTTTAGACGTGGGGACGTTGAAGCAGGCGCTGGTGCTACAAGCGCGAGGAACACCGGCTGCTGATATTGAAAGGAGGTTGCGGCTTAAGAGCGGTGTTGTGGATAGGTTGGGGCCTAGGGGGGTTACTTTGCCTTTGACTTAAATACAACTAACTAGAAAAAAATGGAAAAGGATCAAAAGGATTGTATAGCAACTTTACTCTTTACTAGAGCACACGGGTGGATTATTGTTTGGTGTATATTATGCATTCGAGGTATGTAAAAGCGCCGTCTATCGCATCGCCTTGTACATTCGATAATACACCCCATGCCAAGTCGTTATCATCAAGCTCTTCTAGCACAGGGACCGTCGTCCCTAGCAGACAGCCATCCCACCTTGCCAATCTAGGTAGCTACAGAGGCTATATATATACCTATATATATATCCCACCAGCCAGTCTACCCCGTACCCATGCTCTACCAAGCAGCATGTCCACCATCAATACGCAGATCCGCACCAGTCATGAAGCGGCTAGCGTCGCTGAGCAGGAAGACGGCCGCGCCGCGGTAGTCCTCGGGCTTGCTGAGCTTGTTCAGCATGTTCTGCTTGGGCCACTCGATGGCGCGGTCGGGGAACTTCTCGAACAGCTTCTGCACCATCTCCGTCACGATGTAGCCCGGCGAGATGGTGTTCACGCGGATGTTCTTGACGCCCCATTCCATCGCTAGGTTGCGGCCTAGCTGGATGACGGCGGCTTTGGAGGCGTTGTATACCCTGGGAGGTGGGTTAGCTCGCTGGTGATTAGGTACTTATATCTAGATGTCTGGGGAGGGGAGGAGAAAGGGGGGGGGGATGTGGGACTTACGGGCAGATCAAGCCGCGGTTTGCCACGGTGCCGCTCATGCTGGCAATTAGCACGATGCTTCCGGGTGTGTCGTTCTGGTACATGTGTTTCGCCACGGCCTGCGCTGTCATGAGTGCACCTGTGACGTTGACTCCTAACATGCGGTTCGAGTCCTCAGCAGTATAATCTAAGGCCGGAGTCTCCTGCTGGATGCCAGCAGCCGCGATCAACCCGTCGATGTGTCCCTCCTTGGCGACGATATCTTCGGTGATCTTGTGAAGTTTGTCGGGTGCCTCTAGAACGTCGACTTGGTGGTAGCTCAGCGAGGTGCCTAATTCCTCCTTAGCTCGGCGTGCTACTTTTTCAAAAGACGAGCCAGCGCCAGGTTGGGGCTGTCTGTCGAAGACGTGTACTATTTATTGTCCATCATAGTCAGTATTTTGTCTCTCTCTCGAGGATATCGTCTCATTCCTCGTACCTCTCGCTCCTGCTTCTAGGAGAGCTTCTGTCTGTACGAGGCCTAATCCTTGTGCTCCGCCGGAGACGACGATGACCTTGTCTTTTAAGCTGAATTCGGGTAATATCCCTGGGGGGCTGCTCTGAGTTAGGCCGACCTTGGTAGCATTGGCCGTAGTGTTGTGAAAAGACCGCCGTGTCGGCTCCTGGCGAGTAGGTAATCTGCAGGCTGCTATTCCTGCTGCTCTGGCTGTGATGCTGCATGACGGTGCCACACGCGGCGTGGCGCGGGCGAGTCTTCCCACTGAAGGGGCAGTTCGAGATATTCTCGGTGCAAGGTTCGACATTGTGAGTTAGTCTAGTTTATGGAGGATTCTTAGTATAGAGGGCCCGAGACGCCTGTGTATATATATGCTCTGAGTGACCCAGTCCAAATAAGACCTCTGTCCTAATTATGCGGGCCAACGTGTGCCTTGTTTGAGAAAGATAACGATCTGTTGGGCTAGGAGGCGTGGGGTGGGCAATGACACGGGTGTCCGGAAACACGAATAAGGAGGGTCCGGTCCACGATAGCACAATAGTATAGTATAGGCGATGTGTCGGTTCCATGTTGACGGAGGGCAAGCTCCCAACGGACGTCATATATAGGCGAAGCTTTAGTCCCCTGTCCCGGAGGCTATCGTGAGCCGAGAGTGTCAGTTCCGCCAAGGTGTTCACAATACCCAAGTCTAGACCCCCCCCTTTCTCTTTTCTTCTAAGAACAAAGCCGCAGACATAGCTCCTAGAACTAACGGTGAGGCAAATTAGAGAATAACAGGTGATGAGGGGTCTCCGCTCCCCCCTAGGATAGAGAGAGGGGCCGAGAGCTTGGGGCCGAGAGCTTGGGGCCTTGGGACCTTAGACGAGGGTTCGACAGTTCTAGAGCTAAGTATAGTCTTCTCCACAGACGCAGTAACATATTGTACCATCGTAGAATCGGCCTTAACCAGGCTGGCTGGGGTGAGGGGGCCGGTGAAGGTTCGGAAATCCGATATGTAACCAAAGACCGACAGGCATCTTACTATGTACGTACGAATATGGGTTCTCGGTGACAATGCAAGCCTGGTTAACACTGGTTAACAGACACATGATGGTATCGTACCCCACGTGTCTCGCTGGTGAACAAAAATCTTTGCTGATGAATCACCGGATGGACCTCCTGGAAGCTATGGTTTAAATGCTTCGGATTACCTATTCAGGCAATCCTACGACCAGGAGCCAACGGGTCAACAAGGTGGAGCTTAATACGATCCGCTAGCGATGTCAGCTAGGTATTCTACATAGTATAAGCTATCATCACGCAAGGTTAACCGTACCTCGCAAAAAACTTAAACGATCACGCTTGAGACTAAGGGGACTAGCAGGTGGGAAGGTTAGGCTGGAGCTCGTTCCGTTCTGCTGCTAAACCGGTCGAATCAGTAAGATGGTCAGGGGTATGTATAACATTTTGTCGATATAAACAGACGCCACATGATCGCATCTACATATTCGCCTACATATTCGGCTCGCTTTCCATGCATCGCTGCCTCATTATGAATACAGCTTAACCTAGTACGTACATGTGTATGCATACAACCTATAAGAGGTATGTGATGTGTATGTTAGTATACAAGCTGCAAGTCTCCCCGCATTTCCATGCTTTTTAATATTTCTTTTTCCCCGCGAACCCTGCAGATGGGAGGATTCTTGGGTTCGTCATGGGGTTGGTTGGTTCCGCCCGTCGTCCAATAGTGTAACTCACAGAGAGTATTCCCAGCTATCAGGGTTAGTTCTGGCGCAGGTTCCGCAGCATTAGCGTTCTTCTAAGACTATACGACCGTCGACGGCACTATTTACAAAGTCTTATCTCTTGTAAGATCTGTATATACAGATTACACAGATGTCCTCTAGTCTTTGTTGTGCTATTCTTCTCTTCCGCGATTGGGTAAGTCCGAGTCTGACAAGGCCCGTCTATCTACTCAAAGGCTTATATAGCACAACCCTGGCTCCCCGTTGTTGACTTGTCAACTTGAACAATGTGATAAGATTACCGGCCCGCTGCCGTCGAGGGAATGCGACAGATCAATCCGGCATTTAGCGTAGCCATTGGAACATGTCAATATACTCACCAATCGTCTCGCCCTCCCAGTGAAGCCCCCTTGCTCCGATGCATGTCCGGCTTGGGAGAAAAGACCCCTACTGCAGGATATTATCGATGAACGACCCAGGATTTCTTTAATCGGGAAGCCGCTCATACTAGCAGGTTTTGAATCACGCGTCCCCCCTCCAGATGCAGATATCTTGCCACCGAGGATAGATAAAATAGGCGATCTAGCGACAGTAACATTAAGGGTCTTGTCTCTGCTTAGACTGTCTATCCCTCAGCCCTATGTGTCTACCTATGAGGTAACCTATTATAAATAACAGCGGCTAGTGCGGGTGAGGGAATAATTGATGTTAGCTACAAATAGCCAAGTGGTGATGCTTCTTTTTCGCCGGTCAAAAGACAGTACTACCGCTCCTGTGTGCCCAAACCGCGCAATAAACGGCTATGGTTCATTATTATCCGGTGTACAGAAGCAGCCGCGAAGAAGAAATAAGTGAGAAAGAGTTGCTGTTGACGAGCGAATTGCCGAGTTGAAAGCACATCGAGACGATTCAAACCCTTAGGTACCCACTGCCGTCTCGGACCTCCCTCGCAAAGAGTAACTCTCGCGAAGTTGCCCGGTTCTCTCTATTCTCTTAAGGAATCGATGTTTAGCGTTAAAACGATTTGATGCCTAATATGAGGAAATCAAGATATCTAATCCCAAAGTTGAGAGATACCTAGTCTGCGCCCTCGCCGAGTCGGCCCATCTCGGATATGTTGAAGACGAGTCTCTGGAAATAACAATTTACTGCAACACGTCTATTAGGGATTAAACCGAAACCGTCCTCAAAGGTGATACCGAATTGCTTGCCTCTCCGGAAACATTGCGAGTGTAACCTTCACGTATCTGCCTCCCATTTCTACCATTTCCAACTCGTCACCTCGACATCACCTCGACATCATACTGCAGGAAGAAACACAACGGAACATAGATAACATTTTCTTGCTTATATACCAGGGTGAATAAATCAGATTATTCAGACACGATCGGTTTGTAAGTATAGGTGGCTTAATGATAACTGACAGGAATACTTCGGAGTCACTTGAGGAAATCAGTAACATCGCATTCGCTTAAGATTTCGATCATAATGTTGGACTAAAACCCATAACTACAATATGTAACACGTAAAGCCACTGACCTCAACCTGTATGCGAAGGCGTTCATTCGGATTGTGAGAGGTTACCAAATCAAACGCCGCCTCAACCCGCGATTTGACGTTATCAGGGTCCTACCAGCTGAATGCCCGAAACCCAATAGCCGTCACCATGGATGCCATCGTCCAATGAAAAGCTATCCTAGAAGCCGCAAGTGACGGGGATATCAGCATGACAGCTAAGCTCTAGGTAAATCAACTTCGCTGCTCCCGCCAAAACCTGTTGTCGATGACGTATACGGCGAGATATATAGTCACATCTAGATAAGGTGTGTCGTAACGTTGCCTAGCCACGATCAAGGCGTGCTGTTCTAGAGCGCGAAATTCTGCATGTTAGAAATGAGATAAGTATATTACCCTTACGACTCATGCATACCATAGCAAAGCAGATATTGCAATACGGCAACCCTTTAGGTAATTGTAGATGCAGAAACACGTTTAGGATAGTATTTTGCCACCTGCAATGTGGCTAACAAGGTCACAAAAAGGGAGGAGACACATACCTTAGGTAGTATTCATCTGACACGTGAGGACATTTCTTAAATCCTGTATTAGAGACGACTATATCGTAGTTTCCATTACCATGCGTGATTCTATACTAGGGATTTCGAGACTATTCCGATATCTTCCGGCCAATAACTTCTTTACACATGGCCTGTATAGCCAAGTTAACTTCCATACGCGGCAATCATAGATGAGGAATTAAAACTGGTTGGATGTAGATTTGGGGGAACGTGGTTGAGGCTAAATTGGCGAATCCTGTTTCTTCTGGGCTACTTCGTTGACTGCAACACCAACAGCTAGTGATATTAAAGAAGAAGAGGAAATGCAATCAACTTACTTAACTTTATTTCGCGCTGGCTCATATGTCGGTGTATAGCATATTATCTATAGACCATGTACGTCATAGCATAAGTTATATTCGGCCCATTTTTTCTTTCTTAATAAGAACCTACAAGTGAAGATACTCACCGTTCTCCTATCTATTTGAATATAGAACACACATGTATAAAAAATTCCAACATCAAGTCTGTTTTGAGGCGCATAGCCCATCCTGTCGCCGTAAATATGGTGCATGTTATATCACGATGCTAGTGTACAACTCTTGTCTTCATTTTCATGCGTATATCGAGCTCGATAGTACGGGCGAATCTTGAGTTTACTTGACAATATTAGGTATCATGTTTCCTAGTAGCGCGAGAAGGCAACGTGAAGGCGCCGCCAGGAGCAACATACAAAGCGCTCAGGATACTCGAGGAAACAAAATTATCTTTCTACTATTATACTTGACAGTATAAGAATACTTCTGATGTATTCTTGACTGAAGCTGGTTTTCTATACAACTACCTGAAACTTGGTTGAGTTAGTTAATACTTGGAAGACATTTCTCTTCGATCAGTAAGTCGTAGTAGGTTACTGTTTAACTTACAATGAATTTCTTGAACTACTCTTACTAACCCGCTTAATGTACCAGATGGTCGTATATAATGTCTTCCTTGCGTCTTGTACAATGCTCTTATGTTTATACCTATAATCTTCCTTTATTGCATAAAGTCTACTATATGTTTAATATGAGCACTTAAGAGAATAATAGTCCGTTACGCCAAATCCGTACTGTGAAACCCCACATAATTTAGCCCAGCTGACACAGTTCGTAATACGTTCTTCGCACATATATCAGCTGCGCCACAGCCAGGGGGAAATAGGGATCTCCATTTCCTTTTTCAGCGGGTTTTGGTTTTTAGCAGGGCTCCGTTTGTAGTTATACCATTCATATCGAACTCGTCAATTCATTCCTTACTACATAGAAACATTACATGCCGTATCTCCATTGAATGGCTTTGTTACGACTGGCTTTTATGCAGTCCTAATGGCACGTGATGGGGGTTCGAGGCTGACGTCCGTCTGGTAAGTTGGGATGAGCATTTGAACCTTGGGTTGTTATGAGAGGTAGTGGCTAACTTGGCGTGTATGTAGCTTTCTCGGTTCATATATCTGGTTATCATGTTCATTACAGAGACATTCGTTAATAGGTACGCTCATATATATATATATACTCTTACATAACTATTGGATACTCAAAGACTCACACCGTATAGATCAACCACGACTGTCCTCATTTTTACTCTTATTCATCTCAGGCACGGTAGCTTTCATAGCTAGCCTGTTTTCAAAATGGCTTCCCGGCGCAGATGGGAGATTTGGTAAGTTTACATTATCATTCCGTAAAGAAACAGCTTCTGACATTGCGTGA